TGTAAGAGACAAATGTATTGAAATAAATGTAATAGACAAATGTATTTAAATATATAATTAATGTAAGAGACAAATGTATTCAAATATATAATAAATGGAAGAGGGAGAAGTATTGATCAAAAGGCATTATAATTATAATTAAGAAAAAGCCCCAAAACCAAAGAAAATTTTACAATTAAACGGAGGAGAAAACTTGAATTTGCACAGAAAAATCAAAGATTTAGATGATGAGCATGAAAATTTAAAAGATTGGACGATTGGTAATTTTTTTTAATCACTTACCCTCCAAATAAATGTTTTCACAGACAGTACTAAGGAGAATTAAATTCTCCATTGAACCCCCCTCCTCGAATACTGAACGAACACTGATGCATCTATTATTGTTTATAAAATCCCCCAAATAGAACTGGTTTCAATATGTACACAAAGTATACAAAACAGCAATTGACTTTCCTTGCCTTACATTCATTGGATACGAGAGGATAATCCAGAACTTAAATTCATCAATTCATTAATTTAACAAATTCTATTTTGTCACCTCCCTATACTTCTGCATTTACCTGGAGTATAATTAAACTTAACCGGACCTAACCAACTTGAGTTTAGTTAAACTATCCAACCCTGAGTTAAGTTGAACCTATATATAAACTAGCATAAACTTCGAGTTTAGTTAAACTATCCAACCCTGAGTTCCTATAAACTAGCCTAAACTTGGAGTATAGTTAAACTACCCAACTCTGATATAAGTTAAACCTATAGACTATTCTATGAATCCTATACTCGGAGTTTTGTTAAACTAACTTCTCCTGAGTTAAGTTGAACCTCTAAACTATCCTATATTTGGAGCTATGTGTAGTTAACCTAACCTATCCTGAGTTAAGACGAAACAATATATAAACTATCCTATATCCATTGCTACAAAAGTTAAACTAACCAACCCTGAGTAAGTTAAACCTCTAAACTAACCTAACTCGGAGTATACAGTTAAACAAACCTATCCTAAGTTAAGTTGAACCTCTAAACTATCCTATATTTGGAGCTATGTGTAGTTAACATAACCTATCCTGAATTAAGTTGAAACAATATATAAACTATTCTATATCAAGAGCTACAAAAGTTAAACTAACCAACCCTGAGTAAGTTAAACCTCTAAACTAACCTTACTCGGAGTATACAGTTAAACAAACCTATCCTAAGTTAAGTTGAACCTCTAAACTATCCTATTTTTGGAGCTATGTGTAGTTAAACTAACCAACCCTGAGTAAGTTAAACTTCTAAACTAACCTATACTCGGAGTACAGTTAAACAAACCTATCCTAAGTTAAGTTAAACCTCTGAACTATCCTATACTTGGAGTTTTGTTAAACCAACCCACCCTAAGCAAAAATAAAAAAATGAAGTAGTATATACTTAGATTATAGTTAAACTCAACATCCATATATTATTCTATACTATTCCATTGAGTAAAGATGCACCTTTGAATTAGTCTTTACCCGGAGCATACTTATACTAACACCTACCCTGAGAGAGATGAACCCACAGACTATCCTATACCCGGAGCATACTTATGAAGTATATTCTACCATGATGTGCAATTCTAATTCATTATCTGTATTAATAATATTATTATCTTAACTATTTGTATGTTGACCCAGCCGGGCTAGCCCGGTCAGTTCATTTTACCTGTTTATAAATAAAGTAGTTGAATATCATTTGTTGATTAGAACGGACGTATACAGAGCCTTGAGTGTTGGCTAGAGATAGAGAGCCTTAAGATTTGGCTAGAGATTTAGTTAAATATGATCTCATTAGACTTTGAGTAAAGTAATCGTTAGAGTATTAGCATCTAGATTTGTTACAAAAGTGGTGGCAGCGGTGGGATTTAATATAACCCCAAATCTAGATGCCCGAGACCCCGAAATTATTTCGGAAGAAGAGTAAAGTGAGAAACTTTTTTAACGGGTTAGCCAGAGAAGTGTTAACCGGAGAAGATTTGCCTGGGAGAGTTCCAAGTGTGAATCCAGGAAATACAGTGGCTACCTCGCAGGGTTATCCTAGTTTACCCAGCGACGATTCTGAATCGGAAGGAGAGATGGAGGGACCNAAGACTCCTCACCAATGTCGAGAATCAGTAATGGTCAAAGTATCGTTGATCTGCGATAACCGATAGACTTCGACAATCCCCCCTCCGGTGATGTGAAGTATATTCTACCATGATGTGCAATTCTAATTCATTATCTGTATTAATAATATTATTATCTTAACTATTTGTATGTTGACCCAGCCGGGCTAGCCCGGTCAGTTCATTTTACCTGTTTATAAATAAAGTAGTTGAATATCATTTGTTGATTAGAACGGACGTATACAGAGCCTTGAGTTTTGGCTAGAGATTTAGTTAAATGGGATCTCATTAGACTTTGAGTTAAGTAATCGTTATAGAAGTAGCGTCTAGATTTGTTACACTTATACTAACACCTACCTTGAGAGAGATGAACCCACAGACTATCCAATACCCGGAGCATACTTATATTAACACCTACCCTGAGAGAGATGAACCCACATACTATCCTATACCCGGAGCATACTTATAGACTATCCAATACCCGGAGCATACTTATACTGACACCTACCCTGAGAGAGATGAACCCACAGACTATCCTATACCCGGAGCATACTGATATTAACACCTACCCTGAGAGAGATGAACCCACAGACTATCATATACCCGGAGCATACTTATACTGACACCTACCCTGAGAGAGATGAACCCACAGACTATTCAATACCCGGAGTATAGTTAAACTAACTATTACCTGAGAAAAGATCTACCTATGAACTAATCTACCCTACACAAAGGATGAGACTTCGGAATTTATACTGTCTGTTTCCTTGGATTAATGATTCCCTTCAACTGTAAATGTGTTTCACTCTTTGCTAAATCATTAAGAATATAAAAAGGCAAATAAGACTTGATTTAAGTTTGGAACCTTTATAGTTTCAGAGTGTCGTCTTTACAGTCTTATCCTTTGTGGAAAATCCTGTATATGATAACAAGCTAGCTAGCAACATCATATTATATCAATACAACTTATTTTGAGATAAAATGCAAGATGTCTATCTACAGGATAAATAATCTTAGATTTTAACTAAACAGACACAAAGATCTAGACTGCTATGAAAAGTTCCATAACTTTCAAGACAGGGTCGATTTTTGCATAAGAGCTTGCAACCTTTGGATCAATGTGAAGTGTTTAAAAACCAAACTGGAAAGAGAAAATCTTATAATTATTAATTACATTTAATTTAGATAAAAGTATATTAAATTAAGATATGCTAGTTTGTATAAGATACAAAGACAGGGATTGGAGTGGAGAGTATGGCATAAAAAAATGATTGATTCAAGTTTAAATATTTGGTCAGGTGTTCAAGGGGGTTCAGGGAATATTACGGCAAATTGAGGTAAATTATTTAAAAATAAGGGAGAAGAGGAATACAATTTTTCATATCAACATCTTCCCCTTCCCCTCCCCCCCCCATCCTCTGCACTTTATCTTTGTATAGCTACAAGACTATGAGATGACCGTTTAGTCGTCTCTGAACTGTCATGTTTACTAGGACACCCTGTACTTGAATTATGGATGTAAAATGTTTATCCAGTACCCTGTGCTATAGTAAATGTGGATCAATGGGTAGAAAATAAAATATCCGGAAATAAACTCAATTTGCATCATTTCAACAACGTGAGCTGGGTTGTTTAAGGTTTGAATGTAAGATTCCTTTTTGCGCTTGAAAACTAGGTTTAAACCATAATAAAACTTAATTAATTGATTGGTTCTTAGTATTGCAGTACACAATATTTCTGGTTTGTTTTGTGAACCACTATATAAAAAAGCTCCGAGTTCTAATTGTTGCACACACGAGTGTAAGCCAGTACCTGGAGCTTGTAGTTATCTCAAGATCTTAGAGAGGACAAGGTTACAGATCCCCCCTCCAACCCCAACCCGGAGCTGGAACTCTACAGTCCACACTCAACCCTCCAGTACACCTGCTGAACCACAAGTAAAAGAAAAAACAAAAACAAAGACTTTTAAAGATAAGATACCTTAACAAAAATGTGACAGCAAATTATTTTCGGAACCTGAGAAAGAAATGGAGGACATAGATAACTCAAGAATATATCCTCCAAGCCATTTTAGAAACAAAAATTTTACAAATAGTGTTAAAAATGGGATAAGAAGTCGGAACAAACACGAGATTGAATGTTAAGAAATGGGATAACTATAAGCTAAGAATGTGGGATGAGCTCGCCGGTTGGATTTTATCTTCTCCCGAAGGATTCATCTGAACCCGAGCCTCCTCCACAGTTGGCGCCAAGGTGTTAATGTAATTTTTTTGTTTACTCTTCCATTTTTTTGGGTTCTTTTTAGAAAACATTTTACTTTCTTCTTCATCTGGGAAATTTGTTTATTCGTTTTATTTTATTTTTCTTCCAATCAAATACACTTTCTTTTTCTATTCCGGCAAAATGTTCCACCATCTTTTTTTTCGATCTTTCATCTTTTTTTCTGTTCCTTTTTCTTGTTTTCTGTTACTCCATCTTGTTTTCTGTTCCTCTATATTGTTTTCTGTTCCTCCATCTTATTTTCTGTTCCTCCATCTAGTTTTCTGTTCCTTTATGTTGTTTTCCGTTCCTCTATCTTGTTTTCTATTCCTCCATCTTGTTTATGCTCCAAATCTTGATTTCGGTTCCTTTAACTTATCTAGTACCTCCATGTTGTTTTCTTTTGTTTATCTTGTTCCCCTTTTCTTTTCCTCCATCTTGTTTTCTGTTCCATTATTTTGTTTTTATCCATCTTGTTTTCTAGTACTCCATCTTGTTCTCTGTACCTTTATTTACATTCAGTTCCTCCATCTTGTTTTCTAGTACTCCATCTTGTTCTCTGTACCTTTATTTACATTCAGTTCCTCCATCTTGTTTTCTAGTACTCCATCTTGTTCTCGGTACCTTTATGTTATATTTAGTTCCTCCATCTTGTTTTCTGTTCTTTTATCTGCTTTTTAATTCCTCCATTTTTTGTGTTTTTTTTTCAGCCTCTTTTTTATCATTTATTCCTCACCTTTTCACCGCAGTTCAGAAAGATGCGCTATCATTTAAGCTCTTCAAAATAAAGGATCAATTATTTAATGAAGGTTAGGCTGAATTGCATAAACAATTACAAGTCAAGGTTAATTACTTTAATGTGCTAATCTCAAGATCTAGATTGCACCTAGGGAAAGCAAATCCTACACACCCCCCCCCCCCGGCATTAAAAACACTCTCCTGAGTATCAAAATATTAAGGTTACCTAACCGTATAGAGGGAAAAGGAATCGGATATTTTTTATTGAAGAAGGACATTTTTTGTTGATTTATTAGACTTGATTTTATTCAAAATAGAAATTTTTTCATATTATCATCAAGGTTATTTATTAAATTAGTTTAATGATAACCTTGGTTTTTATGCTCATAATAAACTAGTTCAAAACCTTCAATTAACTGTTCACCCAAGGTATTAGATTTTAAACCATGATTTTACATTAGAAAATTTATTTTTGGGAAAATTCTTTCTAAAATTACAAAAAGGTGTACTTCTGTACTTTCTCATATTAGAAAAATGATCATGAAACTAGTTCAATCAACAAATTGTACTAACTGGTTCAAATCGAACTTCTTGATTGCAGAAGAAACAAAAAGGATTTTTGGATAACTCCCCCCCCCCGTCCGGCCCACCCCTTCGAACATAAAGAGTCTGAGTTCTTACTTCAACCTAAAATTTATTAATCCCTATAATCTTTGCAACCATTGTTTGGTATTTAAAACTTAGATTTTTGATCTCACAATATTCGTAGTTTTAAGTATCAATGGTATACGGTATCGGGTTGCAAAGATATAACGTTTAAAAAATGAGAGTTTGTGGCAAAAACCTTTCCATTGCTTTTATTTCAGGTTTCTACATTCTCGCCTTTCGATAATTCGCGAGGCGAGTGAAGAATCATCCAGAGCCTCCTCTCCGACACTCTCCAGGTACAGATCTGGATCGGAGCGGAGTACACCGGAGCAGTCGCCACGTCGTCGTTCCTTAAGCAGAAGCTCCTCTCCACTCAGGGAAGATATTCGGACATCCAAATCTCCGGGAAGACGAGAAAATCGGAACAGGTAGCACTTACATGTTAAATTTTCGTGTCCAACCCCAACTTTAATGTTAATTCTGCTTGAAAAAACGAACCATCTTTTTTTTTAAATGCCCGCCGTGACACTTAAAATGGCGCCTTTTATCACGTGGATTTCCATGTTTCAGAAATTTCCAGCATAACAGCACAGGAAACTACTCTACGGAGACGGATGAATCAGAGGAGAGAATTTCGATGTACAAAGATGACAACAGGGTTGGGAGGAGACAGAAGAGCATAGTTGTAGATGATAGGGAATTAACTTCTAAGGATTATACTCGGGAGAAGGTTTATCCTATACCGGTCAACTCAGCTAGAAGAGAGACAGAGGATAGAATATATTTAGCCAGGAACAAATGTATACATTTAACAAACAACCCAGAGGGGCGTATTCAGGATTTGGGCCAGTGGACAAGATTAGTTAAGCTTAGATACACGCCCTCCCCCTTAGGAAGCAAAGCAAAGAGTTTGTACGAAGCGCGAATTTTTAGTTTTGGGCCCTACCATTGAAGTCGCAACTCAAGGACTATGTATTATATTTTATCCTTATGATAGTTCTGTTTTATTCTCTGAAATCCCGAGTAGTCATCTGAAGTCAAACAAATTAGTCCTTCAATCCTCTATATTCTTCTCCACCCCTCCTCTCCTAATATAATCTTTGCTGCCCCCGACTCCCTTCCAGGGGTTGCGGGAAGACTTGTTTCCTGCACTTACATAATGCATATTGCTAGCTTTAATTGTTCATCAAGTAACTGTAGTTAAGAGAGAAGGTAGGGGACCAACTTTTGGTGAATGAAAGAAATATTTAATATAAAATTAATTAAAAGACAATTAATGTAAAGACAAACTTTGAACAATTTTATTTGGAAAACATCGCCTTTTAAATGATTTACCTACTCTACCGATTTTAACCTTTACCCAAGAATCCAAGGGGGATATACCCCCTGAATAATGTTACTAACACTACTTACATGAACCAAATCTATACTAAATCTATATTTCTTTGTTTTAAATTTCAGATTTATATCTTTTTTAGTTAAAAGAATTAAAGAAAAATTTAGTTAATAATATTCCCAAATAAATACAACTACATAAAAGTTTTCTTTATGAAAATACAGTTAAAAAAACGAAAATTTCAGAATAACAAGAAAAACTATTTTTTTTTCAGCTTTCTCGTATGCATTTTGGTGTTCGGACCTTTCATAGAAAGACATTTCATAGTTAGAAAATTTCATAGACAGGACATTTCATAGACATGACATTTCATAGACAGGACATTTCATAGACAGGACATTTCATAGACAGGACATTTCATAGACAGGACATTTCATAGATAGGAAATTTCATAGATAGGACATTTCATAGATAGGACATTTCATAGACAGGACATTTCATAGAAAAGACATTTCACAGGCAACAATATTTTACATAGATAATATGATTTTTTTTCTTCTTCCAAGAAATCTTATCAAAGAAATCAGACCCTGTACGTACTGATATCTTCCTATCCTATCCTATTCTTACATATCTATATAATATAAAATTGTAATCTCTGTTTGCCTGTTTGTTTGCTTGTTTGTCCGATCATAACTCAGGAACCCCTTTAAATTTTGATTGGGGAACTCGGAAACCCGCGGAAATGTTCTTAGCTTGGTTTTGAGATTCTTAGTTGAGTGGGTCGACTAAGTGCGAGTAAACGGCGGGGGTACTTATGAGTAGGCTGGGCAACGGTGGGTTCCCAGGCTAGTCATTCATATTTTGCTTGAAACAATATGTGTACAGGGTGAATAAAAAAAGGGTGAATAGCGAGATCTTGCATTTTATAGAAGCTTTCATTTTGGTAATCTCATTTTATCAAAAATGACTGAAATTAAAAATTTTTTATAGGCATTCTGATAGACCCTTTTAAAAAATCCGTGAACCTATTTTTCAATCAAAACTAAATGAATAGAAAAAGAAAAATGCGGGAATATATTATTTCTATCATACCTTAAAATCTTAAACAAATCAGATGAGTAGTTTTGGAGAAAATGCGCGAAATTAAATACAGAAATCAACAAATTTTAATAACTTTTTATAAGCGTATTTTCCTAATATCATAATTTAGATATTTTACCTATCTAAAAAATTCACATTATAAATAGAATTTAAAGAAAAATAAAAATCATCAAAATGGTATTTTTTTTTAAAAATTGCAGATTTTCTGAATTTAATTTCGCGCATTACCAAAAAAACCCGCTTTATTTTATGTCAGATCTCGCTATTTACCCTTTTTTTACATATACAGGATATGCATTGTTATAAAAATATATGAATCTCAAACTTGTCACATTTACTAAAATTGTGACACATTGTGACCTTAAGTTGTCTCGGAAAAAAAAATGTTTTTTTTGTTAAGGAAAAACCTGTCTATGAAAATTCTTCTTTATCTACAGTGATAACCTGAAAAGTCGACTTTTAGACTTAAGTCATGACTTAAACATGAGGCAAAGCAATTGTGCAGTGTAAACAGACCCAGTTCATCTAATATTTACACTTCTGAAATTAACTGTATATGAAAAATCTGCTTCGTCCTATCTATGAATTTCTTTTTCTATGAAATGTCCTATTTATGAAATGTCCTGTCTATTAAATGTCCTGTTTTTAAAATGCCCTATCTATACATGAAATGTTTTATGAAATGTTTATGTATACTTATCTATGTTTATCTATGTTTTATGAAATGTTTATGTATACTTATCTATGTTTATCTATGTTTTATGAAATGTCTTTCTTGCTAGTTTCTATGAAATATCCTAACACCTGATTGTTAACTATAATATTTTGTAAGGATTTTGAAATTGTTATATTTTTTATGAAAAGTATTTTCAGAAACGTAACAAGTTCTAATGACAATTATTTATGTTTCGCTACTTAGCGATTTCCCTAAAGACCTAATATATATACTGTGTGGTATTTCTCAAGACCGGATTGTAAGACTTCCTTCTCTCAACGCTCTCCATAACAAAAGGATGATAATAAGGTTCCGAACGTTTATTTCTCTGAGTCTTCAATCTAAATAAGTTTAATAAACCCACAGAAAAAGCTTTGAGTGATAAATCATACGAATACAACAAATAATCCACTCAGGCATTAAAAAACTGTGGCAAGGAACCAACAAACACATATATAAATATCAATCATAATATAATCAAACGATAAGCATACATATATATATAAGAAATAATTACCGCAGTGATCCTAGAATTATGGACACGGTTACACTTGCAAGACAAATAAACATATACTATTACAGAAACTGTTCACTCCCACGCGAGAAATCTTGCTCCTGCGTAGTCAGTCTGTGAACAGCTTCTAAAACTAGTTTTTCACAATACGTTCTGTACAGATCCGCAGGGAGAACTCAGAAACTCACAGGGGCACCACATAGACTTCATACACGCAGCATGGCTTGCGTAACAATTTAATAACCAAAACAAAACATGTAAAAAAACATTATTCTATGGACTAATTTGCTGTTTAGGTACATATTTCTTATGAGAAATTATCGATGAAAGCCATAGAAAACCCGTATGATCGATTACTTCATTATTATTCTCACCTTTGCTGTTCCTATGATTTTATTCGCAGATTTCTTCAAAATGTCGTCTTTGCAATTAAAGTAAAGAACCCTCAAAGAAGCGACCCTAGCTGAAAAGAATTTTTTTAAACGTTTGTATAAATGCAACTAGTTTGTTGAATAGTAAAGTTGTTACATGTTTTGTCCATGTTATTTTAGAATTGTAAAAAAAAACATTTCTTCTGCTGACTGAAACAACTGGTGAAATATTACAAACGAATTTACGCTCTTATTTAAAAACTGTACACCATAAAAATGTCTCATTGGTATAAAATGATTCCTAAAGTCTTTTTCTACAATAACGCACTTTCAGCTCAACCACCATGTCTAGCCGGTCTCTCCCTTTAAAGAAGTAAAGTACGAGAGAACCATTTCAATGTTTTCATCTTTTGAAAACATTAACCTACACAATATACTCAAATCAGTGATCTTTACCGAGATTTGTCCAGGAGGGCTTACATTATTTTTTAACATTTCATGGGGGGCTAAGCCTTGATAGCCCCCTCCCTTGTATAGGCCCCTGACTCTAATCTGTAACATTAAAATAGCAGAACTACAAAAGATTTGAAAAAACGAAGAAAACCTAGTAAATCAAGCAGGTGACATTTATACAATTATTCTTGTAAAAAAATTTAAATTGATCAAATGAGTACATGGAAATATTTTTACCTAAGTTGGTTTCCATTTTTCTGCCTTTTGACTCTATTGGAATTGGGTCCTCTTGCCACGAACTCAAATTATCTAATTTTTATACATTTGCAACCTATTGGCGTAAATCTTTGGTATTTCAAACTTAAATTTTTTTAAACTAACAGAATTTATAGTTTTAAATATTAAATGGGTATTGGCTACGACATTGGGTTGCATAGATAAAGGTATTAGAAAATCAGAGTTTGTGGCAAAACTCATTTCCTTACTAATTCAAATATTTAAATCATCATTATTCATTAACTCTTTCTAAAACATGAATAAAAACCAAGAATGCTAAGGCCTGGGCCGGGTGTTTATGTTATCTCAACTGGTTTATTTTAACCCTGATAAAAAATTAAATGTTAACATATATATTTTGCGAATTTTTTAATTAATGAAATATTTTTGAAGAAAGCGAAGTGAAGGCGTGAAGCTGCCGTCCATATCACGGTCAAACTCGCCGGCTTTCCGGTCAAACTCCCGCCTTGGATCCAGACCGGGGACGGCGGAGTTCCGCTCCGCCTCTCCTGTATTCCGGTCTAGTTCTCCGGGTCCCGGGGATATTCATCATATGAGGATACATGCCGGTATCCTGGTCAACACTGGGAATCAGAGAACTGATATATCCACCAGGTGATATACTAAGCCAAAGAATTGATATATTCATCAAGTGATGTAGTAACCCAGAGAACTGATTTATCCACCAGGTGATATATTAACCCAGAGAACTGATATATCCACCAGGTGATATATTAACCCAGAGAACTGATATATCCACCAGGTGATATATTAACCCAGAGAACTGATATATACACCAGGTGATATATTAACCCAGAGAACTGATTTATCTACCAGGTGATGTATTATCAGTAAATGGAAATATTTACTTCTACTGAAACTATAGTGGTAAATTGTCATGTCCGATTGTCAACGGTACCCTTTAAACCAATGCATTATCATATCACGAACGAAAGAGATATATTATTTTTGATTTAGATTTTAATTTTTAAGTTAAAATGAAGTATCTTCTAAAACCTTGTAAAGTTATGCACAAGAGTGTTCAGGGCGCACTCGAGTTTCCTCTGCAGGACGAAAGTTTAAAGCGTGCCGTAGTGAATCGAAAATGCTGTTCTATAAATTAAGGGTCACTTGAAAGTACGTCTTTCGCTCTTTACCAACTGGACTGGACTCTGCTTCATCAGGCCGGGTTCAAGAGTTAAAGACAGAGGTTTTTATGATTTAGAGAACTCTGTGGTTGGGAAAACTCTTAAGCATAAAACAGCACCAAGTCACCGAGATACAATTTCTTGGAATCAAATCTTTTTCTATAAATTTGTCTCATTATTAATTTGCAGGATGTACGAAGAAGACGACCCCGATTTCTGTAACCACGCTCAGGCTAGGATCTGTAGAAACCTAAAGTACAACCTGGAGCAGCTCCGGATACGATCAGACCGGGATACCTACCTAACCATGATCGAGAGGATTCTTGTAGGTCCAAACAATATCCGGGCAACCGAGGCAGATTTACTTCTCGGGATTAACTCCGACTTATACAACAAGTTCCGGAGTAAACGGAGGGATATAATTGAGTCCGGAGAAAGACCAAGTTGGAAGGAAGCTGAAGCTCAGGGTTATGTGGAGTTTATTGGTGGAGAGAAACACTCCCCACTCTCTCCCAGGTAAAAATCAGAGATTACCTAGATCTGAGCTTAAAACTTTAGAATTGTGGACATCGAGATCAATGCAATTAATCTTCTCTTTTTGTTAATCTCGAGATAAATATAATCTTAAGTTTGTATTCACAAAAGTGTATATAAATCAACCAATCGAGTGGCGTTTGGAGAAACCGAAACAGCCAATCAGAGAAGTCGAAAAATTTGAAATTTTGCGCGACATTGGATATTCAGAGTAAGCAATCGGGATTAAAGGACAAAGGTATCCAATTCTAAAGTTGTCAGCGCTTAAATCATTTTATGAAGAACAGGCGCAACTAGAAGAGAGAGAGGGGCGCTTCTGTTAATACAGATATTTACAGGATTTAAACAGGGACAATTCCAGGATATTCCCTTTTATGAATGTCCAAATTCAGAAGTTTCTTAAAAGATAATTCTCTAATCTTAGCCACCAAAAATTCATCCCCCACTACACACAGAAAAAACAACACTAGCGCGACACTGTTAAACATAAAATCTCTTGATACGTTTTGTATGAACCTACGTATAAAGGAATTGAGTTTTTGTCACAAACTCTGATTTTCTAATCTCTATATCTTTGTAACCCAATGTCGTAGACCTTAGATATTTCAAACTATTAATACTTATAGATAAAATAATCTAAGTTTGAAATATCAAAGGTTTGCACCATCAGGTTGCAAAGATATTGGGATCAGAAAATTTGAGTTTGTGGCAAAAACTCAGTTCCTTTGCTCTCAAAGAATCAGTCATATACAATCGGGTCCTATAAAACTGTAGATGAGACAAAATAGCATTAAAAAATTCTGATGTGTATTGTATGTTGTTTTAAACAAATAGTTTTACCCGTTGCTTTAAAATCAACCTACTAAGTGAAATTGGTATGTGCACATACTGCAAAATTCCCGTATTTTATGTTTATTAGAATATTCGAAACCATAATTTCAGCTTTGAAGACGTCTACTTACTTCATATTTTATGAGTCTTTTTATCCCATAAATCACAGTTATATCCAATATTCATATGTATACAAAGTAGAAAGAAAGTCGTCTTGGTTTAATGTTTCAATTATAAATAAATCTTCTGATTTTGGTAGAGATTATGACGGATATATTTTTAAAAATGTTAAGGTGCAGGTTTTCCTTGTTATAATGATTGCCAATTTCTGAATTTTTTAACTGAGTTTCCAATTAGGATACTCAATACAGACTTTTATTTTAATATATCCTAATCCAATGAAATTGAGTCTTTGCAACAAACTAAAATGTTTGAATCCCTATATCTTTGCAACCTTATGGTTTAAACATAGTTTATTTGATTCAACATAATTCATAGTTTTAAATGACTAACGTCTACGACATTTGTTGCGAAGACATACGGATTAGTTTGTGGCAAAGACTTATTTCCTTCGTATGCAAGCTCATAATACGATGATACATACTTTTACAGGAGAGAGAAAACATTCCACTTTGCTGATAGAATGCCACGACTAACCGCTAGGGAGGAACAGGAACAGAGAAGACGAGCGGAGACTGCTACGCGGGGTCGACGGAAAACAACGTGGGCTCTTCCTGATCTTAGACAACAATTTGAGATATTTTCCAGGTACAGACGTCTCAATAAATTTTCTTTGTCAGTGAACACACTTGTATGAATCAAAGAGTTAATATAAAAAACCTCGGGATTTCCAAAGTGTGACCTGACATTGTTGTATTTTCAAAATTTATTGATATTTTCAAATATGTCCAGATTTCAACTGATTGAATATTATAAAAATCTTCTCAATATCAAATGTTTACTAAGGCTAGATTTTGGCAGCCCAAATGATATATTTACACTCGTAAAAAATCGGAAATCAAAAGTATGGAAACTCGTCTCTTAACCGTATCTCTGATATGCTGTGGAATAGGGTTATTTCTCATGTTAATTGGGAGACCCTGCATGATTCACATTATTCATACTCTTTAAATTGTTAAAGTTAATTTATAAATTATTTAGAGTTATTTGAATAATCTAACCCGTCCAGATGAAGTGAATTTGACAGACTAGAAGTGTGTCAAAAAAGTCATATTTTATACATTTTTTTGATTCACCGACATAGGGTCAAACGATCTAGAGTCAAGTGCCATAGGGTCAAACGACCTAGGGTCAAACGACAAACGGTCAAAAATGCGACAACGGGTAAAACAACAAAGGGTAAAACCACATAGGGTCAAAAAGTGAGACAAACGGGCAAAATTTCATTTAGTCAATTCATTAGTTCATTTCAAACTATTTTTATGTTCATAAGAACTAGTGGTCACAGCGCTCGGCCCCCTAGTCTGTCCTAGCCGCAGCGCTCGGGCCAGAAATTGTCTTAATTTAGCCCTGAAAAATACATAAAATATTTTTTTCCATTTTGATCCTTTGTCATTTTCCCTTTGTCGCGTTTTTGACCATTTGTTGTTGGACCCTATGTCGTTTGACCCTATATCGGTGAACTATTTTTTTAAGACAGTTTTCATCAGAAAAAAGACGATCAATCATAAAACAACTTAATTTCTAGATGGGGAGACTCAAGATCCGACGGATCCCAGATAACCCTGACACAGTCGGACAAATGGCTGCGCCAGGCCGGCGTTATTGACGGCTGGTTAGTTACAACTACAGACACCGCCATCTTTTTCCGTAAGTTCTCACGTGGCTCTATCTGGTTGGAGTACAACGACTGGAGATCATTCCTTGAAGAGTTGGCGGGAAAAAAAGGGTTGGATATGAGAGAGGTGATTGATAAACTGGAATTATGCGGGAAACCAAGGGTTTCCAAACCTATGACAATGTGATGGAATCCACAGTAATGTAAAACTGTACAGTGGTCCCTAAAATAATTTCGAATACAATGACGGTTACTAGACCACAGATATTGTGTGGTATAGTTTAATAAACTTAAATTAGATATAATCTATACAATGTGCAAACCAATTTCGTTTCATACTCAGAGATAAAAAAGCGAAATAAAAATTTGGTATTTTTAAAGTTTCTTAAAGGGACTGTATAAACGTAATTTAAAGTGATTCTCCTTTTGTTAGAATGGCATATTCTACTCACGACGGTAATATTAAAAGCTTTGACTGAGACACCAATCATCCACTGTTTTAAAATTCACTTTCTCGATGCAGTTTCTTCATTAAGAGACTTGTGTATTTCTGCTGAAGAAACAATGGAGGAAAATGTCAGAACTAAACATTTGTCTTCCCCATTATTAATCAGATAAAGGTTTACAGCGTTACAATTGTCAATCGGGCATTCCTCACTTTGATTAAAGGGTTAGATGAAATGGCGTCTACAGTTCCTTTAAGAAACGTTGATATGGGTTTTTGTTATTTCATACAGTGAAACCCTTAATAACGAATACATCGAAAGAATTCATCAAATATCGTATTCTTTACTTTCTGATAATGGAGATATTTAGTTTTTTAATTAAATGATTATATGGAACTCTTTAAAACTATTCCCGCATATTCATGGCTATTTATCTATTTTCGCAAATACTGAAATTTACGTTATATAGTATAAAACTCATTGAAAAATTGACAAGACGACATTTAATAAATACTTCCGATGTATTCGTTATTAAGGGTTTCATTGTAAGTAAACTAAAATAAAACCTAAACATTTAAAAAAATAAATAGGTCATAAGTTACTTGAACTCAAACTTAATAAAGACGACTTTCATTCCGTCTTGTGAATCGGACACACTACTCTACAAATGGAGGTTCACGTAAAATTACGCCCACAGTCTCTTTATGGTTATGTATAACTGATATTATTTTGATACTGTTTTGTTTCATTTCTCAAATGAATAGTTTTTTTTGATTTAAAGAATATAAAAATTGCAGAAGTGAATTTTTGGCAATTCAGATTCCCCTTCGACCTCCCCCTCTCACCGATTAAAATCATAGATTTCTATTATATTCAGTTTACTGATTATCAATTCAGTATCAAAATATACATTTTTCAAAATATATCCTAAATTATAATTGTCTAATATTCAGGGTTATTCACAAAGAATGAGGCTTTAATGACAACCTAAAAATCGTAAGTTTAACGATTGGATAAATAATATACACAGTACAGTCATCTCTGAAGTCTCGTCCTTTGTGGCCTGTAGGTAACCATGATGCAATGTCCGTTTCTTCCAATATATATTATACAGTACACTGCCATTTATATGCACAAAATACCATTTTGCATATTGGCGTATAATTGCAGCATATTTGTAAAATTGTTGTGAAATTAGAATTTGAAAAAGGTCGACGGTTAAGTATCCTATACGCTCTCTATACTTTAATAAGAATTATTCCTCCGGATTAAATCAGATTTTATATTTTGTAAAACTGAACAATAAAGTTAATTGTGCTAAAAATTAGAAAACTTTAGAAGCATTACTAATTAATAAAAAAGAGAATTGTTCAGGTTTTTATTGGTTATCCCTGTATCTTAGATCATTTAACATGAAGGATTAATTAAGAGATATCCGAAAGCAGACTTAATGATTTCTATGGGTTTACATTAGTTCTTTTCCGGATAAAATGGTTAATAAAGTATTGCAAAAATGATACAGTGGGACCCGTGAAATTGTGGACTAAAAAACAACAATTACTCAATACTGTTACAAATCAAGTGGTTTTTGTAAGAAACTAGAAAATTAACTTATTGATGTGAAATGGGCGTGTAATGTGATACACTGCACAATTGTTGTGTTTCATGTTTATCAGACTATTCAAGACTATAACTTGAATTTAACAGTCGTCTTACTACTTTACAGTTTGATGGGTTCCAATGTATTGATTATCAATTAGGATATTATAAGATTGGTTCCTGGAATGCTACCAACACATTTTCATCTATATTTAGTTTCGCATGACCAAACTAATCCAGGATTTCTATAATTCTCGGAAATCCATAATCGTCGTAATACCTAGGTATAGGGCTCTGGACTGCCTTTTGATTTTGTTTATCAAACTAAATAGAGATTGGGCCCTGGAATCGTCTTCTGGTTATCTTGATAACTTAAAATAAAATAAAGCAGAACCATCTAAGTTTTGGAATACAATAAAAAATATGGAAAGTCTGTTTTAATATTATCAGATAAAATTATTTTTAAAGAAAGTAATCAATTCGGTTCAACTCAAAAGATTTAATTATAATGGAAACAAGTCCCTAAATGCTGTTGTTACGCAAAGTATATATATATATATATATATATATATATATATACTACATGACAGGGCAGTATGAAGGCAGTTAACAGGGTCTAACTACCTTTAACTACACTCTTATTACTCTGCGCAGTGCGCAGTGTATTTTGAACCCTAGTTCTAAACGGGGTCCCATTACTAATGGGCATCATTTTGAGGTCCTTATTTAAACATTCAACGCTATTGGAATTTTATAAGGGTCCATAATTCATCTGAGATTGTTCAACCTATTTCAAAACTGCATGCTCGATATTATTATTAGAATATGTAAAACTTTTACTCTCGCCACAGTTATAAACCAAAACAGTTTTTTCAAAACCATCGGTATAAATATCATTTTTATAAATCATTTTGAAAAATCGTTATACATAAAAACTAAAATGTTAGAGAAAGAATTGAGCTTAATATTAATAAAAGCAAACTAATTAAAAATAAAATTTCGCTACGTGAAATATCTCAGATTTTTTAGAGCACATTTAAAGACAGAATTCCTTTGATGAGTAAAAACGGACTTAAATCGATGCCCAGCCCTAGTTCTAATAGGGCGGTGATATCGGACTTCCCAGCTTAGAACAGAAAACTAGTTTCTGAAATCTCTAGTAAGTGAGTTTACGTTACTGTGAGACACGAACCTTAACAATTTTGGTGTTTTAAATTACAGGAATAAATATTTCAAGTTAGTTGTAGATATATGAATATTTTACTAAATATCTAACTTCATGTCAGTACAATTCCTTAGTGTTACTGGATCAAGGATTTAAGAGTAATTTGTTTTTATAACACTATCTGATCTAAACATTAACTTTATACAAAACCTATATCATTGCAACCTGATTGTATACATCTCTGCGCTATATATATATTAGCAAAGTAGTGTAAATTACACAGTACACTGTACTGTACAATGTACATGTAAAGCAGAATAATAGTAAGACAATGCTTGGTAAGTAAAAGAGGAAACTATAGATATTTACAGTGTAACAGTATTTACAATACAGTTTATCAACTTTCTAAATACATCCTCTATACTCTCCAATAGTGATACAAAGATAGAAACTTCTCCTCCAATAGTAATACAAAGATAGAAACTACTTCTTCAATAGTTATACAAAGATTGAAACTAATCCTCCAATAGTGATACAAAGATAGAAACTACTTCTTTAATAGTGATACAAAGATAGAAACTACTCCTTACATAGTGATACAAAAATAGAAACAACTCCTTCAATAGTGATACAAAGATAGAAACTACTCCTTCAATAATGATACAAACATAGAAACAACTCCTACAATAGCGATAAAAAGATAGAAACTATACTCCTTGATAGAAACTACACCTCCAATAGTGATTCAAAGATAGAAACTACTCCTCCAATAGTGATACACAGATAGAAACCACTCCTCCAATAGTGATACAATGATAGAAACCACTCCTTTAATACTGATACAAAGATAGAAACTACTCCTTCAATAGTGATATAAAGGTAGAAACTACACCTGCAATAGTGATACAAAGATAGAAACTACTCCTTTAATTCTGATACAAAGATAGAAACTACTCCTCCAATAGTGATACAAAGATAGAAACTACTCCTTCAATAATTAATGATACAAAGATAGAAACTACTCCTTTAATACAGATACAAAGATAGAAACTACTCCTCCAATAGTGATACAAAGATTGAAAACTACTCCTTTAATACTGATACAAAGATAGAAACTACTCCTTTAATACTGATACAAAGATAGAAACTACTCCTCCAATAGTGATACAAAGAGAGAAACTACTCCTTTAATACTGATACAAAGATAGAAACTACTCCTTTAATACTGATGCAAAGATAGAAACTACTCCTGACTCAGGAGTTGGGTTAAAACAGTTTTTAAATTTAAATGTTTTTAAATTTAAATGTTTTTAAATGGCAAATAAGATAGGAATTGAAGACTGTGCTTGTGCTAAAATATTCCAAAAACAATTTTAAACCAAAGTTTTGGAAGCTAAGTATTTGGTTTTTGTTAATGTTTTTTCATTAATTCTGTTCAGTCAATTTATCGACTGCAGCTAGATATCCAACATAAGATAATAAATTGTAGGTATTATAGTAATTACCATGTCTGGGTGTTTTATGTGTGCATCTATGCAACGAATGCAATCGCAATTTCAGAAGATAAGGAAAGTAACTAAAGCGGTCCAGTACTGATAAGATACGTTTATAGAGAAAATCTACATATATAGATAATAAATATATTTACTATCATATAGGGTGTAGGCACGGTGGGGGCTCTGCAGGTTTGCATGAAACGGCTCGATAGTCGATCCTCTTAATGGTCACATTTTTACATTGTTTATGAAGAAATAATGGTAAAAAAAATAATAATAATTTAACAGGAAATTAACATATCGCTGATAAAAGGTATCAAAATATTGTCAAACTTAAAATGCCGAAAAATTGTATTTTTGTTTATGTATTTAATAATATTGCTAAATATAGGACTTGTATACGTTATTAAATGTGTTTTTGTTTAAAGTTTTTAAAGATCAAAGGAACTGAGTTTTTGCCACAAACTAATATGTTCTAATTCCTATATCTCTGCATCCGGATGGGTTAAAGCTTGGAGATTTCAAACTTAGATTATTTGATCTTACAGATTTCATAGTTTGAAATATCTAAGGTCACCGACATTGGGTTGAAAAGATATAGGGATTGGAAAATCTGAGTTTGTGGCAAAAACTTAATTCCTTTACAAATTAACGTAAAATATTAGTGTTAAATTGTTCAATTTTAAAATGTTTGATTCTTGTAAAATTTTGAAAAACAAATATATTTTCATAGTTAGTTTAATGTTGTTACAAGAAAAGCCCCTTGGACCAGTGTAACCTTTTGATTTCAGGAGGTTTTCAGGCCCAAGCGGGTGCTGAGCCCCCCCTGTAAAAGAAAAAAATTAAGCCCCCCCTGGATAAATTCCTGAATACGCCCCTGCCATCTTTTCATAGGGGGTCACCTTTAAGGGAGAGATTTCACGAGCATTTCCGGTAACTGATATCTAGATAAAAAATACGTTTTAAAAGACCTTTAAAATAACTTGTTACTAATTATCCTCCCTCATACCTGGGCTCACAGCGTATTTATATTGTAGTGCGCAGGCCCAGCATTCTTATCTACATGTAATGCAAATACTAAAACTAAATATCAATTAACACAGTTTTACAAATCTGATGAAATATATCTGAACATTTTCAATTGATTTCATTTTATTTTAGTGAAAATGTCTGTGGAAGATACGGAACAAGACGTGTTTACTCCAGATGCAGGAAACCAGGAGGGTTTAACTCCGGAGAAGCCGCGAGTAAAGTGGGTTCCACGTCCCCTGGAGAATATATGTGGGGTGTGTTCTAGTCCTGCAACTGATGTTCAACATTATGGTTCCATCACGTGCTATTCTTGCAGGTACACATTGAACACATAGATTTTAACATAAGTCTTAAATGAAAAGAACTTAAAGGAATCAAGGTTGCATAACAAGGTTGGTTACTCTCGATGCGCTCCAACGTACGAAAAATGTCGTCTCCTAAATAGATAGATAAAAACCTTATATGTCGTCACTGATATTAGGGGCGAGAGTGACGTCATATGAGGTTTTCATCTAACTATGCTTTTGAGACGAAATTTTCCGTACATTGGAGCACATCGAGAGGAACCAACCTTATTCTAAAACCTTAGAAATTTAGTTACACAATGTTTTTTTTATGTATATGCAATTCTCAACACTAAAGGCGATAGTTTCTATAGTGAAAAGTATACTTTATAAGAGGTTTAAACATTGTATAATCTACTTCTTTTAAAAAAGAAGGCTATCACTAGTTATTTCTATAAATCAAAATTAAACCGCTTTTTAAAGTCAGATGATCAAAGAAAATTTCAAGGAAAAAAATTCATATACAGGGTGTCCCACATCAAATTAGACCGCGTCGATGGGTCTAAATTACGATTTGGGTGACAAATCAGAAAATTTAAGAATAAATCATTTTAAAAAATTTAATAAGGCTAATAGAATTTTTTTTTTGCAGAAAATGCTAGATTTTTTGGGTATAATGTGCGTATTTAGGTGTTAAAGATTGGAGATAATCTAATATGATATGGGACGCTCTGTATCTCTAAGTCTATTATTAAATCAACATTTTTTAAACGATTTTATATTTACGGTATAACAATGGTATTGATTTCAGAGCATTTTTCCGGCGAAGTGTTGGTAACGGAAAGGAGTATACGTCCTGCGCCAGAGGTTCGGATAACTGTATCATTGACCCGATTAACAGGACAAACTGTAAAAAATGCAGATTTAGCAAATGCTTGAAGGTAAATAATATTTATAAAGAAACAAAAATGAATCCCAAAAATCCTTTGGGCTTTAATAAAACTTTTATAGGCATTACAAAGTATCTTACAAAGAAAGTTTTAAGTTTTATTAAAATTCGTACAGGATCGACTCTAAAGTCTCATCCTTTGAAGTTAACCCAGTACATACAGTTCATGACACCCTTAACGTTGTCCTGCGTGGGTTTGCATCTCCATAAAGTTTAAACCATTTCAACGTACAATGTTAGACATCAAAACCAATTTTAAAACATAAAACATTATCATTTAACATAATTAAAAGCGTTTAGTCCTAAAATAAATTTTAAAAGGGGAAAATGCAAAAAAGGTATAAAGGTAATCCCTTTCAAATTGTCAAACACTCTATAATCAAGGGAGACATAGATAAACTTTAATGTGCTGTTTTCCCCAATAAAAATACATTAATAAACATAGGTAAGTGTCATAACATTGCTTTTATTGTCTACATTGTGTTGAAATGTTTAAAAGAATAGCTCTTTGGAACTTTTTTAGATTTTATAATTTTAGGTTGGGATGAAGCCGGAGAAGGTTGATAGAACTACGAGGAAAAGGGAATCTTTAAAGAATTCCATCCAGAACAACTCTAGTCCTGTCAGCTTAGATATAATCAACTCTAGTCCAAGCAACTCCATCCAAACCAAACCCAGTCTCAAAAGCTCCATCAAAGCTGAGCACAGGCATGGTGTCTCCATTCCTATAGTTTCACGTTCTGGCACCATTTCTTTGAACAGTAGTTCTGACGCATCCATTTCTATTAATTCCAGTCCAGGTTCTATTTCTATGGACTCCAGTCCTGTTGGTTCCATTGCTATGAACCCAAGTCCTTTCTACTCATTTCCTATAAACTATAGTCCCGACTTCTCCTTTCCTATGGACTACAGTCCTGTTTCCTTCTCTCCCAGTAACCCCAGTTCTACTGGTTGGCGATCAAGTCACAACATTTCTGAAACCCCAGTCACAGAATCTCATTCACCCTTGGACACAGAGTTCAATCTTATTCCATTCCAGGTAAATAATAGACAACTCTTGAGAATTAAGGACTGCATTGAATGACATTGTCTGTGAAAGTGATAATTTTTTATTAAAGTTTTAATATCAATGCTATATCATGTATTTCCAATGCAACAGAATGTTAATGAATCCGTTAGCGGTTGAAACTGTCTTAATGTCTTAATGTATTCTATATTCCCGTTATATAGATATATATATATATATATATATTTATATATATATATTACTAGCTGGAGGGCCCGGCGTTGCCCGTGGAAAAAAATGTATTTTTTGAGCATTCCCAAATGTGGCCTGAGTTTTGGTCTCGGGAACTAAAAAAAATACAGATGCAGATTCAGATCCTAACTCCTAAGCAGCTGAAATAAACATTCTCCACTATGCTTATCAGGATTCAGAAGATTTTGGAGTTAATATTGAGCTCCTGGTTGAGGATTGCTTTAACGAGGAGATTCTTGAGAAAATACTGGAAGAAACAACAAGCATTCCACCATCAATAGAAACAACAGGTTATCATTGGGTGCAGAGGTTTAAATCTTAAATAACTTTACTTAAGTTCAATGAATCAATATTCCTTAATTAGTGGCAATCTATTAACGAGTGAATCAAAATGTCCTTTTTTCTCTCAAAAATGAACTCCTGTAAGATATAGGAGTTTATTCCGTAATAATGGCTGTCGCAAATGTGGTTTCATGAAAAAATGTCTATTTTTTCAAATCAGTTTATAGGATAGAAAAATATTCAAAATTAATTAAGTATAAATAAAAAATTTAAAAAGTATTTTAAAAATACGTTTTTTGTTCTCACGGCGATTTTTCCGTTTTCAGACATGACGTTTGAAGAAGAGTTCCGAATACATGAGCTCATGGTTCGAAAAGAACATATGTTTTCAATCATCTTTCAACAATTGAGGCAATTACCAAGGTACTTTTTCTGCTTGATTATAGCTTGGATTTCCGGAATAAAGGAATTGAGTCGGTGTCAATCTCAAATTTTCTAATCCCCATATCTTAGCAACCTGATGGTACCTTTGATATTTTAAACTTACATTGTTTAATCTAACAGAATTCATAGTATGAAATATCTAAGGTCTACGACATTGCAAAGATATTAGGATTAGAGTTTGTGACAAAGACTCAATTCCTTTAATTGTGACATTAATATTGTTGAATTTATTTTTTATTTAACTAAGTCTAAGAAAGAATATCCGAAGTACTGCAATTTTCAAAATGGAAAAAATCAAACTCTAATTTTTTTATATTTTACTTATAATTTTTGACTTTGCTAATAAATCCGAATAGTTTTGTTATATAACAAATATTCCAGATTTATGACCATGTTTCGGAGATTTCTGCTTTCTATCAACGAAGGAAGTTACAGAAATGAAGAGAGGAGTCCAATTGAAATTATTACACATATCTTAATGCACCAATCTAAAAGGATTGTTCCAGTAACGTCGTAAGTATATTTGTAGCTTGAACGATTTTACGCCCTCGTGATAAGATGAATTTGTGATTGCCGACAAAGCCTCTCAAAACCATCTCCGTGCCTCTCGCTACGTCTTCGAGCCTCCGCAGTTCTGTCTCCACGTCCAGCATTCTGATCTAAAAAAAAGATATTTGGCTTTTACATCCACCATAAGTCTTTTTTTCGAAAAATCTCAACTGATTAAAATGTTTTAAATCATACATAAAAATTTGTATTACAATTTTTTTTAAATTTAAATTATGAATTTGTTTTTCTATATTGAGTCTTCGCCACAAACTTAAATTTCTCATCCATATCTTTGGAACCAGATGGTGTGAACCTTTGGTATTTCAAACTTAGGTTATTTAATTATTTATTTAGTTTGGTTGCAACGATAAAGGGATCAGAAAATCAGATTTTGTGGCTAAGACTCAATTCTCTTAATATAATTTTATAGGTATATCATGTACAAATCCAACTATATACGCACCAAAAAAACATAATAGATTTGTCATGTTGAGATTTTTCGGAAAAAAAAATACTTTTGGTGGATGTAAAAGCAAAATATGTTTAATGAATTAGCGAGAATTGTTTTGCGGGGCTTGGAGGTCATTCTGCGAATCAGGAGGCTCCGGAAGTCATTTTGAGAGGCTCATGGCGGCTCCACGCACCCCTCCCTACTCTTGACCAGCTACACAAATAATTTAAAATCATGTCTTTTTTAAGTCCCCTGTTTGAAGCTATTGATGAGGTGTGTAGAGGAGTGGATCCTAAAACTAAAATGGAGACTCTGATGTTCACGTTTCCTGTTCTACAGCTGTGCACGAGGTATCCATAATTTACAGTGTCAGTTAATAGTTTTCTTATTTGTCTTCAAAATCCACGGTTCAAGAACATCAAAGGGCCGGATAGATCATATAGTTTACCTGGAATCTGGATACAAAATGAGCAAATATGTATTTTATTGCTCAAAGATGTCCCTGAGGATCGGAAATATCGCTACTTTCCCAGAAAACCCGGAAATATTGCTACTTTCTCTAAAACTATTAATAGGGGTTTAGGCAGAAAACCCGGGTTTCTTGAAAATTTCGTCGCTTTTATACAAATATTTCGTGCTTTTAACTGTCAAGGGCATCTTTTAGCAATAAAATATTGGCTTGTTTGTGTTTCTTATATTGACAAGGGATATTTCAGAGTTTTGTTACAAGCTAATATTGACAAGGGATATTTCAGGGATCTGTTACAAGCTAATATTGACAAGGGATATTTCAGGGATCTGTTACAAGCTAACATTGACAAGGGATATTTCAGAGGTCTGTTACAAGCTAATATTAACAAGGAATATTTCAGTCTGTTACAAGCTAATGTTGACAAGGGATATTTCAGAGGTCTGTTACAAGCTAATATTACCAAGGAATATTTCAGAGGTCTGTTACAAGCTAATATTAACAAGGAATATTTCAGAGGTCTGTTACAAGCTAATGTTGACAAGGGATATTTCCTGTCCCAGCATGAAGCGGCAGGAACTATGAACCCTGAGATACGAGAAGCATATAAGGAAGCTCTTCAGGGTTTCCAGGGGAGCGCAGAAACCTTGTAAGCATCAAAATCATCATCAAAAATGACTTGGGTTAATAACAACAAAATAATAAGCAGATTAATTACTTTTACAAACGATAAAATTTATTTTGAACTCTTGAAGTTACATCAAATATTAAACCACGAAAAAACGATAAATATTAAATCCTAAAAATGTTCTATTTTCAGACCCTTGGTGAAGAGCTTCTCACCCCTCAGCTTGCAAATGTTTGTGTCTCCTTGGGCTTCAAGCTTTCAAGACGAGGTCAAGTTTAACAATAAGATTAAAATAATAAGTTAACACTGACCTGGGTATATTTGTGTTCGATGTTTGATTAAGCCTAGGAATTCAGCGGATTATTAACTCGATATCCAGTGGACAACCAACATTTAACATGAATTAACTCTGTGTATTCTTCTTAAACCAAGCTATGACAGCTCTCACCTAAAACATAAATTCTGCGGCTAAGGTTTAGTTAACAACGTGCAGATATCCAACTTAGCCTAGGCAATAGGAATCCTAGACTTATCCAGAGATCTAACATAACAGTTTCAATCTCTTGGAAATTAATAGAAAACAAAACTGAATTAGAATTAAACTCTAGAATTAGTAAGTTTATAATGTTAATATTATAGATAAAGTTTAGTGAGACAATGAAAACTCTAGAATTAGTAGAGTATATAATGTTAATATTATAGATATTGCTTAGTGAGACAATGAAAATTCTAGAATTAGTGAAGTATATAATGTTAATATTATATAAAGTTTAGTGAGACAATGAAAATTCTAGAATTAGTGAAGTATATAATGTTAATATTATAGATAAAGTTTAGTGAGACAATGACAACTCTAGAATTAGTCAAGAATTATAACGTTAATATTATAGATAAAGTTTAATGAGACAATGAAAACCCTGGGAGACCTGGTGAAAGATGATGTTAAGCTTGGAACTATTTACTTCTTTCTACTTCTTTTAACTCCATCTTCAACATCGACAGCCAGGGTAAACATATTAAGTTTAATCCAGAACTTCGGAGTAATCGAAAAAATTTATAAAATGTAGCTTTGACAAATTTTCGATGGGTTTTATACAGTGAAAAACAGATAACTCTGGAATAGGAAGACGACTTTCACACTTAGGTTATTACTTTAAATAGTCCAATGAGTATAAAACACAGCAATTGTGCAGTGTAAACAGACCAATTTCATTTGATAAGTGATTCAACAATTTACTAGTAAAGATATTTACTTTGTGACAACATTAAATGCACATCAATATGGTTTTAATGTCGTCTTCCTTTTCTTCAGTTTTCTGGTTGTCACTGTACGAATACACCTTAATCTCAGTAATTGTAAAAATAAATAACAAGCCAATATGCGTGAACAGTTTTAAAGCGCAACATATAATTATTCAATTTAAAAACTAAATATCTTCATCATTCCATTATCATTAGGTTGAGAATTATAGAATCTTTACATTACATATAAAAACTGAAATTTGTGCTTAAATGATTTTCATATATACGGTCCCACAAAACATTAAAGAACGTCGTCTTTAATTTTTGATATGATTTGCTACATTCATTTGTCAACTTAATTTTAGATGTAAAATTCTAGATAAAATAATCACAAAATAGCCCTAGTCCTGGCGTTTCCAAAATGTCGTCTGCCTTTTTTGTGCTTTGAGCATTACCCGAGATATGATGAATTTTGTTAAGATTTCGACAATTTAGTTTTATTTAACAAAATTAAAATCTGAACGAAATTATTAATATCTCGGGTAATATTGACAGTACAGAAAAGGCAGACCAATTTTTGGAAATCCCAGGACTAGGAGAATATCATGTTTCGTGGGACATCCTGTACCAATTAAGGGAAACCCCGGTCTGCAGAGATCTACAAAGGAGATGTCTCTTCTCATCTTTCGGTATCTCAAATCCAAATACAGGAACAGTCTCTTAGCCAATCAAACCTCAGATGCACTCATGAGGTAAGCAATAACTTTTAAAACTTAAAAATTGATTTGTTCTTTTAAAATGTTCAATCAGAAACAGAGAATGTATATTTGTACAGGGTGTACTAATAAACATTGTAAATAAGAGAAAACTTAAACAAATTATTTTGTTGATCTTTTTCTTCCAAAATATGGTTTGCCTTTTGTCGAATTGTTGAAGGTTATTTATTGATCAAGATTTTTTTTACTAGCGGCTAATCTTTGAGTCTAATTTTATAAATGAAAAATTTTGGAAAAGTTTCTTGATGTTCTTAAAATAAGATTTGTTTAGATTGATCCCTGACCTTCATGAGTGCACTGACATCCATCTGAACCGTAGAATATTCGGCAGTTTAGACGGTTCAGAATTTATTCAAGCTTTACAGAACACTTTAAAGAAAAAGCTAAATTTGACATGATCAAGTTTTAACAGAAGATGATTGATATCTCAATCATTTTTGATCATTCAATCGTTTTTAAGAGCACAAAGTTAACATTCATGAACACTTACTGGTGAACATAATTCTGATTCTGTAACTTGAACACGTGTTCTTAGTAATTTATTGCGTTAAGAAAATGTGTCCCAATATTTTCATTAAAACAAATTTCTAATGATATTATTGAATGGCAACTTATTTGATTTACAGAAATTTGTAGTCCTTTCATTTATCTTGTTCTTGACCTCATTTACCAAAATATATAAAAATGTACAAGGTACATGGGATCACTCCTTCACCGTAATATTTCATGATTCTTATCCGAAATTAACAATATAAATTTGCTTTTTCTATAAGTGGTGCTTCTCCATTTGTTATATAGAGGTGTAAGGTTCGGAAATAATGTTTATTTTGCAGTGAACATGTATAATTTGAAACTAATGTTAATTTGAACATATATAATATCTATTTACGTCATTGTAATGGGTATTATCATGTGCGATCAAAATGAAAGTGTTTTCACGACTCACTACGTTCAATGAGAAAATATATTTTGATTTTAATATAGAACAAACTAGAAAAAGTAAAAATGCCGACAAATACTTTTTTTCAAAGCTCATTAAAATGACATAAATGTAGTTTTATTCAACTTCACTCAACTTAATAATATGTTAGAAATTTGAAGAACAATACAATATATACATATGTATAATGCTGTTTTGCCTTATATGTTGAAAATAAAATTCAATTATTTTTTTTTGTTTGGCGCAAAACTTCTTGATTTTGGGGTGTTATCATAAAAAAGTAGGTGTGTAGAAGCCTGACTTTTAGAGTTATAAGAAAATATGATTTTGTCCTACATGTTAAAGTTAGAATTGAATTTGCATAAATGCGCAAACAGATTCACTGATATTTCGCAAACTTGTTCAATCTCGGATTTTACACGAGTCATTCTTAGTATGTTAAACAAGTAACATATGAATAAATAAACTTGTGAAAATATGTTATCATTCTGAGTTATTGAGACTTCTATAGGGGTATACTTTTTTGTTTGGAGTATTATCATAAAAAAGTAGGAGCATTTTTTAGATAGGGCTGTAAATTTTAAAGTTGGGCGTTTGTGTACAAATCTGAAGAAGAACTTCTCCCAATATTTCAAGCAATCCGGAGAAGACAAAAAAATCTTTCAGCCCATTCCATGATAAATGGATTGTGCAAAGGAAAATTTTCCTGCAACTTGAAAGCAGTGCTGCCGGGTTACCAGTCTAATCAAGAGCTTCGATATTGATGTAAAAACTAAAGCCTGTTTATTCTCGGCTTCGGACATCAAACAAGTTTGTACTGGGTCCTGAGATATCGTCCCCTTATTGGCTTGTGCGGAAGGCTACTGTTTATCTCACCTATTATGAAGGTCTCCAACATGTAGAGACATGAACTTGAAAATAGAGATATGCGAGTCTACTCCAGCTGGTGTGTATGTGACCCATATGCGAGTCTACTCCAGCTGGTGTGTATGTGACCCATATGCGAGCAAAGCAGCGAAGTGACAAGAGAAATTCAAAGAAAACTTTGTTTTTAGAACAATAATTTTTTTTAAAAAATATAGCGGAAAACTCATGAGTGCCAAGTTTGACTACATTTTTCATGTAAAAAACATACAAAAATGATTTAATGAAACCATTGTGTACTTTATTATTCTTACTTACTTCATCGTGAATTTCATAATGTACGTGCTATAAAGTAATCATCGTACTAAAGTTAAATTAGCTGTACATTATAGCACTTGTGCTTTAAAGTTTTAATTGGTTCCCGGATTTTCTCTTATAAATGTGCACTTGGGGACATGACATGAACACATTTATTTTCTAATTTTATTAGATTTCGCCAGGCCTAATTTCAATTATGTAGTATGTATGTTTGTATATTAATATCAGATTCCTGGTTCCACGGAAGACTGGAGAAGTAGGTCTTTACACTGGGCGCCTTTTGTGGACAGGAAATCGGATCTCATTCACCAAAACTCCTCTGGGAAAGAATATGGTCGGAAAATTGCCTTCTGATATGGCTACACATCTGCTAGTTGATGAACCAAAAAAGTATACATTCCATAGCTACAGGAGGTCGGCTGCTACAGCTGTAGCAGATAAATGACTTTTTTGATTGTGCAAATGCCAAAATGACCATGGAATATATGTCCACCAGCAAAGCAGCCATGATTAAGGTTGTCTAGAAGCTCCAAGATACTGAGACGAAGGACAACCTGGCCATGTGAATGTTGCTGAAAAATCTTATGGGGTTACTATAAAGAGATGGCCAATTTCTTATTCAGGTTATTAAAGGTAAAACTATAGGTCGTATCTATCTATCTACTCTGCTCTGGTAAACCGTAACCATAGTGTAACTATGGTTCTATCTATGGTTGAAAGTCTAAGAAATTGGCCAAGAGTCTGGAGCTTAAGTTTTCTAAATAAACAAAATTGAAAAACTTCCATTGCTTAATGTAAACCATGTGTTTTCTCTGTCAATACACAATAAACATATTAAATGCAATTTTTATAGCAGGATGAAAAAGTTACTTTTTCGCCCTGTTGTAGGGCGATAAAGTAACTTTTCCGCCTTACAACGGGTAATATTAAGTATATGATATTTTTACTGATAGAAGTGAGAATGATATACACTCCCTTGCAGTAAACATTCTGCAGTATGGAATTTTTTCTACAACTCGACATTATACTTATAATTGTTTACAATAACAACATGGTTTATTTCTGCCCCTAATATTAATCAATCAACATTTGGGATTGATCAGATGGAATTATGTGGACCCCTGAAACTAACTGGTAAAAACACAGAACATCTTTACTTTTTACACTAAACATTTATTTAATTTTTCAGTTTACGTTTTTAGTATAATCGATATATATATATATATATATATATATATATATATATATATTTCTACATAAGAAGATATAAATAAATGCGTTACAAAAATAAAAACAACTTTCGTTGAAATCACCAAGCAAGATGAGAAGTAATGGCCCAAATTTTAAATAAGAATGCTTGATGTTGTTAAACAAAATAAATCAAAATGAATGAACAAAACAGAATGAACGATTTTGGTAATAAAATTACATTATTTTTTAGAACGGCCAATGATTGAAATGATTTACTAGTAATAAGAGAAATTAATACACAGCTTACTGGATTAAGATTGGATAAATAAAATTAATTTCGTAAATTTTTAACAGTTCAAGAAAATTTTTATCAATTCAGAACATTTTTATATTCCAAAACCTTAAGTGTATTTATGTGTACTTATTAACCTTTAAATAGCACATGGATTCGTTTCATAAGTTCGGTATCTCTGTCATGGGGACATTTGTAATAATTACAGAAATGAATAAAAAATCCTTATTGTATATTCTTTAGGTAAAATTTGAAAGTCGTCTTCAAAATATTATTAAATTTGCCTACTACGGCACTCGGTAGGCTTTTACGATTATAAATTCATGATCAATATATTGATTATGTGAGTTTTGGGGAATACACACAGCCCGTGAAAAGGGACCTATTAACTTCACATTTTTTTAGAATAGGAACGATTGCTACAGCAGATTAGCGTTCAATGAATTCCTATTTAGCGTTCCAAGAGCTGTTCAATGTTTTCATTTATTACATCAGCTTGAGCAGGTGCTACCATCTTCTTGTAAAGTAGGTCAGAAGAACAACATTTTGTCATAAAGCAGCTGAGCGGGCTAGCAGCTTGATTTGAGGAGGGTTTGTGTCATTGTTTGTCCAAATGGCCCTGCACAAAGCCAAAATATAAGTCATTTTAAAATAAATTGTGCAGGTGCACACTAAGAAAATATGTTTAGAAGGTATTACATATTTAATAAATGAAAAAGGAATTGTAGCATAAATGGAAAAAGATAAAGTTTGAAATTAAAAAAATGGAAGAATACGAGTAAATGAAATGGATTGGAAAATGAATTGTATATTATGGATCTGTTCCTTGATGTGTTTAAACATATCCATCGCGGTGCCACATTTATATCCGCATTTGATGCAGGGTCTCTCTTCTTTATATTCATTTGTTCGGATCAATCCTAGAGTAAAAGATTTTAAATCAGTAATTTGAACTCTCTGTAAATAATACAAGGTATCTAAGAACTTCAGCATTAATTATGATCACACGTTACCGATCGTTTTTATATTTTCTTTGTGAAAACGTTTGATTTTATTCCGATTAACGAATACATTTTTCTACCTGTCTATAAATTTACCTGAAGTGACTGATTGCTTCCATTTTCTCCGAACCACGTTTCCCCAGGTTGGGGACAGAGACAAATTCTTTACGCGGAGGAATGAAGATGAATTGATCATTGGGAGAAAGGTTGGAATAGGTTGAAGAGAAGTATGTCCAGTTTTATCCATGTGCTTAGCAATATCAAAACCTTAATATAAAATGAATTTATTAGAAAAGCTAACCTAATGCTCAGAATTGATTTCCAACTTAAATTCCGTTTTGAGAAGTTATCTTTTTTCCTAGAAGCAAGATCAGCCCGCGTAAAATAAGTGTTCACTATGGTTTATAGGGTTACCCATAGTAAGTTTTTAAGACAACGGCGCAACACAAAACGTTGGGAACATGACTTTCAACCGATCTTGAGCTAAACAAAATAAAAAAAGACTTTGATAACAGACTGGAAATAGATTTATTGATTTATCGTTTTATTTGTATGCGTGAGCTTGTGCCCACACCCCTTATCCAAAATAAATTATTAGAGTTAAAAAGAAGTTATCTTATTCATAATAAATAAAAAAAGCAGTTTCATGGGTGTTCAAAAAAGTATATATAAAAAGCAGCGAAGTGACAANCCGGGGCCACCCTTCCTTCAAAAGCAACCCCCGTGGGCCGTGGTTATACTATTCCAGCAGTCATGGTGGACTGCTTTACTCAGAAGGAAGGGGCGGTGGAAGTCAGAGGCAAGGTGATAATAATAAACAAAAACAAGATTCCCCCTGGTTCCCTTTGTACACAAATTTAACTTACCTACAGGTACACGTGGGTGGGTGAGATGCGTACACCCTGGTGTACACTTAAACCCCCTTGCTGGATCCGCCTCACAGTCAATACAAAGATAGAAGTACTCAATATCACCAGCAATCTAAATATTTCAATACATACAGTGGTCGGCGTTTATATCAATACACTAAAGACTTATAAATAAAGGTTTTGATTTCTGACAAGTTTTATTTAAATTATAAGTTTACAAGTAAATTAAGAGAAGCTGTTAATTGACAGATTCTCTTAGTTTCCATGTTTTAGTGTATCCAATATCCATGCTGTTTGAAAGCTTTGAAGGAATCAAAATTGAAACAGAAAGTCGTCTTCATTGTATTGTATATACGACAACTGATTATGGATATAAGGATTGAACTGCTTGTTCTATAACCCCCCCCCCCCCATGCAATGATAATGATGATTGCAAATGCAATAACAAAAAAATCTTTAAAATCAGGATGAGGGTTTTTAATTAGCTACAGTTCAAGATACCTCTGTTGTTAAAGAGGACGATGGTCTGGGTTCCGAAGATAGCTCCATGGATTCTGTTCTGGCCTTCTTCATTTTAGCCTGTATGGTTTCTGCAGTAATCCAACTACCCAGTCTCTTTCGTTTAATCCGTGCCACAGGTCCTTCGGACAGAGATGATCCCGGCCTGCTGGTATCAGAGCTACTAGGATTATGGGCAGGGGAGGAAGGTTCCTTTTTAACCTTCGTCTCTGAATACAAGTGTTCTGCTGTATAATGTCGTTGAAGATCAGCAGGAGTACTGAAATCTTGTCTGCAATCCTGACACTTGTAACCAGGAGCAACTGAAGCAGTGATAGGACGTATTGTCAACTTTGGAACCGTTAATTTCTTACTCAAAGCCTGCTCTTTCAGAAAAACTGCTCTGGCAATATCTCTATCATTTTTACTGATCATTACCCGAACTTTCTTCTGCGGTGGCTCAAACCTATTGACAGAAGCTTGAGATGGTTTAGTAGTGTGTAGTTCACGAATATGCGTCTCCATTTCGTTTGCCAAATGTTGAATATGGTTGCTAGCGATCATTCTTTTACACTTGAGACATCTTAACCGGATGTTAAGCTCTGAGCTGTGGAGTCTACAGTGTTCTAACACTTCTTTGATAGATAGATGGATAGTTGGATCTTCACAGTTGGCACATTGATACCCAACCGTTTTTCTAAACAAGATAAGCATATTAACTCAGTGGTAAAATCCCCCACTCTTACAAATAATTTCCCCCCCATATGTTTACTATTTTTGCACCGAGAGAATCTTTTCTGAATGAAAATCCAGTATCGAATTAATTAAACCTTTCAAACCAGCAAATTTGTTAATTTGATCCTTCTATATTATAAATATCATAATATCTTTATACTACTTTAACAATTACCTTGTGTTGAGATGGTCGAGATGCTTTGAACTCTCTGATCTTGAAAAGTAAATATTGCACCGGACACACTTGTATGGAGTATCTTTAAACATCTGAATACAATCGAAGGACACCTTGCAGGTTTGAATATGTTTGGAGAAGGAAGATCGGTCGTTGAAAGAGACTTGGCAGAGGAAACAGAACCCTGTAGCGGAGAGATACTTCGGATCCGTCAAGGAACTAATGGAAGAGTAGTTCGACACAAATTTGGCCATTAGCTCATCAAATTCTAAATCATATTTGGTTAAATAGAAAATGTCACGGTATTTAGTAAATTCCATCGAATTTATTCCAATTTCTTTTAAATCTAATCCATTCTTCCCATCGAATTCAATTCCAATTCCAAAACCATTTCAAGTCAATTTAAAACCATCCTAATCACATTCAACCCCAATCTTATCCCAATCCAAACCATACCTGACAAATCAACACTGCGTAGATCAGGTTTAACAAGCATAAGCTTAATACAGAAGATATAGGTGCTGGACTGGGCCGGGTTGAAGGGATTCATCTTGTAGATGGAGCAGAAGTCCAGGAAGAACTTCAGCAGTTTCCTCAGATTGATGTGTTTATGAGTTAGAAGATGAGTTTGATTAATGGAAACCTTGCCGCAAACAAAACAGTCCGTGTTCACAGCTTGACTGCTCGGACTCATACCAAAGATTGTACGCACGTGTTCTAGAGATTAACAAAGGGTCAAGAAACAGGAAAAAGTATAATAGACATATATATCTATACCCCCAAGGTACCTTACCCACGAGTTCCCTAAAAAAATGCAGTCAAATTGGTCCAGCCGTTCGGCCAGCCATAGCCAACAAACGGGCTTTAACGTTTTTGTCTGGTCTGAACTGAAAAGTTTTTCCCCCCCCCCCCCCCATAAAATGTTTATTTTGATTATATAGTTAGGTAATCCATCTATTAAGTCAGGAAAAATCGGCAAAATATTTAGTTTTCTTAAAAGCAATATTCACAACCTAAAATTGTGACTAGAAAAAAGACGCGAATGCCAAAAACCTAGCTGATAAAAAGTCCCGTAACATTTATTTCAAATCTTTGATATTGAAGGGCTTTTTTAAAAATAGAGTTACTAACCTGACGAAGTGAGATGAAGTTCCATCTGGGAAACAAGATTTGACAAACTCCCTTCGTCGTTAGTTACATTCAAGGTTCTAGTATGGTAGCATCTGGTGCACCCAACAGCTCCTGGCTGCTTCCTAGTATGGTTTGCCAGCACATGATTCCGTGCCTCCGACATGGTTGGGAAGTAACAGGTTTCTTTGAAGCAGGTTGTGCAGGAAAGGAACTTATGATGATCTAATCTTAGGTTGAAGAAGCTTTCAGGGACTATATTCATTGTATTCATTAGGTCTTTCACGTTCGAATCTTCAATCAGAAAGTGTCCATTAATCTTCTGGTGGATTTCGTTGACTATAGACAGGAATGTTATTATATCTTTTCTGAGTATTGTAGAATTGTTGAAAAATTGAGACATAACAATTACAAGTTGCATTGGATCACAATCATGTATACCGCAGAGGCTGGAGGCACAATGCCGCTGAAATGCCTTAAGAAGAGGATAACAAATCCAGACCTTCTTAAACAGTTCAAACTCTAAGATGTTACTTACTGGGTATATCTCATCGTAAATACAAATATGAGATATTTGTCCTGAAACTGAGCTTATTTCTGGGATAAGATCTTCTCTTCTACCAACTTCCATTCCCAGAAGAAATAAGATAAAATCTTTAAACAAGTAGGAGTTCATTCTACGATTTGTGATCATATCCTGTACACATGGAAGATTTTCATTGCATTGGACAATAAACTTTGATGGATTGCTACAAGCTCTACGTGGCACAAACTCCAATTCTGGAGTCTTTGACTCTCTGTGCATCATGAGAGGAGGATCTTCAAAATCATCAGTGTCATCTGATTCATTCAGGTCGATTAGATCAGGAATCCTAACCGAGTTTATTCTTTCGTCCTGATACTTGAGCATGTTTACAAATCTCCTCAAGTCTAATGATAAATGCGGTGACATTAAATCCAGTGCCCTTGGCGAATTATACACCAGAAACATCAATGCAATCTCGGTCTGATGAACAGTTTTAAAGTTGCAATTCGTATTTTTGCACTTTGGGAATGGACAGTTTCTCTCAGTGTTCAAAATATTTCCAAGCTTAGATTTACATTCCTCGGCGAACACGGGCATATCTTTTAAATGTTTGTTCACATGCTTCGTTATGGTGTGTATCTTGTCCCAGCCGCTTGAAGATAGCTCCCAGTGACATATGGGGCATTTTACCTTTTCCACAGGGGGGATAATATCTTCTTGTTGAAGGGAGCAAACGCTTAAAATCTTAGGTTCAACTGGCTCCGTGCATTTTTTGTCAGGGAAATTAGTTTTCATATACTCGTCAAATGAGGGATACAAATTCTTTAAAAGATTGTGAGAAGTATATCCGTGTATGAGTATATCAGGAAATATTCCACTGAATTGGCAGGGTACTGTAGGACACTTGTACACAGATTCAGTATACGCTTCAATAGACGCCGACCCAAGAATGTGTAAAATTAACGCTAAATTTCTAATCAAACGTCCTTTGTTCACACATTCATCCACATGAAGAAGGAAGAACTTTTCCTGGTACCGCGACTTACAGTTGGAGCATTCTCTTAGTTCAAAACTATAGTTTGGTTCAACAAAGAATCCAGATTTCTTTAAGTCTTCATACGGCCAATTGTTGTGCTTGCAGAAGTTTCTGTAGATAGTATTGATTTTTTTGTGAAAGTATGCATAGTGCTCCTGAATAAGATGAGGATTCATGAAGCCTGGGAACCCGCAGTTATTTTGTGGACACATAGATATCTCCATTCCGTTTACAACAAGTCTTTTTGTCTTTAAACTCTCTATTTTCCTCATTTCACTGTCAACAAAATACCTCATATGCTTCTGAAGAAGATGCTTCTGAAGGGCACCTACAGAAAATGCAAAATCTGATTCACAACCAGGAAAACTGCACTTATAGATATCTTTACCATATAAATCATTAGCAATCACATAATAAAGAATGGCATGATGTGAAAAAAACACATGCTTCACGAAAGCATCTTCGCTAGGATAGGTTCCATGGATTTTACACTGAAAAGTGTTCCCAACTTTGTGGTCTCGAATAACAAAGGAGAAGTCCTTTGAATGAAGATGGCACTCGTAAATGTGCAACACACAAAGTGCACGTTCTTCAAACTTTTTTCCACAATACACACATTCTCCTGCAGCAGTAAAATCTTCTACAAGTTTCTTGTTTTGTTCAAACAGCTTTTCATTTGGATGGCTTGTTGATGAAATGAGATTCTCCAGAGGTCTTGGATTCAGATCAGGGACTTTGTTCTGCAGCTTTCCTATTTGCACTGGCACTGTGGATATACTTGAAACTATTGCAGGAAGATCAGGGCAAAGTTTGTGTGAAATCTTTTTTGATGGTTTTGATCCAGGTTTAAGCACAGCTTGCACAGTTGAAGGAATTCTTATATCTGGAGCAATAATTTTCTTTACATTAATAACAGGAGTATTAGAGTTTACAGGGACTGTTGTTGATTTTTTTAGAACTACATTATTTATTGAAGTTTGAGATTGTGGTATAGACGTGCTTGAAATAGGCGCTAGTATTGATCGGTTGTTATTTCTTAATGCATCCTGTTTGGATGCTGCATCCTGTTTGGATGCTGCATCCTGTTTGAATGTTGCATCCTGTTTGGTTCCTGCACGCGGTTTGGATCCTGCACGCTGTTTGGTTACTACTTTCTGACTGGATATTACAGGCTGATTGGTAGATGAATGTTGGTATGTTGTTGCATGCTTATGAGTAGATGCATGTTGAGTAGATAACACATGCTGGTTGGTAGATGCATGATGAATTGTTGTTGCATGCTGAATGGTAGATGCTTTGTGGTATATTGGTGCATACTGGTTGGTAGATGTAGGTTGGTTTGTTGTTACAAGGTGGTTAGTAGATGCGAGGAGGGTGGCTGTTGCATGCTGATTGGTAGATGCATGCTGGTTTGTTGTTGCGCGCTGGTTGGATGTGTGCTTTGTCACACTAACATGATTGCTCAATGTATTAACTACGTGAGGTTGATCATTTAAACTCTGAGAAACCTGGTTTGATATTAACTTGAAATAATCCAGCCAGAATTTGGTCGGGGAAACCATTTGTATAACATTTATTGGTTTGAGAACAGCTAGTAAATATTCTTTGCTCAGGGTCCGTTTGTGCTCAGGAGGCAGTGATAAAAGAACAATCTGAGCACACACAGAATAATACTGAGACTCATTCAGATCTGTTTGAGAATATATGTCCTTCTTTAAGCCAACTTCCATGGAGGTTTCTTTCTCTTTCAATTTTTCATAGTAAGACCACAATATTCTTCGGATATCGTAGACTTGGTCAGGTGAAAAATTCGCATAATCATTTTCAAATTCTGTTCTCCACTCATTGCCAATATCATTGACATTTGCCTTCTTCCTCTTTCCAGATATTGAGAAGTAGAAATCACAAATGGAAAGATCAGAAACTGAAAATAACTAATTTAAGTATAAATGAAGAAGAGGGGTAAACTATCTTGATAAACTAATAAATATTCTAAAAAATAAACTATGAAAGGGAATATGGAGGTTCGGACTTTAAACATTAACGTTTCAAATTTGTTTCTAAAAAACTCCAGAACTGGTACTTTTTGATGAATTTAATTTTAATTATGTTAAAGAACTTCAAATATAGATACTAAATACTTGACTCAAATTTAACATTTTCTAAACCACATATCTTTGTAACCTTAAGGTAAAACGTTTGAAATATCAAACTTTGACTCTTTGATCTAACAAAATTCACAGCGGGAATTTTCTAAGGTCTAAGAAATCAGGTTTCAAAGAAATAAGGAATATTGAAAAAGAGTTTGAGACAAGAATTCAGTTCCTTTTTTCTAAAAAACGATATAAATAGATATCATAATCTAAAAAAGTTATCATAATTATGATAAAATTATGTTTACTTAGTAAGCAACTAAAATTGTGTTTCAAAACGATACGAAAAAAACATCAAAAATTATATCATAAGAAAATCTTGAATTGTTGTTGGAATTTTCAAATTTTGCTGACCAAAAAAAAGCATAATAGTATTGATAAAATACTTCATTAGGCTGTTCAATAACGAATTATGGGCAAAATGCTCTACTTTGAAACTATTTTTATTAAAGTAAAAAAGCAAAGTGTAGAATTGTTTACCTTCCATTAGACCTTGCTGGAAAGACTTTAATCTCTTACTGGAGAGTATAAAAGCAGAATTGTTATTCACCAGATCATGTAGATTGAAAACCTTGACAGGAAGGTCAGCTCGCAGTTCAAACTCCTTTTTCTTACCCAAATAGAAAACTGCTTTGGTTGGTAGGTTCCAGTCTGGCAGGAAAGTAAAAGAACAATTCTCCCATAGCGCAGGATCCTTGGGCAATCTTTTGTGTTCATTTACTGATACAAATAGTTTAACACAAATATCACTGGCGCATGAAATAAAGGTATTGAGAATGATATAATGATTATCAGAGTTGACTATGCTGTACCGATATCGGGATTCAACAGGATACCAGATAAAACGAGCTTGACGAAGTGGTGCTACTGTGCTCGGTGCTACTGTGTTATCTAAAGATCTATGATGAACCGTAACTGTGGGAGCTGCTTCAGGTTTATGAGGCAATGCTTCAATATTAGCCGCAGGGTCCCGAGCAAAACTAGAAACCCGTATTGATGGTTTTCTTATAATATCAGACAACGGAACAGGCTGACGAGGTAACTGAATAGTAAGGGGGGGATGGAGGCTAGTTCCTGAACCAAATGGTTTATTGATCATTCCAGGATATTCAGTATTACCCAAGGTTAGCTTTGGATCTCTCTTAGATAAATTGAAGCTTGTTTTGGAATTAACCATTTGAGAAGTTGTGGTTGATTTTATGCTAGTGTTTTGAGGAGGTTTGGCGTGAGGTGGATTGGAAGTCCCCTCCATACATGGTGGTGAACCGAAGACATCTCGAATTTTTTCCTGGAGAAATCGGGGTACAAGGAAATCCAAAGAAAACTTTTTTTCTTCTGAATCAAAGGATTAATTGTCAACATAAGAAAGGCCCTAATATAAAAAAATTACTTTTACAGAAAAATATTAGTTTATAAATGATTAAAATCTAAAATATAGTGTATTTTCAGCTCTCGCCAAAGCAACACATACGACCCAAGTTGATTTATAATGCTTAGTTAGATGTAAGTACAGTCACATCAACTTTAAACCAAACCTACAAGACAGCATAATGCTTTCTCAAACAAAACAGATAAAGATATTCTTAGCAGCTAGTATTCCTTAACCATATATTCAGATAGCCGCGGCTCAAATTTTTTAAATTTGGCCTCTGTACTGGAAAATCCTGTCTGATAAAAACACAAATTTGAAAACACTGTTTCATTTATGATATTTGTTAAAATTTAAGATTTGAAAAAATAAACTATTAAATATAAAAAAAAAGTTTTACACTATATAATCTAAAGAAAAAAAGGATATTTTAAAGAATATTAATCATTTCCTAAACAAAATATTCTTTTATAAAGCGAGTTCTTCAGAAAACCATTGATATTGTTAATTGCTGTCTGGACATGTAACTCGTCGGTTGGTAAATCCATCAGCTGCTCGTTCCAGACAATAATACGCTTGATCAGCTCATTACAAACTACGTTACGCAGACTCTCGTAACAATCATCTAGGTTAGGTTCCGTCAGATTTTCAAGTTTTTGATGGGTCAACCCAGATTTTGTGTAGAGAAGTTCAACGAGATCTGGATCTTGTAATATCATAATCCTTAACGCATGCGCATTAGATATTTCCACTGGATTGGTTTTTACATCGTTTGAATGAGATTCATCTAGAGATATTATTTTCATATCTTCAGAGTCCGAGTTGTCTAGAGCTTTAGAACTCTTTGCAGAGTTATCATCTTTAACACTGTCCGCTGGTGTCGGTGACCTTGTGAAGATAGATCGATCAACAATTATCCTCGTCTCATTAAACGACTCGTAATCAACAAAAGGCGGAGGCGAATCTAGAAGGGCTTCAATCTCGAAACAAGGACTTGGAGAACTGGGACTTGGAGGATTTACTGATTGTGTTCCAGCAAACTCTGGACTAACCAGGAACTCATCCATTAGATTGGGAATAGGACGTGAGCCAGTAAGAGCTTCGGGTTCACAAGACAAGATATATTCATCTGTAGTAAGTTCAGATTTGTCCCGTTTACTAAGAATTATTCCGATAGGTTTAGATATATTCTGTATGCTGGGATTTACTATGGTAGGAACAGATACATCTTGTCTACTAGAATTTACTCCGGTAAGTTCAGATTCATCCTGTCTTCTAGTATCTACTCCGAAAGGCTCCGATTCATCTTGAATACTAGTACTTACTCCGAATGGCTCAGAATCATGCTGTATGCAAGGAATTACTCCGATAGGTTCAGATACATCCTGTTCACTAGGGATTACTCCGAAAGGTTCAGAATCTTGTATACCGGTAGGTTCAGATTCTTGTATACTCGGGTTTTCTCCGGAAGGTTCAGAAGCATGTTGTATAATAGGGTTTACTGGGGTAGGTTGAGAAGAATCTTGTATGTCGGGCTTTTCTCCGGAAGGTTCAGAAACATCCTGTGTTTTAGGTTTTTCTGGGGTAGGTTCAGATACACCATGTATACTAAAGTTTACTCCAGTAGGTCCAGAAGCATCTTGTATACTAGGGTTTACTTTAGTAGGTTCTGACAAATCTTGTATACTAGAATTTACTCCGGTAAATTCAGATTCATCCTGTATTTTAAGGACCTTTCCGATAGGTTCAGTTACACCTTGTATTCCAGGGATAATTCCGATAGGTTCAGTTACACCTTGTATACCAGGGATTATTCCAGTAGGTTCGGATACATCTTGCATATTAGGGATTACGCCAGTAGGTTCGGATACATCCTGTATACTAGGAATTACTCTAATAGGTTCAGATACATCCTGTTCAGTAGGGTTTACTCCGGTAGGTTCGGATACATCCTGTATACTAGGAATTACTCCAATAGGTTCAGACACATCCTGTTCAGTAGGGTTTACTCCAGCAGGTTCGGATACATCCTGTATACTAGGGTTTACTCCAGCAGGTTCAGATGCATCCTGTTCAGTAGGGTTTACTCCAGTAGGTTCAGATACATCTTGTTCAGTAGGGTTTACTCCAGTAAGTTCGGATACATCCTGTTCGGTAGGGTTTACGCCAACAGGTTCAGATACATCCTGTTCAGTTGGGTTTACTCCAGTAGGTTCAGATACGTCCTGTTCAGTTGGGTTTACTCCAGTAGGTTCAGATACGTCCTGTTCAGTTGGGTTTACTCCAGTAGGTTCAGATACGTCCTGTTCAGTTGGGTTTACTCCAGTAGGTTCAGATACGTCCTGTTCAGTTGGGTTTACTCCAGTAGGTTCAGATACGTCCTGTTCAGTTGGGTTTACTCCAGTAGGTTCAGATACGTCCTGTTCAGTTGGGTTTACTCCAGTAGGTTCGGATACATCCTGTATACTAGGGTTTACTCTGCTAGGTTGAAATACATCCTGCAAGCATGGCTTCTCACTGGAAGAAGAGCTTACTGACTCAGTGATAATTTCGTGAACAATGTCGAGTATATCAGTACTAATTGATAATTTTACTGAATCTTCATGAATTTCTTTTTCTTCCATGATCTTGACTGAAATAAAAACATTATTATCTCTGGCAAATTCAGTTAACGTGAAGAATTGAATATTTTACCTTTTTACTTCAAGGTGACTTTAGCATAAAGCAAATTACACCTATCTCGGCCATTTTTATCTAAAACAGAAAATATTCTGTTGGGTGATTACTGAAAAGTGACTATTGCTTGAATATACGATTATGTGAACTAATTAGTGTCCGGAACAGATCATTCAATAACATTTGGGTTAGTTCTTCATTTACAGGGTTAGGTTAAATTTGGCACATTTTCCAATAGTTCAATGCAACAAATGCAGGGGAAAATCAAATCTGTTCCAGTCTAAATGAAATCAAATTATTTCGTACAATTCAATAAAATCGAGTTTAAAATTACATCATGTGATTAAGTTTTGGTGGCCATGATAGTTTGCTTGTCAGTTCCTTATGATTCAAAGAAGAATGTAAAAGCGCGAGTGCAAAAAGTTTTACAGGTTAAATTTCAACATTGTGCAATTACGGACGGACAGATCTCAATACAAAATTAACAAGCCTTGCATCAATAATTAAGGCATCTTTCATAAAAACTTTATCAATAGGACTTATTAAAAATTTAAACTAAATCAGGCACGATAACAAGCAAAACATACTAATAACACAATTCACATTATAAAAACTGATGTATTATCAGATCTAAAGCTTAATTAAAGCAGATCAATATAAAGAGATAGGTAGATAAAGATAAAATAAATAATTAAATTTGATTTAAAAACTAATAGAATTTAAAACTTAAGACAAGACGATTATTTATGTGATTGTGAATAATTTTTCCTTCATGATTAAATAAATTAAAACCAGCGCTTCCCTCAAATCCATTAAAAGATAAGTATGTGTTATGTTCGATGATAATATAGCTCGAGGGAAGCGCAGAAAAACTACCAATAGGCATAAAGTGTAAAATTATTTTGAGCATAAAATTGAAATTTAATTTTATCATTTTCAAAACAAACTGAAAAGAGGCAACGAACAATAAAAAAAATAGCTGAAGTAGAATACTTTGCTCAGGAAAAAGAAGGACAAAAAATTAAATCACGAGAGAATTTGCTTGGAGCGATTAATATCAACCGAAAAATAGTAATAGGTCGAAAATGTTAAATCATCAAATGAATTCGTACGGTTTAACAAAAACAGCCTTTTCAAAACTAAATCTTCCACCAGCTGAAAACGAACAGTTCCCAATTACAAACATTACAAACGAAAATTCAGGTTGAAATAAATTAATCTAGTTGAGGAACCGAATAGACATCTTCTGCTCAACATCTGTTCTCTCCAACACCGTCACAAACTCATCAAATGAAATCAGATTATCCTAAAATTTAAATATTTCAAACCGACCGTAGGGGGTTAAAAAAGGGAATATTAAGATTGTTTTCATTTATATATTACAAAGAGCCTTGTCTTTAACCATAGATCGGAGCTTTTCTGTGGATATTGTATATCTTGATCTTGATCTCGATATTTCAACGTGGGCACTTTTATTGTTGCAGATATCAATGCTTGATCACTTAATTAAAGTTATCTATGCAGGATATGATCATCACAAGATGTCAAAGAGAATATACGATGGATATCGATGCTTGATCCCTAGTAAACAATATGTTTGTCTCTAGGGTTAGCGGATACGATGGTAACGTAGATTTAGGTCAGATGTAAAAAAGGCATTTCAGATAAATTTTTTTTTAATCTATTTTATCATTCTCTCCACCTGAACTGGTATTATCTTTTTAAACTTGTCTTTCCCTTAAACTGGAAAAAATAGAAAAAACAATAAATATTTTCTTCCAACCCGGGTTCTGGATAATTGGTGTAAAATCGTTTCTACAGTATAAAAAAATTAAGAAAAGGCAGGGGTATATATTTTTAACAATAATTTTTTCTGAATGTTTTGTGCAAAACTATTTTGACAGAATTGCCGTATTCCTTTATCTAAACTTAAAAGTTTTTCTCTATAAATCCCTTTAATTAAAAGGTTGATCCGCATCAACAAAAAATATATGATAATTTCTAACCCTTTAAATAATAAAATTTGACCTGATCTTGATCCGCTTCCATTATAGTTCTCTCCGCTATAGAAACCAACTGCTCAGAGCTAATGTTAGCTCCAACCATCATAGTTAATACAGCCAACAGCTCCTCCTGGTGGAATATCATTTTAGAAATTCTATTTTAGTTTTTGAAATAAAATTAGTTACAGTGGCTAGAAATAAAATTAGTTACAGTGGCTAGAAATAAAATTAGTTACAGTGGCTAGAAATAAAATTTGTTACAGTGGCTAGAAATAAACTTAGTTACAGTGGCTAGAAATAAAATTAGCTACAGTGGCTAGAAATAAAATTAGTTAGTAGCTAGAAATAAAATTAGTTACAGTGGCTAGAAATAAACTTAGATACAGTGGCTAGAAATAAAATTAGTTACAGTGGCTAGAAATAAAATTAGCTACAGTGGCTAGAAATAAAATTAGTTACAGTGGCTAGAAATAAAATTAGCTACAGTGGCTAGAAATAAAATTAGCTACAGTGGCTAGAAATAAAATTAGCTGCAGTGGCTAGAAATAAAATTAGCTACAGTGGATAGAAATAAAATTAGTTCCAGTGGCTGGAGATAAAATTGGTTACAGTGGCTAGAAATAAAATTAGCTACAGTGGCTAGAAATAAAATTAGTTACAGTGGCTAGAAATAAAATAGTTCTTTTAACCCTGCTGCGGAATATGAAAATGGCCTTGGAAACTTTTCATATGTCTGGAAATGGGGTTGGAAAAACATAAATCCTTGAAAAAAATAAAACCTTGGATATCTTATCATCACCATCCAGATCGTACATCCTGAACGCAAAGTGTAGTTTCTCCATCCTGGAATTCAAAACTGGTTCCTTCGTGTCCTTCTGCTTTTCCTTTTTTATTGGCCTTAAAAACAACAATTCATTGATTAAAGGGACTGAAAAGAACAACTTTATTGATTAAAGGGACTGAAATAACAAGTTTTAACAAGTTTATTGATTAAAGGGACTGAAAAGAACAAGTTTATTGATTAAAGGGACTGAAAAGAACAAGTTTATATATTAAAGGGACTGTAAAGAACAAGTTTATTGATTAAAGGGACGTTAGTGCTAACTTAACAGTGTAAAGGTTAGATCTAGAATACGTCCTGTTAAATCCAGCTAATTTAAATATTTCGTTACATCAAAACGAATCAAATTGGTTGCTAAGAACATGACGGGTTTTTGAATATATTGAATTCAAGCATTTGGATCCGGATTCGTTGACCAGCCTATTTTTTAAGAGTGAAAGCATAATTAGCAAGATGTTACTGTCAAGAAAGTGTCTAAAATGGCTAAAAATTCATTTTGAAACTAAATATTGCTGGATAAGGAACACAGCAAACTTTTCACACTTGTACCAACTGACCTAAAATGAGCCAACACTTTGACGAAATCCCTAAAGTCAACTTTATCCTCATCTTCATTCTAAAAAATAATAAATTTGAACAAAAATATAATTTCAAATGTAATAAAACTTCGTTTTAAATCTACAAGATACGCACTGACACAGCATACCTTGCTCTCCTGGAAGAATGCGTGAACGATCCTGTCTCCGAGAGGATTTATTGCTAGCTCTGGGATCCGGAGGAAATCCTCTCTGGATAGGAAACCCTTATCCTGCTTATCCAAGCTAGAGAACCTGAAGAAGAACATTTTTAATATGCATCATCATGATCATGATATATCTTGTGATTTCAAAAACGACTAATTTACTTGAATTGAATTCGACATCATAGCTTGTAATAACTGAATAGGTTTATTTTATTTATTATCTAAGGTCTGGGTAAATTAATGCCACTCCGTGGATTTGTATGGGTGCCACGCTCTTCGGTATGAGTCGTTATGAACCATTTCCTCCTTATAGACGCAACAGATAGAAGTAAAATGTTTAGCGATCGATATTAAATAATATTCGGAGTAATTTTGCTTCCCTTCAATAAATAAAATATTAACCTGGTGTACAATCTATCTATCTGACTTGATGTAAACCCAGTTTCCTTCTGAATACTGAGAATATCTTCAGGTTGGAGTTTATGGGATGAATGGGTTACTCCCATTTTCAAATCTTAAATTTTTATTTTACTTCATGTATTTTCTGAAAAAGATGCAAATTTAGCAAGTGTCACATAAATGACAGTTTAGAGCTATGTTCAGAAACAAGATTTTGGCACTTTCCTAGAGAACGTTTTTTGGACCCCCCCCCCCCTCCCCTCCTATTAATTTTGTTCATGATTTCAGCAAAATTATTATTTTAAATTTTTAACTTTAAGTTAGGTTTAGATAATTTCCCGGCCGAGCGCCGCGGCCAGGAGAGGCTGGGGGGCCGTGCGCTCCGGCCATATGACCAATGATAACCATGAACAATTACAAAACCAATATGAAGGGAGTCCATTCTCTAGGGAATTACACAGATCTGTAAAAAATAATCGGAAGGAAAGAATGAAAAAGATCTGTAAAAAATAATCAAAAAGACAGAATGAATAAGCTCGCAAAATGAAACTTTTATTGGGAGATGGTTCGAATTTATTGTGAAGCCATCGTTAAAGTAAATTCCCAAAAATATAACACAAGTACGTTGGTAAAATAACATTCATTGGGTACAAAATTGATAGGAGGGGGGGGCTGGGGGGGGTCCAAAAATCGTATACTAGCAAATTACCCATTCATTTTTAAATATGCAAACAACCTTTAAGCATTTCGCTTTATAACTAGCATTGCATAATTTACTTCAACAATTGTTAGCTGGTGAATGTTTGCTGAAAACCGAGGAAAATGGAACTATTCCGCGGCAATCTTGAGTCAGCGCAGATTTATGGAATAATCAGAGTTCGGAAATATATTCAACCCTTACCTGTTACCTTCTTTTCTCTAGATTTTTATTTCGGTCAAATTGTTAAAAATCAGCATAAAAATTAATTTATAGATCAATGTGATGATTCAGGATTTATTTGAAAAAATTTGTTTTCACATTTTATAACTTGCACATCTAAATTCTTTAAAAATTTTCTAAAAGTTTAATTTATTTTCCAGACTACGTTTCAGCTCAATAAGTTTCATTTCCCAAACCAAACATAGTCATGTGTTTGTTTAAAATTGATCAAATAAAAAACAACAAAAATGCAATCAAAACAATTTTTTGACATATCGGTGTTAAACTTAATCTAAATTCTCAAATTTGTCTGCCCTCAGTTGTTAACACTTGACCATAATTATCAGTTTAATGGGATTTTTTTCCATATAAAAGATCCACGAATGAATTATAGAAAATGTCGGGGTGATCAATTTTTAGTAATGCTTTTTTATTGATGTTTTCTATTTGCTAATTATTAGTATTGAATAAATCAGAAAAAAATAAATATTCAGAAGCCGAATGAATGAACCGCTTATTTTCAGACTTAAAAACACGTCGGTTGCTGTAATCATAAAATGTGTGCCATAATGGACTATTTTGATCTAATCTAGTGACGCTATGCGTCCCTCTCACCCTCACCCGCCTGGGTATGGATCGGGTATATCTGACGCAATGCGTCCCTCCCACCCACACACCCCTGCGTATGGGTCGGGTATGCCAGTTCAATATCTTGCTGGTCGGGGCCCTCACGGATTACATCAGGGCATACATCAAGGTGGTCATGTACCAGGTGTACATCAGGGAGTACATGGACCTACTGGACATCATCCAGGGATTCACGGCGTACACCAGCGCCCTGGTCAGCATATTAAATATTATCCCAGTCTAAGTGGGAGTGAAACTGATGTGTCCACTTCAACTGAAAATTTAACCCAGGTAAACCAGGAATAGGGGTTTTTCGAAGAAACTCTTATTAATTTACTCCTTTAATATGAAACTAAACGTTACTTAAAAGATCACAGAAAATAATGCCACATCTTTTTTAAAAATGGGGTAGGGGAATATTCATCCTTGATGTTCAGTTAATTAGAAATATATTGATATGAGATCAGACTTGCTAATCGGTCAAGTCGGGCTGGAATCGGACCTGGGGGGGGGGAGGAAGAGGGTGGTCAGTTTGGATCTCTTAAAATCAATTAGAACTGTGCTTTATTCAAGTTAAAAAAATAACGTAGATATTTTTTAAGTATTTGTAAATCAGATACTTTTCTTACTAAACAAAATTTGAACTACTTTTCTTGATTATTAAATTATGAATCACGTCCTGGACATATTAAAGATGAAATTAGAAAATATCGATAATTTGCAGCAGAATACATAGAAATTACTAAAGGTTTATCATAAAAATGAAAAAAATCAATCAAAATTTTTTATTTTTAGGACTCTTCCAACTAAAAACTACGCAAGTTTGGCGGAAAGCCTACGAGCCAGCTACCCAGACGGAGACATACAACTACCAGACAAACCTATTAAAATACTCGAAGACTTCAATTCAACCAGGAAATCCGTGAATTTCGAGGGAAGAAAATCTGCGAACTTGGACGGAAATATCAATAGTTATGAGGTCACAAAACCCGCGAGTTATACTGAGGGTGCTAACAATACGATCACAATCGACGAAGATTCTAATCCTGATATTTCGAGGTAAGTACTTTCCGTCGGAATCAATATCTTCAATTTAAGCAATAAAATAATATTTATAAATAATGTTTCTTTAGGATTGAACCTTGGACATCTTCCTAAGATTAAATCCTGTACACAGTAGTCATACCAATAAAAGATATTCAAAAAAATTTGTATCAGGAGGAGCGGTATGTGCTCCGTAACATGGAACGTCAGGAGCCCCAGGGTGAAGAACAGCATCATCAAGTCTCACATCAACAACTCGGTCATATTCATGCTATGGCCGGGCATATACTTCAGTCTCATGGACAGGCGGGGCCCAGCTACCATCCGCCCCCACCTTATTCAGATAGGTTAGTACTTAATTATTTTGAGGCAGAAACTTTTTAATAAGATAATTTAAGTTCTATAAATTTTACTCTACAGGAAAACTAAATCTTTTAATTTACAAGATCGTTTCTAAAACTTGAATCATTTATAAAACTAGTCAAAATTACAATCAATAATGAATTTGCTCTACGAATTAAGTTTGTTCAGTTCTTTCTAGTACTTCCCATCCCCCTTTTCCTACATTTTTTTAACTATAGGAAGGAAAGGGGGCTTATTACGAAATGCAAGTTTTTAAACAAGATCATATTTAACATTTTCAAGAAAATTCCTTTATTTCCTTTAATTCCTTCATTTCTTAATATCGAGACAAAAATTCGAATTTTGCAATTAAAGATCCTAGACAAAAAAAGGGGGTGGGGGGAGGTACAATTGTGTGTGCTTTAAATTATCGGGAAAATTACGATATCAGGCATTTTAACGAAACCATTTTTTAGTCGTAGATAAGAAAATGTCCTTTTTAAATGTTAAAATCTTTTTCAATCGTTCTTCTCATCATCAAAAAGGTCAACCTCTTTCTCATTTATAACAGTTAACAAAAAAAAATAACTTTAGTTATTTTTTAGTCGATAACGAGAGGCTTGGATGAGATTTAAAATAACAGAGGTTTATGTTTGTAGATTGATTGCTCAGCAGATTGCGAGTAATAACGCGAGAAGAGAAGCTCTTAGGCTCGACGCAATGATCGCAGCTTCTAGACAAGGTAAAGTTTAATTAAATGTTCATAAAACTTTTTTAAGGGAAAGTTCATGATTTCAAAATATAGACAGGACTCATTGAATTGTTAGTTTATCCGATATACTTTCCCTGTTCATACTTATTTAAAACCATTCTGAAGAAGAAAAAATATTCTTCTCGCTGAAAAGGCACAGTGACGAAGTAAGGCTGCTTGGTCAGAAAAAAAAATTTGTTTGGCATTTTTGAGACAAGTCTGGTCGAAGTAGAAATGGTAATTTTCAACTCATCTTTGTTTCGGTCTAAACCCCTCATAAAAACACTTTCTTTATCATTTCTTTCCCTTCTAGTATTTTCGATTTTACCATTTTATGTTGCAGGCACCCCAATAGGATCTCCGGGTCCGAATATGAGTGGTTTAAGAACAGAGGATCTGTATGGAGCAAGGGTAGCGGCCAACTCAAGGTTTACTCCGACCTCCCACTACCAATCCGTCACACAAGCAGTTCCACACTCGCAGGTAGCAACAGCAATAATTAATCAGATTTATTTTAGTTTTTTAAAACTTGATTAATGATCGGGATCTATATGCACTTTAACATGTTTGATAATTGGTCCTAAAACTTGTTTTCGATTAAGTAGCTGACAGGATTTCAGCAAAGCATTATCATTGGCAACTAATTCACCAACATTAAATAATTAAGGAAACCAATCTTTCTCGGCTTGCACCTTCTGTCTACTCCCATCCTAGTGTCACGGATCCAATCCTGAAATCCCCGAAATCTTTTTATCAAGATCCATCGGTCCTTGGACCAAAGAAAGGGTTTAATATTTCGAGCAGTGGAGCCTACTTCGACACTTCAGCAGTGAGCAAGGACAGTGATCTTCAGGTTCAAAACGATATGATTGCCCAGCTGACTCGTGAGATGAGACTTAATAACAACGGACACTTGTCCGGAGGTTCGGACGTTGAAAGCTCCGGGTCCACCAGTACACTTAACAATCCTGCTGCTACTGCAGAACGGATCGCTGCACTCGCTCTGCAAGCTAAAGTTAGTTCCTCGAGTATACCTGTTCCTGTGTATAGATCTAAACAGGTAGACACTCCGACAAAGATAAATAAGAACGCTCCACCCCCGCCATACTCGTCACCTAATAAAAGTTACCAAGTTAACAGCCCTCTAGATGCTGTTTCTAAGCTCAAGGTTCAGGAGACTAGAAAGATGTCTGCTCCCTCTCCCTTGGGTTCATCTGGTAAACCTGACAACCTACCTCTGCTCTCCTGCTCCCAACCTGATCTGGCAAACCTGACCAGCACAGAACTCGGAGCACAAGATACTCAATTGTCATCTCAGCTTGAATCTCTAGAAGCATCTCCTAATACCCGTGATATGTTCGACACCATCAACAACGAGAACCGATCTCTGAAGATGGAGGTTGAGCTGATGAGGCGAAGAATAAACCGTCTGGACAACCTGGAGAAGGAGATGTTGAAGATTCACGAGGCGTATCAGGCTCTCCGGGAGCACTCGGAGAAACGTGAACTCCTGGAAAAGTCTGCTCGGACTAAATTACAGGCAGAGATACTGAACAACCAGGAGATAAATAAAGAGTTAAGGGAGAGACATGATGCTGTCATGTCACAGGTAACAATGAATTACTTTTTAACCATGATGAGTTTTTGATACTGACTTGCAAGTCTTTTAATAAGCCTCTGTTGGTTTTATCATTATTGGATTTCTGTATTACTATTTATTAGACGGCAGTCAGGGGTTATTCTTGATAATTGTTTATCAAGGTATTCGTTCTTATTTATTAGTTCACCAAGAATTGAAAACTTTTATATTGAAAACTAAAAGTTATTTATTGGCTTTTTCATGATTATATTACTAACAAACAAAAAGAGACTTCAGAGGGGAATCAAACCAATATTGAATAATGCTGCAGACAATAACGTTTTTTTTTCTCCGATGTATATGATTTTTCTCTGAATAGATAATGTCTGGAGATACGGGAAATATTCCTGGACTGGATAGTATACTCCGAGGAGAGATCCTACGTAAAGACGCACTCATCACTCAGCTCGCAAACCAGAACAAGGAGCTCCTCAATGCCAAGGAGAGGCTGGAAGTTGAGTGCGCAGAGCAGAGAGAAACGTTACAGGTAATACTAATAATACAGTATAATTAAGCACATGACTTAAGTATACTTTTTTCCTAGTATTTCATTTAAAGGATGTACATTGTATACATAAAAAAATGTTCCTAATTAGTTGATACAGATTTTTGAATTGTTCTGAAAGCACACAATAGCCTAAAATGTATACAGTCACACATATTTTCCTGTGAGCATAAAAATACCTATGGAATTAGGATACATGAATAATTTAAGTAAGCAGAATCAAATGTAATATCGGAGGAAGAGGAAATGGAACAGACTTCATAAGTCTAAATGATAAAAAAATTGCAGGAGCAGAGAACACATATTGACGTTCTTGACTCCGCGCTTTCAAGCGCGCAGAATAACGTGCTCAGATTAGAAGACGAGCTCAGACAAAAGGAAGCGTACGCGGAGAGGGTCAAGCAGATGACTAAAAGTCTTGAACAGCTTCAGGTAAGAAAACTTGTTCTGTGAGAAAACTAGTTCTGTGAGAAAACTAGTTCTGTGAGAAAACTAGCTATTTGATGGTTGAAATATCATACAATTTAACATTGTTCAACATTAATATATTACTTCGGATTAAGTTTGGTCTTTTTATCCAGGCCGCCAGCGAGAAGAGGGAGGCCATGGAGAAGAAGCTCCGTGTGAAGTTGGAGGAGGAGTTGAAGGAGTTGAGAGCGGAGCAGGAGAGCAGGGACGGAAGAGAGGACAGGGAGGGAGAGGATGTAGACTCCCTTGCTAGAAAACTCAGTGAATCTGAGGAGAAGATGATTCGTCTGGAATCTGAGAAAACTCAATGGGAGCAAAGGTACCTTGAGGAGAGTGCAATGCGTCAGGTCGCCATTGATGCCGCGTCATTTCCGAAGGACGCAAAAATAGCAGTGTTGGAGAAAAACAGTGCAGAGTCTGAAAAGAAAATCGCCGAAGCGCGTTCCGAGAAATTGAAACAAATGGCGGAGGTTCAGGCGTATCAACGGCGGATGTTGGATCTTGAGATATCGGTAAAAAATCTGGAATCCGCCCTGGCGGAGAGAAACGCCCTGGTCAAGGTTCTGCAGAAGAAAGCGTTTGAGAAACCGACCGACACAGAGAATGTGCTTTCTATTCCTATTCATGATACTCTCAACTCTGCCAGTTCAATTCTGCTACAATCAAAGCAGGTAAAAATTCATTAAAAATAGTTGATGATTGCTCAGCCCACCTTATCTATTTTGTTATTTTAGCTTTCTACTTCGCATGTTGGGTCTCCTCTCTCATATTCAGGAAACCACGCCTCTCAACATTCCACACCAGTTTCTTTCTCTAGCCACGCCCCTCATTCCACCCCGGTGTCCTACTCCAACCACGCCTCTCAGCATTCTACTCCAGTTTCTTTTGCAAGTCACGCCTCACAGCGTTCGACCCCGGTTCCCTTTTCCAACCACGCCTCTCAGCACTCCACGCCTGTCCCCTTCTCTAACTCTACCCCTATTCCTTTTTCAAATCATGCATCCCAACATTCTACACCCTTGCCATTCTCTCAACATGGTTATCCCAGTCCTGTATCTCAATATTCCTCTCCATTCTCAATTCACTCACCCACTCCTTACTCGATGAGCCAGCACGGTGTTGTAACAAGCCATGCCTCCCAGCTGTCTACCCCTCTTCCCTTGGGATCTCCTCGGCACGCCGTCTCCGACTTCTACGAGGGTATCTCGTCCTCCATGTCCTCTACAGCGCGCGGTCCCTTGGGCAAGTTTAGTATCGGAGGACGGGTTAGATCTGGCAGCCCAGCCCATATACAGAGAAGTGCCACGCCTAGTGATATGCTGAGATCAGGCACGCCCACAAATCTGGTGAAGCAGATACGACGAGACTCTGCTCCTGGAGATGTATTCTCTACATTCTCGGAGGCTCAGTCGCCTGGGAAAACGTAAGTATTTAAATATTTTTGTGGTCTGGCATTTAGGACACAAATAATTCTTGTATTTTTTTAGACTTTTAGACTAGAAACATAAATATTTGTGTGTTAGGTTGATCAACACCTCTGATCTCTACGGAACAGGAACTACAGGAAGCTCGGAGACTCAGGGTACCTCTGTAAGCACTGGTGGAACTCTGCCGAAAATGTCGTTTGCCGCGATGAAGGAGGAAAATTCTAGGTACTAGGATTTACAGTACATTTTTGTGCTTATGTTTACAATCTTCCGTGGACTTATTTATCCCTGCTGTTTAATCAGGATTAAGGATCACAAATTCAGTGGAGTATGCACGGGGGGGTCTATGGTAGCTCCCCCCCCCCCCCCTCGATTTAGTGAAATATGTGATGAATTCTAGGGGGGTTTCAGGTCCTTTTTAAGTCCTAGGCCCCCCTCCCCCCTGGAAAAAATAAGATGTTAGTCCCCCGTGGAACTTTAAAAAGTTTCAAATTACTCTGCCCCCCCCCCCAAAAAAAAAATAAATTTCTGTACACGTCCTGGACATATTAAAGATGAAATTAGAAAATATCGATAATTTGCAGCAGAATACATAGAAATTACTAAAGGTTTATCATAAAAATGAAAAAAATCAATCAAAATTTTTTATTTTTAGGACTCTTCCAACTAAAAACTACGCAAGTTTGGCGGAAAGCCTACGAGCCAGCTACCCAGACGGAGACATACAACTACCAGACAAACCTATTAAAATACTCGAAGACTTCAATTCAACCAGGAAATCCGTGAATTTCGAGGGAAGAAAATCTGCGAACTTGGACGGAAATATCAATAGTTATGAGGTCACAAAACCCGCGAGTTATACTGAGGGTGCTAACAATACGATCACAATCGACGAAGATTCTAATCCTGATATTTCGAGGTAAGTACTTTCCGTCGGAATCAATATCTTCAATTTAAGCAATAAAATAATATTTATAAATAATGTTTCTTTAGGATTGAAAGTGAAGTCTCCCAGCCTGACGAAAGCGTCAACTCGTCTTTACTAGACAAGGACTCCCTTCTCTTGGCCTTGAAGCAAGAGAAGGAAAAGAGACCGGAAAATTTTTGGCGGGTTTGAACCTAGATATATATTAATCTCAATCTCTTAAAAGGGTTTGATCGGCTTAATATTTAAGTCTGAGCGTAGTAACCTATAAATTAAATAATTTAAGATTAGATTTAGAAAGAATGAAGAATACCTTATAACATGTTGTCCAAGGGTGTCTTGTCATTAAATCAACTTTTAAATGTCGAGAAATATATTTTAAAAAATCTTTTGAGCCTGAATATTTCCAAACAAATCTTTGAAAATACAGCAACGTAGATACAGGGGTATAAATTTTCTTCAAAAATAATGCCCCCTCCTAGACTTACATAAAAGTTTCATTTTTTTTTGCTGATTTAGACCTGGAAATTGATGAATGTTTTGGTTAAAATATATCAGAAAGGCGAGAAGAAAAAGAATTTCGAGTGTATGTTCAAATTTTGATTTTTCTTGCAAAGGGCGGGGTATTTTTTACTTAGAGAGCTAAGTTTTAAAACTCGCATTTTGATGAGACACCCTGACTATTTGTGACTTAAATGCCATGTTTGCCTGGAGGAACCAAAATATCAATCATTTTAGAAAAGAAAGTAACAAAATTGTATATTAACCAGTAGATGACCACGTAGAACCTAGCTAACTAGTATAAAAATCAATTTAAATGCAATGTTCATCATCGCACAAAGAACCCTGTTCTGTACCCATGTACCCCTCTCAGGTGACATGGAAACGCCTCAACACGGAAACGCCTCAACACGGAAATGCCTCAAAAAACGGACTCATAAAACTAATTTAATGTCGTCTTCTCTCATTAAAAAATATTTTAACACTTATTTTACCATTAATTTAGGGTAAGTTAGGTTGCGCCGCAGGCTACGGAGGGGGCCGAGCGCTGCGGCTAGAATGGGCTAGGGGGCCGAGCACTGCGACTAGGACAGGCAAGTGGGCCGTGCGCTGAGGCTAGAATAGGCTAGGAGGCCGAGCGCTGCGGCCATGGCTGTGGAAATCGTTAGAATATAGTCTTTTTAATTTTAAGTTGAGAGAAGACGACATTAAATTAGTTTTATGATTCTGTTTTTTTTGAGGCATTTCCGTGTTGAGGCGTTTCCATGTCACCCCCTCTCAGAGTACGTCTATACTCGCAAAATTTTAGGAAATTCTTTTTTCAATGGATAAGTTTCTATAGTTTGCATAATGCATATTGTGTCTTCCAAATCATAGATTACAATAACGCCATAATCCAACTGACATTTCTTATAAATTATTTTTTCAACTAATTAATGACTAATATTTTAACTTTCTAAAGTAAACCTAAAAAAATCTAGTAGTTTTACTTGACTTTTTTTCAAATCAAAGAAAAATTTACAAAAACTTGTTATTTTTCTCAACTTCTAGAAACGACTTTTTTTCAAATCAAAGAAAAATTTACAAAAACTTGTTATTTTTCTCAACTTCTAGAAACATTTCTTAAAAATTCAAAAATTAAGAAGTCATTGTAAAATTTTGGCACAACATTTTTTTATATGATCACAATTTTGTTTCTGTTGTAGCGGTTACCTTTGTTAAATTTTGTTCAATTGGTGGTTTGCGATGAGCCCCTAGTCTAGAATCTAGTCATGTACAGTAAATTGTACATTGTAAGTAAACCTATGTACTGCTGAAGAATTATTTGAAATTATATTACTGAAAATCAATTAACATTATGTTGGCAGATTGTTGAGCAGTATATAGGATTATTTTTTAATTGTATATATATATCCATAATATAAAAATGTTATATTGTTAAAACTGTACGCAGTACACAGTAGTGTACATAGCTGAACTAGGAAATCTTTAATTAAACAGCGTTAGCCCCGGCAACCCCCCCCCCCCCTCTATACTCATGATATTAATGTACAGAGAGCCTATGTCAATAAACTTTTAACTTAATTATATTAATATTTGCCTTGATTCTATTTTTATCCAAATTGGGTTTTACTTTATTTCTTGAGAATTATTCCAATGTAAAAGTAATATGCTTCTGTATAACCTTAAATAATATGACGCCTATGAAAACCACCTTGTGCTAATGCATTGATAATTATTTGACAGCTGATACCTTAGGTTTATTGGTTAAATTGTTGAATTTATGAAAATGAAGAGAATAAATGTTTTTCCATGATCCATTGTTACTACTGGTGTTCTGTAAAATGATTACTAGGTTAGATAAAATTATATTATAAAATGATCAGTAATTGATAAAATTAAGGGTTAGTACAGATTAATACACTCTTTTTTAAACCAAATTTTTTCATGCTAGTTCTTAGTCTTATATAGTCAACAGTCTATAGTCAATAGTCATTTCAAATTTCATGTTAAATTGAAATCCGACGTGTTCTAATTTTCAAAAAAAACCAGAAGTTTTAAAGTGACTTTTTCTTTAAAACCAATATTCGGCACTAACTAACTGTAGTTTTATGGGACCTTTAAAAAATTTAATTTATATTTAAAAAATCTTTCCCTTAAATAAAAAATTGACATTGATTGCAAATAAAGCAAGAACTAAAATTAAACAATAAATGTGTTTTTGTCTACATGCATAGTGCGAAATTGTTTTTTAAATCAAGTAGATAATTAGTGCCCTATTATGATATATATTGAAGGGGGGGGGGGGTTATAATAGAAAAAAATATAAATGCAAAATTACATTTTTATTATGATTGGTATAAACAAACAATATTTTCAGTGTCTGCTTGATACAGTTAAACTACAGGATATGAGGCAGCTGTAGCAATACCGCACATATTCTTCAAATCCTTAGCCATGTTTATATATCCTAAAATATATAGATAAATTAATATAATGTATATATATCCTAACATATATATAGATAAATTAATGTAATGTTCATATATGCTAAAATATATAGATAAACTAATATAATGTTTATATATCCTAAAATATATAGATAAATTAATAAAATGTTTATATATCCTATCCTAAAATATATATATAAATTATTATAATGTTTATATATCCTGAAGTATATAGATAAATTAATATAATGTTTATATATCCTGAAATATAGATAAAAATAAATATAATTTTTATATATCCTGAAATATAGATCAAATTTAATACAATATATGTCTATCCTTATTATCTTAAGATAAAGGAATTGAGTCTGCCACAAACTTCAGTGTTCTAATTCCTCTATCATTGCAATCCAATGGATATTTCAAACTGTGCATTCTGTTAGATCAAATAATCTAAGTTTGAAATATCAAAGGTATAAACCAGGTTTCAAAGATATAGGGATTCAAAAATTTCTGTTTGTAGCAAGAACCCAGCTAGTTCCTTTAAAAAACGCTTATATTCTTTGATTAAAAATCAAAATACGATTGCAAATATGTATGACTATCCTTAAAAATATATAGATAATTTACAAAAAATATCTGAAAATATGCAACAAATAACTAATTGTTAACGTATCCTAAAATATAATATAAATTAACAATGTATGTTTCTTAAAATATTGATTAATTCACAACATGTTATTGAATCCAAAAAATCCAAATTATATACAGTGAGACCCAAAATAATGTGGAATAAAAAGACGTGCATTTATGCAATATTACAAGTATAAAGCGAATCGTTTTCCCAGTAGCTTGAAAATGGGCTGTGCATGTGTGAACATAGTGTGTACACACTGTGTACATAGTGTGTACATAGTGTGTACATAGTGTGTACATAGTGTGTACATATTGTGTACAGTGTGTACATGGCACCATTTCTTAGTTTTAAGTTCATTGGACTATTTAAAACCACTATTATTTGCCTTCTTATTCCACAGTTTTATAGGCTTCACGGCATTAATTTCAGAACTCTTTATTTAGGAGGGGGGGAATTTAAGATCTAAGATTTACCATGCATTCCCCATGATTCTCCCCAGCTATTCTTCACTATCCAGAACTTCTGGGTCATACCAACAGCATTTTTCTTTAAAAAAATATTATTTTAAGTTTTTTTAGTTTATAAATACAAAGAGTTGCGCTTTTTTTTATCAAATTTTAAAAAATTATCAGAAAATATAATTGATTTTACTTGATTTAAATTAAACTCTATTAAATTTAATTTAATTAATGGGACTCTGAATTAATTTACTTTGATTTGATTTGATTTGATTTGATTTGATTTGATTTGATTTGATTTGATTTGATTTGATTTGATTTGATTTGTATTGAATTGAACTTTGGAAAAAATTGGATTGATTTTGATTAAACTATATGATTTGATTTGATTTGATTTGATTTGATTTGATTTGATTTGATTTGATTTGATTTGATTTGATTTGATTTGATTTGATTTGATTTGACTTGATTCGATTTGATTCGATTCGATTTGATTTGATTTCATATTAACTGTATTGAATTGAACTTTGGAAAAAATTGGATTGATTTTGATTAAACTATATAATAAAGAATAGAATTTGATTTGATTTGGTTAGATTTCATTTGAACATGACACAAACTGTATAGAATTGAATGAATTAAATTGATTGCTATGATTTGATCTAAATTGATTGGTTTAATCTGATTCGATCTAAATTGATTGGTTTATATATGATATGATCTAAATTGATTAGTTTATATATGATTTGATCTAAATTGATTGGTTTATTTCTGATAAGATCTAAATTGATTAGTTTATATATGATATGATCTAAATTGATTAGTTTATATATATGATATTATCTAAATTGATTGGTTTATATATGCTATGATCTAAATTGATTAGTTTATATATGATATGATCTAAATTGATTGGTTTATATCTGATATGATCTAAATTGATTGATTGGTTGGTTTAATTTTATATGATCTAAATTGATTGGTTTATATCTGATATGATCTAAATTTATAAGTTTAATCTGATGAGATCATATTAATTTATTGGTTGGTTTAATTTTATAAGGTCTAAATTGATTGGTTTATATCTAATATGATCTTAATTGATTAAAATTGATTGATTGATTTACTTACCCCTTGTCCATATCCTACTGCGAGTACTCCGTGATCTAGTCTAGTAGAACTACATAGCTTACTGTAGTAGATTCCATGCCTAAACATTTTACAATCACTCCCCACTAAACCCATTTCTCCTTCGGCCAGAGTACTGCATAGACTGCATATAACAACAGAATGCTTAGTTTAGGCTTGGTATATAATACATTGGTAAATAACAGCATATACAGCCTCATGCCTCATATATAGCTTGGGAACACAGCTTTTCCTGGAGTTTTAAACAGTTTTTTAAACAAAAGAAAATTTACGTGGTTATAACGAGCTACTCAATCTAAAGTACAACTAACTCTGCTTATTTATTCCCTACTACATCTTTGCAACCCGCGACGTTGTAGACCTTTGATATTTCAAACTATAAACGGTGTTATATAAAAAAGTCTAATAGTTGTAGACCTTTGATATTTCAAACTATAAACGGTGTTATATAAAAAAGTCTAATAGTTGTAGACCTTTGATATTTCAAACTATAAACGGTGTTATATAAAAAAGTCTAATAGTTGTAGACCTTTGATATTTCAAACTATAAACGGTGTTATATAAAAAAGTCTAATAGTTGTAGACCTTTGATATTTCAAACTATAAACGGTGTTATATACAAAAGTCTAATGTCCAAATAATAAAGACTTACAGTTACACTATTAGGTTGCAAAGATAAAGGGATTTAACAAAATTTAAGTTTGAGGCAAGAACTCATGGTTCCTATAAAGCAAATAAGTTATGATCTTTAGGACTAACTTTAATTTACACGTTTTTTTTCTTACTTGTACATCTGGAATCCAGGATGTCCTGCATCAATGGCAACACTGATAGGTCCATGTTGAGCTACAGCTGCAGCAAGATCTTCCTCACTGCCCTTCCTAAACGTAAAATGACTATTAAAAATATCATTATTTTGTGATAAAAGATTAATGAATAAAAAGGTGGCAAGTAAAAATGTACTAGTTTTAATATTGATCACGATTTTTTTCTTAGGAAAAAATTATTTGAATAAATTCAAGATCTGGTGTGGATTGTAATTAAATAAAGACAATGATTTTATAAATACGTTATATGAATTCATAAATTAAAAATCTGATAACAGGGCTAAAAATTGACTATTTGTAATGATTTTTTACTGGTAAATTAGATGTATGAATTTATGAATAAAAAACATGTTAATGGGATCAGCTACAAGCCAGACCACGAGTTAATGGATGAAAAAAAATTGGTTAAATTTAATTCCACACTGTCAAATACATGAATTTGATATGTTACTTGATATCAACCCAGCTAGTGAGGTTTGCTCCGATACTAGTTGCATTGTACTTGCAGGTCTTTCCTAAACAAGAAATATAAAATAATTATTTCATCTAATCAAAAGGAAACTATATAAATTACCTAATTTAAGAAAAAGTTTTGGTAAATATAAACAGGAAGGAAGAGTAAAATCTTTAATAGGGAGAAAACATTTATAATAGGAATAATTATCTTTGAGTTTTACGTATGTTTAATTAACAAATTAAAAAAACTAAGAATTTCTGGGATAAGAATTAACTTGTGTACAGAAAGCCTTTATGCAAACAAAAAGTATAAAATAACAATTAAGTACAAAGCGCGAATAACATAAAAATAGTCTAGCTGTTGCTAAATACTTTAGCAAACCACTAAATTCTTTAAGGCTATTTTATTTCTATTATAAATGTTTACCAAAATACCTGTAACTGCAGTGTATGGATATGATTCCTCTGTGTCTATTCCATTGTTATCCTTGACGTATTGGAAAGCAAAGTCCATAAGTCCACCGAAACATCCGTGATTTCCTTCCTAAAATATTATTCCAATATGTTATCTTTGACGTATTGGAAAGCAAAGTCCATAAGTCCACCGAAACATACGTGATTTCTTTCCTAAAATATTATTCCAATGTTATCTTTGACCAATTGGAAAGAAAAGTATTTAAAACCACCGAAACATCCGTGATTTCCTTCCTGAAATATTATTCCAATATGTTATCTTTGACGTATTGGAAAGCAAAGTCCATAGTCCACCGAAACATCCATGATTTCCTTCCTAAAATATTATTCCATTGTTATCTTTGACCAATTGGAAAGAAAAGTATTTAAAACCACCGAAACATCCGTGATTTCCTTCCTGAAATATTATTCCAATGTTTTATCTTTGACGTATTGGAAAGCAAAGTCCATAAGTCCACAGAAACATCCATGATTTCCTTCCTAAAATATTATTCCATTGTTATCTTTCTTATTGGAAAGCAAAGTACATAGTCCACCGAAACATCCGTGATTTCCTTCCTGAAATATTATTCCATTGTTATCTTTGACGTATTGGAAAGCAAAGTCCATAAGTCCACCGAAACATCTGTGATTTCCTTCCTAAAAGATACGTCAATAAATATCCTTGACATATTGAGCAATAGACAGTAAAGTTTTAAACTTAAACTATTTAAACTATTAATAATTATTGAATATGAAAGCAAATAAATCCACCGAAACATCCTGAAATGTTGGAAAGTAGTTTGTAACTGTTGAGAGAAACAAACGAGATTTCCTTCTTAAATAATAAGTTTTTTATAATAGAAAGTAAATTCAAGTCTACCGAAAAAAAATAGTTTTTTTCCTTAAAAAACATCATTCATAGTATTCTTCCAAATACAAAATTAAACTATTTTTCAACCACAATATTTTAAAGCGGCGATTATTTGTCAATAAAGATAATAAACCTATTTTATATAACTCATTTTTATGATTTTCGTTTTGTTTATAATTTGAAGTTTAACCTTTGCTGAGCAGTCGACCAGGTTCTGTTCACTGAGAGAAACAAGTTTCTTGGTCTAAATCAACTCCAGGTCAGAAAACATCAATAAAAACCAGAATTAAAAAAAATGTTTTTACATAATAAAAAGAATTATCCTAAATCAAAAGTATTGTCTTAAATCTTTCTACAATTTGACCAGATTAAAAATAAGATTGTGCTTTAATAAAATGATGGCAGCAAAATCATATTTTAAAATGGAAATGATGTTGTTTGACAGATTCCTTGTTGAAATGAGCAGCTTCCAGGCTACCAGTAGCAGAGAAGGCCCAGCAGCTTCCACACTGCTTCTGGTTCTTCACTGGAGTAACAAATCCCATTGGCCTCCAGTCAACCTAGACACGGTGCAGGAATTGATTCTTTGCCACAAACTCAAATCTTCTTATTCTTGTATCATTGCAACCTGATGGTGTAAAGCTTTGATACTTCAATCGTAGATTATTTGATCTAGCAGAATTCTAACTCTAAAATATCTAAGGTCTACGACATCAGATTTGAAAAATAAAGAATGAGGCGACTAACCAGTTTCTTTTCTTAAATAATTACCGATGTTGGGAGGTCAGTTGACCGAGGTGTGAAGACTGCATTCTGTTTTTCCTCCTGCTCGGCAGGAACCTGATACCCATTCAGCATGCTAAATAAAATAGGGTTGCATTAGTCAGAAATTTAAAATGTGAAAAAATAAATTTTGAATTTAAGTTTATATATATTATTATAATGGTATGTATAAAATTATGCTAAAATAGAGTTTCATAATAAGAAAATAAATCTTGAACTTTAGTAATTAAATTAATAAGAGCTTTTAATAAAAAACTTGTTCTAAAATGTTTTTTTTTTGTTACCTGACAAACTCTTCGTTTGTGAGGTCATTGAACTCATTCTCCCCAACACTGTAGGTTTCAAACCCAGCTGAAAATGCCGCGTTATGTTCCTAAAATGTGGGAATGAAAACATGGCGGCAAAAATATGGGAAAATGATAAAATTTTGGCCATAAACTTAAACTTTCTTTACTTTGATTCTAAACTTAGAATATTTGATCTATCAGAATGCAAAGCTTAAATATCAAAGGCAATTACGGCACTAAGTTACAAAGATTTAAGGATTAGAAAATTAGAATTGGTGTCAAGAAATTCTTGAAAAAAACTTTTATTTTCTGTGCACCTGGATAAAGTCATAGTTTGCCTCCCAAGCTAATCTTTTTTGTGCTTCATGCTCACTGCTTTCATAGTTCTTCTCATATCTTCAATGTTTTTGATGGATAAATTAGATTAGATATTAAAAAAAGGCATAATTTACTGATGAAAAATGATTTATTTCTTTATTTATTTTTGTTATGTTCGTTACCGAATGCAAGGCCTCGATAGAGGAAAAATGAGGATTTTATAAAAGTTGTTTCCCAAAACCCATATCCATAGATTAATAACAGTATATATAGACCACTAAATGTCGTCTTTTCAAGATTTATGGGTATTTACAATTACAATTACCCATAGACAAGAGCCTAAAGAAGTTACGTGCATGCTGCGTTGAATGATAAGACAGAGAGAGATGCATGCGCGAAACTCCTTTGGGTATGCCTCAGGATTTTTGTGAACGAACACCCCTTAATCTTGAACAGACATCTAGTGTTCTATCTATATAGTTATAAATCTATGCCTGTTTCTCATGCCCAACATATTTATTCTTTCAATTTTTTTTCGACATGATATTTCCAAACTTTAAGAAGAAATGTTTGTCATTTCTTATTTATAACTTCTTATTGCTTGCCTGTAGTTTTACCTGGTCTTAAATGCTTCCCAGTTGTCATCTAGTTCAGGACGAGCCTGAGCTCCAAGGACGAGAAGAAGAAACGATAACCCTGCTCCGAGCATAGTTCTCATAGCAATACATCAGGCCTGGATACTTCAGCACCAAGATAAAAAACAGCCAGGGGCGTTTAGACATTTGTTCTGACAAGTTTTAGAATGAATAAAAACTCATCCTTATTAACAATGCTTGAGTCGACGTAACAAAATCTTGTTTCATGGAAAGGGATAATGTGAATCCCTCCCCCCCCCCCTTCCCATGTTTTACTGTGCACGTCCATAAGGCTTTGATAAGGTAAGTCTTCAACAACAATATTTAAGTTTGAAAGAATACATACCTTTAGATTGTTTGTTTAGTTTAACACAATTCAGGTTTCGATCGAATACACCAGGAAAAAAGGGGAAAATGCCTGAGAATGAGCACTGATCAGTGCACCAACTTCGGAGGGGTGTCATACAGAATAAATATTAAATCATATATCAAATAATTTTTCTCCAGTTAGATATGGCAGAGTACAGGGTTGATCATAATGGAAAATTAGTTGGAATGATTTTTATTGTAGGAAAGGTAGAAGGTCTTGGGATGGAGGACAAAAGATTGTAAATTTTGCATTTTTTTGTTAATACATAAAGGGTTACTTATTGAGGATGCAACTTTATAGACAATTTATGGAATTTGTTTAGCCCTTTTCTCACATATATGATTTCCTGCAGGTTTTTACTTTCTATTTTCGTTACCAAATTGTTTAATCTTTTAGATCTCCAAACTAAATCCCGAGCTCGTTTTCAATACGTCATTAGAGTCTCATCTTTTTCGGTATAATCTGGATATGAAATCATGTCAGATAATAAACGAGGAGTTTCCTACGGGTGTGAGCCGGACTTTTGAGTTTGGCAGGAATAAAACTGGAAGGGATATTTTTTTTTAATTTTCCCAAACTGGTCTGCCTAATCAGAGGTGAGATTTTGTTGATAAATCTTATATACAGTGAAACCCTTAATAATGAATACATCGAAAGAATTCATCAAATGTCGTATTCTTCACTTTCTGATTATGGATATTTAGATATTTAGTTTTTTAATTAAATTATTATATGGAACTCTTTAAAACTGTTCCCGCATATTCATGGCTATTTATTTATTTTCGCAAATACTGAAACTTACGTAATATAGTATAAACTCATTGAAAAATTGTCAAGACGACATTTGATAAATTCTTCCGATGTATTCGTTATTAAGGGTTTCACTGTATATAAACTCAAACTTAAAATGAATAATTTTAGGGGAATGAGGAATTTGAAGTCAATCCAATAGTTTCCTACAGGATATATCTTCATTGTATCATTGTATGCAAAATTTGCAGTATTAATACATATATATTTTTTTCAGAGAAAGAATGGCTGATCTTTGAGCTTCATAACTTGGCAAGAAACAAGAATATTGGGAATTATTTTCATCAACGTAAGATTCAACATTTCAGAATGTAATTTAAAATTTAATTTCTTCATTTCTTCATTTCTTAATTTCTTCTTTTCTTCGTTTCTTCATTTATTCATCTATTCCTCTATTCATTTCTTCGTTTCTTCATTTCTTCATTGCTTCATCATTTCATTTCTTCATTTCTTGATTTCTTCGTTTATTCATTTATTCATCTATTCATTTCTTCGTTTCTTCATTTCTTCATTTCTTCATTTATTCGGTTCTTCATTTGTTCATTTATTCATTAATTCATTATTATTATTGTTATTATTGACCGCTGGTTGAGTTCAATCGCTGAGGGGGGAGGGGGTTGTCCGACACACTCGGGTTTTAACTTAAATATTTCAGTTTTAACTATAATTCCTTTAATAAATATTATAACTTAATTTAGTTGTTGAAGTTGAACGAGGAAAGCTAGAAAAATGGAAATAAAAATTGGGAATTATTACCTAATTTTTGAGTTGTCATGTTTAAAATATATTATTTTTGGGTTGTCAACACAAGATATTGCATTGTTCTTGGTAAAACCGGTCCAATTTTCAAAACCTTTATTTTTGTTACTCAAGTAAATCCTTTGTATCTTGTGTTTGATGTATTTTCTCTGAATAAACATGTCTCCCAATTGATTGTTTTCATCGTAATTTTTACCTTAGGTTCATAATATTTACCCTTCTTTGTTCTGAGGTGAAAATAAACGTGCGTACTGTAAATACTATTATCATATATTTAGATTATTGTTATCATTACAAAAGATGTCTTCTTTTATGTGAAAAAATCCTCTTTGTTTGATAATGTTATCTTCTCAACGTTGCTATGCATTTCATAAGCTCAATTATTTATGTAGTACACATAGTTCAGAATATATTTTCAAATTTAAGTTACCCCAGATTACATTAAAGGTCCAAATATCAGGATTTAGAAGTGCAACAGCCCTGAATCCTGGTCCAATCAAAGGCTCATTTATCTAAGATTTATCTTTTCTGTTGGATCTGAATCAAGATTGAACAGAAATAGTTCTTTGTCTTTATACTCCTCCCCTCCCAATTCATCCTTAATAAAAGATATTAACATGTATGCGGAGATCAAGATTTCATTTTTTAAATTTAATGACACATATCTAAATAAGTTTGGTTTTTTCATCTTTTTTAGAGATCCAGGGATATTAGCATCATAATCGATGTAAACAGATTATAGAAAGAGATTTTTCACCTGTTTGAAAATAATAATTATGTATCATGCAATTCATATAGGATAGAAGAGATAGAAGAGAAAATAGTAAAATGCTTAAGGTTTATTAAAACACATTCATGGCTGCAGCGGACATCTTCAAACTGGAATTTGGGATTAGTTGTTTTTCTAAATTCAAAGTTTGTAGTATATAATATGTAGAAATTTCATATAATTCTACCGTTGTTCCCATGGTTACAGCTGTATTTACCTCGCTTGACCAGCTCAAGGGTTGATTCCCAGATGAAATGTTGATATTGTTGATATCTTCCAGGTGTACCAACTCTGTATTGGATACACTGTCTGGTGGAACCCATCCATCTGGTTTCCCAGGGTTTCCTTTAATCAACTTGTATTCTCCAACCCTGATTGCTCCAACAGGACCTGATCCACTCCCAGGATCATGGTATGGATCTAACAAAAAAAAATTTAAGGAATTTTGGAAATTGTGTTTATTTAAGCTTTATAAAAACATTAAGTATAAGTTAGTCCCGCTAAACATGATAATTTGTGAGTTGTGTTTAAACGTCAAACTTGATATTTGTGTAATACCAAAATGAATTGTGAAGAATGTACCGAACATAATTGTTCGGTCTACCGCTAATCTATATAATAAAACAAGACATTTGTGTATAACTGTTGTCTATAGCCGGCCGAACGGCTGGACCGATTGGACTGAAATTTTTTGTGGACACTCATGGGTTGCCTGGGGTGTTATAGGCTAAAAAATTGAATTTTTTAAAAATAATTTTTTCTTCTTCTACGGGCAACGCCGGGCCCTTGATCTAGTATTTATAATAAAACAAGACATTCGTATATATTTATGTTGCGTATAGCCGGCCAACCGGCTGGACCGATTGGACTGAAATTTTTTGTGGACACTCATGGGTTGCCGGGAGGTGTTATAGGCTAAACAAATCTAAATATTTTTTTAAATTTTTTTTTACACAGGCAACGCCGGGCCCTTCAGTTAATACTTCTTGAATTAAAACATAAAAACCCGGACTGGAATTCACTTTGTATTTAGTTTTGGAACGCTATGTTCGAACATCTAAGAGCACCTGTCTTTATCGGAATATTTTAATCTCTCATTAAAAAAGCGTAAGAGTTCAATATATACTGAAAAATTCAAAATACCAATCGACAACAAAAATACTAGATTTAATGGATGAAAGTAGGTTCTAGAAGATAAGATCCAATGGATCGACTTTTAACCAGGAAACCAAGATTAAAGTGACACGTCTTTAAAGGGAGTGACCGGCTATGTAAGGTAGCTGAACTGAGTACGCAGTGTTGTGGAAAACTTCTCTCGGATTCATTTGAGACACATATTAAACTTTTTATAGATCTGTAAATCCTGAGTTTGAGCGCAAATTCGACGTTCAAAACTCCTACTCTGGGGGGTAGATACGTTTTCAGAATTAGTTTTTTTTAATTATTAAATAACGACGACATAAAAATTTCTACAATAAACTACAGACGTCATGTATAGGAACATGTTGAGGAAATAAAAATTAATCTTCTTATCATCTTGTTCAATATTAGTTTCTTTTTTCTCAGTAGGAGTTTTAAACGTCGAATTTGCGCTCAAACTCAGGATTTACAGATCTCTAAAAAGTTTAATATGTCTCAAACAAATCCGAAAGAAGTTTTCCACAACACTGTATACTCAGCCGTATACATAGCCGTTCACTCCCTTTAAAGGGACTGTTGGCGTAATTTCATTTGACCTCATTTAATATACAATTCACAACGATACCCTCTAGCCCTATAAGATTTGTAATAAGAAATATATCGTCGTTTATTTCTCTCAATTATCTGAATGTTATTCTTCGTTTGTGCTACACAGATCCCCAGAGAGAATCTCGATTAAATTATCAATTTTCAAAAAGAAAACATTATAATCATTTTTGCTCGACAAGGATTTAACTTTAAAGGTTAGCGTTGTGCAAGTTTTCTAATGAAGGATCACTAATGAAATTTAACGAATATTACCTGTTATTCTGTACTTATCAAGCAATTATCATGTTTAGAGGGACACACTGTGAAGATACAGTGGGACTCATAAATAAGGAAGACTACACAAGAACAATCTTTAATGTTTTAAAAAGCATTCCAGTTGAAAATTAACTTATTTCGTGAAATGGATATGTTTGCGGTGTTTTATGTTCAGTGGACTATTTAAGAGCATAGCTCGAGCTTAACAGTCGTCTTCCTATTCCACAGTTTTCTGGGTTCCACTGTATATTTGTTAGTTGAATTGTATCTTACCAATATTGTAAAGCATTTCAATTCTGGGGGACTGTTCTCCATTCTTGATTGTTTTCCACTGATCCAACCCGTCCAAACCAACCAGGTTCCCCATATCATATCCTGCTACAACATCAAACTTTTCAAGATTAAAAAAATAAACAATTATTGATAGATAAGAACTTCTTTAGAAGTTTGACACGTTTGAAAAAGCCTGCGTTTTATTGACCTAAAGAAAGGTGTGCAAGCGTATACAGGGTTACCCACAAACGATCATACTTCAGAGACGACTGTGCGGAATTTATTCATACTTTGTTATCACAATTATGGTTTCCTGCAATTAAAGACTGGTTCTTTGTCAATTCATTACATGTTAAACCCTAAATGGGTCATACATCGAAAAAATTTATCAAATGTCGTCTTGACAATTTTAATGGGTTTTATACTATTTTACGTAAATCTCAGTATTTGCGAAAATAAATAAATAGCTATGATTGCGGGAACAGTTTTAAAGAGCTCCATATAATCATTTAATAAAAAACTAAATATCTGCAACATTCCATTATCAGAAAGTGAAAAATACGACATTTGATGAATTCTTTCGATGTATGGATTATCTAGGGAATCTAGGGTTTAACTGTAGTATATAATTTTAGCTAAATTTGATGCAAATGACCAAATTCCCCTTTCTGGTTGTTAATTTTTTATGAATTTTCGGTCGTCATTGAAGGCTCATCCTTTTTGGTTATAACTGTAGTACATATAGACCTTATAGGCAAAATGCGATTGTGGTCATGTGTTCTTTCTTGAAATTATGAAATTTTGATGTGGAATTAGTTTGATATATTTTTGATAATGCTGGAAACTCCCCAGTCTGATATGGAATCTGATATATGGAATAGCTGATTACTACTGATTCTACTCCCAGGAATATATAAATAATATACCTACAGCAAATAAAAGGGTAGGAACCCAGTCTGATATGGAATCTGATATATGGAATATCTGATTACTGATTCTACCCCCAGGAAGATATATAATATACCTTCTGCTAATAGAAGGTTAGGAACCCAGGCTGATATGGAATCTGATTTATGGAATAGCTGATTACAGATTCTACCCTCAGGAATATATATAATATACCTGCTGCTATTAGAAGAGTAGGAACCCAATCTGATATGGAATCTGATATATGGAATAGCTGATAACTTATTCTACCCCCAGGAATATATATAATATACCTACAGGTGATAGAAGAGTAGGAACCCAATCTGATATATGGAATAGATGATAACTAATTCTACCCCCCAGAAATATATATAAAATACCTACTGCTGATAGAAGTTTAGGAACCCAGTCTGATATATGGAATAGCTGATAATTTATTCTATCCCAAGGAATACATATAATATACCTGCTGCTGATAAAAGGGTAGGAACCCAGTCTGATATATGGAATAGCTGATTACTGATTCTACCTCCGGGAATATATATAATATACCTGCTGCTGATAAAAGTGTAGGAACCCAGTCTGATACATGGAATAGCTGATTACTGATTCTACCTCCGGGAACACCGGGACCTAGTTATACAATTTTTTTGTTTGAAATTTTTATAAAAATCTGAAACCCTTTTTAACATATCTCACTCAAGATGTTCCGCATAAAATTATGCTTTTTTCACTATATATCTATGTTTTTCATGTTCCTGTATGAGGAGGAGAGAAACCCAACAGCAAGGCTACCAGTTATAAATAAAATAATGTTAATCTTGTTGCAATAGCATTAATAATCATGTTAAATAAGGGGAAACAATGAAACTTTATGATTAAGAATTGATCTCCAATTGAAATGAATATTGAGTTTCCCTTTTTTAAACCAAAATCTTCTGTTCCAAATGTAAAATACTATTTATTGCAGCATATAAAATGTAGAACTAAATCAATGATAAAATAAACCTGCACTGAAAGGTTTTCCTTTGCTTTTAACCATATTTACTCCAAAAGAAAAGTCCAACCCCAAATTAATTTTTCCATAAAATATTATTTTTATAGAGCATTTCAGAATACTTGTGATTTAGAATAATCTACCTTTGTAATTTTTAGCAACCCCTCCTTGAGATGGAGAATAAAGGCAGAGAGAGAACTATTTCTAGCCGCGGCGCTCGGCCCCCTAGCCTATCCTAGCCGGGGCGCTCGGCCCCTAGCCTGTCTTAGCCGCAGCGCGCGGCCCAGAAATCTAACCTAACCCTAAAATATATTCTAATCTCGCTCTTCTTATAATTTGCGGCATTCGCGAATAACAGAGTTTGGCTGCTACCTGAAAAATGGCAACTTAAAGAGCAATATTTAAAAGCCAAAATTGTTAATAATAAAGGATTGCGACCCGCACCAAACGCAGCATTTTAAAGATTACACCACACCTGTAATAAAAGCAACCCCTCTGGTTCCTCCCTCCCAGAGTGTATTTTTGTTTCCTCTCAACGGAAAGTTATTTCCGCCATTTTTTATTTGTCCTCCATTGTCCGTGGAGAAAACTGAAACAAAGCAACACGAAACTTTGAAAATTTTTATTTCTCTCTCTGAAAAAAGGGAAATGTGCTTCTGCAAAACCTTTTTTATCTACAATAAAAGTCATATGAGTTAAAAATAAAATTTTAGATTGAATAAAAAATGAAACTGATAGTATGGAATTAACTGTTTTTCAGACAACTTACAGTGATAACCAGAAAACTCTGGAAAAGGGAGACGACTTTTAGGCTCAAATTATAACTCTAAATACTCCAATGGACATGAGACACAGCAATTGAAGAGTTTAAACGACCCATTTTACTTATTAGTAATTTAATAAGTGTTTTGTAAAACCATTTGCTTCGTAACAACCTCAAATGCACTAGTATTGCTATAATGTCGTCTTCCTGTTGCATAGTTTTTTGGTTATCACTGTATAATTTAATAAAACATTCATTTAAAAATCAAATAGCTAAGATAAAAAGATTGAGGTTCTTTTCGGATTTCAAAAAAGTAAAACAAACTGTTAATACCTATGATGGTATTTTTTATTTGTCCAGTTTGCTCCAATGCTTTTGTTATATTTCCGACAGCTTCGTCCAAGGCTGAAACCATACCGGAGAATGTACGCCGAGCTCTGGAATTCGTTCATTGATAAATCTCAGCATCTTATGGTTGCCAATGCCATGCAAGGTCTCACGCAAAAAATAGATGAGCATTTTGCATATTTATTCTTGAAAACTGAAGATAGTTCTGAAATTTAGATTTTTAGTGCATGACAAAATATTATTTGTTGGGTAAAAACAAAGGCCAAGATCTTGAAAAATAATTTGACTTTTTAATGCAGTTTGAATTTATGTGAAATATCTTCAATATCCAAGTTGGATCCCTACAGCCTACAATTCCTTTTGAATATTTATATCTTTTTAATTTAACTTTAAATAATTAAATATGGTAGATCTTAAACGCTTGATCTAGATATCCAATTTGGGTACTTTTGAATTTAACAATCAATGCTTAATTCCTCAATTAAAATAATCCCTGCAGGGTATGACCAACACGGAACATTGAAGCGGAAATGAATTATTTTTTAGGTCTGTATAAGATGGAGAATGGAGATCAAAGAGATTATCACTTATATACAGTTTAACCCAAAACTTCGGAGACATTGAACGAATTTATAAAATGTCGTTTTCTAAACCTATATGTATATGTATAATGGAATGCTACATATGTTATTGTAATTGAATGATTATATAGAGCTCTTTAAAACTGTTCCCGCATATTTCATGACTATTTATTTATTTTTGCAGTAACTGAGATTTAGGTATAATCATATAAAACCAATTGAAAAATTGTCAAGACGACATTTTATAATTTCTTTCGATGACTCCGAAGTTCAAGATTAAACTGTACAAAAGTTCTGACTTCTGAATAAATATTAAATAATCCGTTTCAATCAGGGGGCGGGCATAACTCTCATAATTTTGCCTGGCTAGGTTTATCCTGTACAGTGAATTTTGTCGAAAAATGTTTCCTTATGACTGAGTTGGTATCATAGAGTACAGTGGGTTTAATCCTAAGTACATCTATTTATATTTTAAAATCACTTGTTTCACGCGTAAGTTCATTTATGTAAAATAAATATTTTAACAGTTTTCAGTTCTTCAATAAGTTTAAAATTAAGTCTAACATAATTTAGATCTATTATTAGTTCAGAATTGCTTTCCATTCTAAAAGTCAGAAACCTATATTCCTAAGAGTTAGTGCACAATGTAGATTTCAGAAGTAAAGAATTTGATAAGAAACAAGATGTTTTTATTTTTTTTCTCTATTTGTCATGTCTCATTTTTATACAAAAATCATATGAGCTTGTTTTCTTTGCTTGAATATTGTAGGCTTCACTTTCAAACAATAATGTCTTAAAACACTGATTTACGAATTAAGATCCCCCCTTAGGGTAGAATTTCTGATCGGGTCATTGTGTACAGTGGCTGTACAACAAGAAGTCTAAAATTCCAGATGCCCCCTCTATTACTAATATCTCGATGGTTTCAATATTGATTGTTAAAGGAGGTCGTGGAATATGACTTATTCCCACTTTAATAATCTTCAAGAAAATCCAAATTGTTGGGATCAACCCTCATCCTTCAGTAGACACCTTCTCCTTACCTGTTCTTGATATGAGCATAAGGTATCTCATACTCCTGGGGAACCTGGAGAGGTGCATGTACACTCTGAGCTGCAAGATAGAGAAACAGGGGAACAGAAGTATTGTGATTCCTAGCTCATTACACAACCCATGTTTCATTTCAAAGTTAAGAACGATGCTATGGAAACTGACCTGAAGGAAACCGACATATCTAACTGATCGTAGGTTTAAAGAAAATATCCAGTAGTTTTTATTCTCTGCACGTTTTTACGGGTTTTTTTTTAGCTTATCTAATCTACTCTCAGATCTCAATACAATTTTAGGTCGGAAAACCCTTAGGTCAGTGTCCTTAAGGTCGGATGAGCGGGTATCTAATGGATGATTAAAATGTCGAGAAGTAAAGTCGTCTTTTCTGTGTGACATATTTTTATGAATTTCTTATAAAGCGGTCTTATGCAGAATCTTTTATAAATTTTTAGAATAAATTGAAACAAAGTTTTCCTTATTATTTGTTCTGCTCTTTCAGAGAATACATGGGCGGAGTACTTATCAGAGTATTTTTTATCTATCTTCTCTCCTTCCCTAAATTTTGTTTGATCATAATCGCTTTTTTATCTCTTTCTGTACCTCCTGAACCTCCTGTACCTTCTGTGGCTCCTGAACCTCCTGTACCTCCTGTACCTCCTGTGCCTCCTGAACCTCCTGTACCTCCTGTACCTCCTGAACCTCCTGTACCTCCTGTACCTCCTGTACCTCCTGAACTTCCTGTACCTCCTGTAACTCGTGTACCTCCTGAACCTCCTGTACCTCCTGAACCTCCTGTACCTCCTGTACCTCCTGTACCTCCTGAACCTCCTGTACCTCCTGTACCTCCTGTAACTCGTGTACCTCCTGTACCTCCTGAACCTCCTGTACCTCCTGTACCTCGTGTACCTACTGTACCTCCTGTACCTCCTGTACCTCATGTACCTCCTGAACCTCCTGTACCTCATGTACCTCCTGTACCTCCTGAACCTCCTGTACCTCCTGTACCTCCTGTAACTCGTGTACCTTATGTACCTCCTGTACATAGACTTAACGACAATAAGGGACTTAAGAGAGAAAACAGAAAAACAGTGACCAAAAAATTGAATATTTTAGAATGTTAAATATTAATTTAATAAAATTATTTGTCAGCAAAAACTTTACCGCTTTAACATTATACAGGGTTTCCTAATAAACATGGGAATTGACTGACGATTTGTAGGTCGTCTTCTTAAATGATTAATTTAGTTATCGTACTTTCTGAGAAAACTATAATCCCTGGGATTTTTGTTTGCTTGTTCTTTAGTTGCTATGACAAACAAAGTTTGCAAAAATATTCCAGAAGCATCAAACAGTCTTTTACCGTTTTGATTCTAGCGCAGTCGTCGTCGTGTATATCAATACAATGAAGACGACTTTCGATTTTCAATCAAAATGGAAATAAAAATTAGCAATCAATTAATCGCTTCTCTTTGTTTACTCATAAGAAAAGCTTATGAGAAATCAAAATATAAAAGTCTTCTTCATTGCATTGATTCAAACGCCGTCCACCGTAAACCGTTATAAATTTTAACATTGACGATCTTGAATTAATCACTTTCCATGAATATTTGTTGGAACACCCTGTCTGTACTTTTTATTAATAATAATACTCTGAACCTGAAATCATATCCTATAGAGTGTGGGTTAAGCTGAGCAGGTAGATTATGTTTATAGTAATCTTCTGCTCCGTTATAATATCCAAGAAAACTATCAAACCCTCGTCTAAATATATTGATCAATTAAAGGGATTGTCACCAAAATTTTAGAAGTTTTATCAATTAAATATCAACGATTTAAAACAATTTTCTTTAAGCCATTTTATGATAATACATGACAAAGCTACCGTCGTTTTTAGCTCGCCATTGCTATTTTTAAAACACAAAGATTAATTTAACCCAATTTTATGCTCTACTTCAGTTCGAAAAGTATTTTGCTCTAGATATGTGCATAGACCTGTTTCTTCTTATAATAAAAACAAATTATTTCCCCACTTTTTAAATGAACTTATTTCTTGACACAACCCGATGTCGTAGACCTTTGTTATTTCAAACTATAAATTATATTAGATAAAAAAAAGAAATTTAAAATATCAAAAGATTACACCATCAAGTTGCAGAGATATAGGGACAAAGAGAATAGAATATATATTAGAATGGAATTTACTAGGATAAAGTGTAAAACGGCCATTTTGTTGTACTGCTTCCATACTGTGCAGGTGTACTTCACATATTTGTGCTATATAACCTTTTGGGCCCTGGAACATCATTTTATAGAAAATCTAAAATTAATATTAAAAGAAAACCAACTTATGAAATAGACTGCTTTCATAATTGACCAGTGATCATTTCACATAGACTCTATGCCTTTCACTTTACAAACGATAATTTTCCGCTATAACTATAAATCAAATGATGTTTTTTATTCACCTAATTTATTTGTACTCCACTGCATATAATTTGTGAAACATTTACATGATTTGTACACTTTGAACTCCCTTTCAGGCTGAAACGGACTGACAAATTTCATACAGAGGGATTTTCTAAATTCCACTCTAATATATATTCTATTATCTTTGCATAGGGACAAGAACTCTTATCTTATTGATATTATTTATTACCTTGTCGGTAAATAGTCTTCATTACAGAACCCTAGATGCCATTTTCCAACTAAATGTGTCGAATATCCCAATTCCTTCAAAAACAAAAAATACAATATTTTCCAAATAAATTTTAGCATCACGTATAATTACTTAGGTTTGATTATTATCAAGATTTGGAAAAGGAAAAAATGTTCTTATATACATAATTGGCTGGAGCGCCCGGCGTTGTCTGTGGAATTTAAAAAACACTCTGGGGAAAACAAATTCTAAATTTCAAATTTTAAAGAAGAAAAATTTCCAATTTTTTATATAAAGATAAGCGCCCAAGAAGTTAAATTCTATCTTTTTATTTTGATTTCCTTGAGATATTGTGGAAGAAGTGTTAAGTTTGTAAATAAACCTCGCGGTTCCTCGTTCAACAGAACACGGTGCTGACGTCCTAAAACGAGAAAAAAATATTTACAGATTTTTTATCTGTGAATTATGAGCTCAGCTTGAGACAGCAGAATGTAAATTTAATGTAAAACTATAGAACGTGTTTTTATACATGATATCATCATATTATGGAAATTGTATGACGAACCATAAAGTCCTCATTGCTCTACAAGGCATTTGCTTGTGGGATCTTTTCTTGCTAGTAGAAAATTCAAACCATTAAACATAGATGAATAGCTACACAGATAGAACACTAATCGTCTTTTTAAGATATAGCTAGAGGTTTTTCGTTTACAATAATCCTGAGGCAGAGGCCCAAAGGAGTTTCGCGCAGGCAGCGCATGCTCTCTCTCTGTCTTGTAATTCAACGATGCCTGCGCGGAACTCGTTGAAATCTTGAAAAGACGACATCTAGTGTTCTATCTGTGTTGTTATTAATCTATGCCATTAAAACTAATATTCTACCAATCCTGGGAATGTGAGTTATGATTAAAATCAAGAATACTCTGTACAGTGTACACTGTACCTGTATGAATGGGGTTCAAACAGGCAATGAGTAAAGTTGCTCAACTAGAAGTTTACTTTACACTATACATTTTACTCTACCTGTATATAAATGTACAGTGTACAGTGTACTGTTCCTGTATGAATGTGGTACATACCAGTGAGTAAAGTTGTTCTTCTAGGAGTTTGCTGTACACTGTAGTGTACCTTTATGAATGAGTAAAGTTGCTTTACTAAGAGTACACTGTACACTGTACCATATACACTGTGCACTGTGCCATGTACACCTACGCAGTCCAGTGATTAAAGTTGCTCTACTAGGAGTTTGTTGTACACTGTAATTTACCTGTATGAATGGGGTACAGCCCGGTGAGTAGTGTTGCTCTGCTAGGTGTACAGATAGGTTGAACATAATTCTGCTCCAGGATAACACCAGACCTTCCTGTTTCAAAAATATTTAATTTGCAATAAAAAAAAATCTACTATTTTAAAAATAAAAAATATAAACATATCTTTATTTAAGTCATTTCTAGGTTCAAGCTCTTTTTCTAAATAATTCTTGCATAATTTAATGTGAACCGTACCTAGATTATGAAGGTTTGGTGTAGATATATCAGGGTTGTGCCAGGATACGTCATTGAACCCCAGATCATCAGCCATGATAAATATGATGTTGGGAGCTGACCGCAAACTTTTGGTAGATATATATGTTCAATTGTTATAATTAAAGGGAGTGTACACGAAATTATAATTTACCCTTTATTTAAAAAAAAGAGTGGCATGTCCGATTAACAACATTGCCAATTGAAACTGTCCAAGTGACAACGAGGAAGATATCGTTGTTTTTATCTTAAACCGTGTAGAATTCTGAAAATTATATTCATGGTCTCTGTGGCATAGAACTGCATGTCAATTTTATAGATAAACTATTATTTAAAAATCTTTTATCCGACAAAGGTGTTAATAGTATTATTGCACAACTCTGTAAATAGATGGTTATTGAAATTAAGTGTACAGTCCCTTTTTATGGATTGTAAGCGTAATCTATAAACGCCACTCAAATTCTATTGATGCCATTGATGATGCACAACAGTGTGTGCACCACTGTCTATCTATAGAAACAATGAAAGTGATTACATTTTTCCAGTATGTGGCTTTAGCATATAATATTCAAAGGTTACTATAATAATGAACCCCACCAAAATAATGGCACTAAAAAGTACGTTTATGGACTATATTTAAACATAAAACCTTCCCTCGAAAACTTTTTAAATTAGCTAAATGTTTTTAATCATAAAAATATAGGTCAGCATTTTTTATTTATTTCCAACTGTGTTTCAGTTCCATATCTTTAATCTACAAACCCTATGACTAATTCAGAAAACTGAACGAGGTAAAGCAGTTTTAGGATCATCACTGAACTCTGTACAACGTTTAGTTTCTAAATATAAAACGAACTCTTTAAACCCTAGAAATCAGAACTTATCATCACTAAACCAGTCATTGTTAAACATTCTTTCTACTCAAGGGTGTAATGCAAGGAAAGTTATTTCAGTGGTGTACGATTTTTTTGTACTGCAGTATACTGTCTTTGGGCTCTAATGTAAGCACAAGAGTAGGGGTGCCACTGCCTGACATAAGAATCATCTTTCAAATAAAAAATCCATGAATTATTCTGGTCATAGGAATTTATAAAATAAATGCATTTTTAAAATAATTTAACACTGAGACCCAATAAACATACAAGTTGGATCAATGTTTTCACAGACAGTACTAAAGAGAAGTAACTTCTCCATTGAACCCCCCTCCTCGAATACTGAACGAACACTGATGCATGTATTATTGTTTACAAATTCCGCCCAGAGAGAACTGGTTTCAATGTGTACACAGAGTATACACAACCGCAATTGACTTTCCTTGCATTACACTACTGAAGAATATTTGACAATGGCTGACATATTATATAGAATAGATACCCTGAGAAACTGAGTAGAATCCAGTATATTTATCTTATATTAAATCTTTCTAATGAACAAGAGAGGAAACCAGGTTTGAAAGACTTCCAAACCGGCCCGGTGTCGTGCAGTATTTCATCTCCTCCCCTGCGGGAACTCATCCTCCCCCTCACTGTATAAACTCCGGTTCATTTTAATTACCGGGCCGACTTTATATCAGCTAGAGCAAGCGGTACAGTACACACGGACTACAAAGGGCAAAACAAGACAGTACGCCAAATAAATGATCCCTTGTGGTGAAATGCCCTAATGTTTTAACCATTTTAACACGATGTTAAGACATAATAAAAAAATAAAAAATTATTATTGTCTCGAATAAATATTTGTGTAAAGGAAAGATGGCGAATGAGAGAATTTTGTATTTTGTCAATTCAATTAGTTATTTTATAATTTAATGCGCGTTCACTCATGTGAATTAATTATTTTTAACGTTTTAACATTGCACTTTTTATGTCTAACATAGAGTTGAAATTGTTAAAAGTTTAGGGGGGGATGAATTAATTAGAATACCGGGAATGCAAAGAATGTAAGGCAAGGAAAGTCATTTCAGAAGTGTACACATCTTTAGTACTGCAGTGTACTGTCTCTGGGCGCTAATGTAAACACAAGACGGATGTCGAAGCCTGACATGGGATCCATCATTCACATAAAAAATCAATGAAATATTCTGGTCATTATGTGAATTATCAAAATTATCAAAATTTAATGCTTTTAACCTCCTCGGATACTAAACGAACACTGATGCATCTATTATTGTTTACAAATTCCGCCCAGAGAGAACTGGTTTCAATATGTACACAGAGTATACACAACCGCAATTGACTTTCCTTGCCTTACATTTTTGGGGAATACCATGCACGAGTAGAAGAATTATCTTTAAAGCAGAAAAACCGTGAAGCGCCATAAATTCTGTACATCCATAGATACATTCATTTATTGCATTTAAAATCAAGTTATAAAAAGTTCAATGAGCATGGTACTTGGCATTTGTGCAGTGTAAATAGATACATTTAACTAAACTAGTGGTAGTAAAACTATTTGCTTTGTAACAATTCCTCAAATACTTTTAAATATTGCTTAAAAGTCGTCTTCCTATTCCGTTGTTTTCTGGTTATAACTGTAGTCTGTATGTGTATTGTACAGCTTGCTATGCATAGAGAATAGAATAAATAGAGAGGAATTTACTAGAAAAAAGAGTAAAACGGCCATTTTGTTGTACTGTTTCCATACTGCAGGTGTACTTCACATATTTATGATATATAACCTGTTGGGCCCTGGAATATCATTTTACAGAAAATCTAAAATTATTGTTAAAAGAAAACCAAATTATGGAATAGGCTGGTTTCATAATTGACCAATGATCATTTCACATAGACTCTATGCCTTCCACTTTACAAACGATGATTTTCCGTTATAACTATAAATCAAATGATGTTTTTATTCACCTAATTCATTATAAAGTTTATTTAACAGTTTAAAAAATTCGAAATTGAAATGGATAGTATAGGCAACATACTGTATTGATGTACTGTACTGCATATAATTTGTGAACATTTACATGATTTGTACACTTTGAACTCCCTTTCATGCTGAAAGGGACTGAAAAATTTATACCGAGAGATTCTTTTAATTCCTCTCTATATATTCTATTCTCTATGTTGCTATGGCTGCTTAAAAGTCGGCCCGGTACTTGAAATGAACCGTAGTTTACAATGCCATACAAGATATCCTTCAAGGAGTATGGAATACAAGGGAGAAGAATTTACCCGGCCCACCCTACCATATGATTATACATGCTTTGCAGACGGTACTTCATTTGAAAAAGATTTTATTAAAGGTCGCCTTTTAATTCTTTAAATGTGTTTTTTACTATACCATATAAAATTAAACCGATTTTTTATATTATAAAAAAAAAGTTTACGTATTGTTAATATTTTTGCATCCTAAAAAATGTATTTGTTTGGCGTTTCAGCCTAATTTTTTCCTTGCTTATTGTATACAATAACCTCTTCTGAAAACATGTACGCGGTATTTGTACATCATACAAATATTTCTTGTTCAAATGAAGTACGGTACCGTCTGCGCGCAAAGCATGTATAATCATGTGGAAGGGCGGGGGCCGGGTCGATTCCTTCTCCCTTATATTCTATACTCCTTAATCTACACAGTTTACATATATCCCCACTGGTCCAACTTTTAATTTTTTTGGTCTAAACTTTAAAACCCTTTATGCTTTTTTGTATCCCTTGATGTAAAATGTTTGGATAATAACCCCGTATGCTCCCCCACCTACTTTCTATATCTGCGCATCTCATAATCTTCTACCATTGCTTCAATTAAAGTATCATATTGTCGGCCATAATAAAATGCCGATTTTCCTTCAAATTGTGTTGACCAGCAGTAGTGTTCGGAGTTCCTCTTAAAAGAAATTTAGTTTTTGCCACAAACTGTGAATTTTTAGTCCCTATATCTTTGCAACCCAATGTCGCAGACCTTTAAAAGGATTTGCAGGGTCCTCAAACTCAATTTTCTAATCCATATATCTTTCCAACTAAATGCTGTTCTTTAACCTTTGATATTTTAAACTTAAATTATTTGATCTAACAGAATTAGAGTTTGTGGCACAGATTCAATTTCTTACAATTTTTGAATTCTGTTATATCAAATTTAAGTTTGAAATAGGTTTATATCATCAGGTTGCAAAGATACAGCCAGATAGGAAAATGTGAGTTTGTGGCAAAAACTCAGTTTCTTTAATAATCTCCAGTACTCTCGGCAGAAAATGGCTTCATCATGCGCCAAATCGGTCAACCTAAAGGATTTTTCACCTACCCTACGTTATTCAGGGGGGTGGCAAATATGACATCGCTGATTTTCATTGTAATACTCTCTTTATATATTTCCCGGCTATGGTCTTTATGAGAGATGCCTAATTCAATAAAAAATTACCGAGTTTAAATCACCAAACCTTTAATAAGTAAAACTGTAACCTATGTCAAGATTCAAGAAAATCAAATTGGGATTTAATAGTTTTTTTTTACTTTTATTCTATAAACAATTCATAGACTCGTTTCATAAAAATATTCGGAATCCACTAATTGGTTTTTTTTTCAGAACTTATAATTTTCTTAACATGACTTATACATGATCAATGATCGGAGAGTTGATTTTAAAATATAAAATAACAAAAAACAAAGCTGTAAAGTACGCTGAACTAAGTATAGCTGAACATATTGGAAGGTGTTGATATAAAAATTATCATATTTGTTATGACATTATCATATTTAGAGTTTATGTTGCGCAAGTTTAAACAGAATTTAAAATTTTGAAATTAAATCAGAAACCTTGAAAATGTGATGGTATATTTTAAGCTAAATAAAGGGAGGGTATCGGGGGTGATAGGCAAATAAGGAGGGGGGAGGGTTAATGGTATATCTTGGTTTAGTATGGGAAGAAGGTTTTATTGCTTGCCTTTTTTATCAAAGAAAAACAAAGAGGAGTTTTAATAAAGGTTGGGATTTTGTAGAACAGTCCCTTCATGTTAGAACATATATCCAGTTGCATGATTTGTGCCGGTACAACACGTATTGTATATTCATTCAATCGTACTGTCCATTCTGGCTACCCAGCAGATGTACAACCTAGTTCTCCGTGTTTTGATATCAATATCGTTGTTAATAATGATAAATGAGACCTCCCAACCTACTCAGGGTTTATATCTGACCATGCAGGTACTCAGAGCACCACCCAGATAAGGATTAAACCTGGAGCTGAATCATACTTTGTATCCGAATACCAGAGATTTCAATAATAACTCCGTATTTACTGTTAATAAACCCAATCCATCCTCAAGCTTCGATCTAAATTCAACTCATGTTAGATCTATCTATCTATCTATCTATCTATCTATCTATCTATCTATCTATCTATCTATCTATCTATCTATCTATCTATCTATCTATCTATCTATCTATCTACCTATCTATCTTTATATCTATCTATCTATCAACCTATCTAGCCAGCACTTAAACCGTTCTACAGGGTGTCTCAATAAACTTCAACAGCGTAAAACTTGACATACGTGTACATAATTTAGTAAAATCTTCTAAAATGCAAACAGATTATCAATTACTTTTAAATCAATCTGTTTGCTAAAAATATATATAATACGACCTAAAAGTGTTCTTAATTTTGTTAACAAGGTACCGTTTAAATAGTAATTTTTTAAATGAACCAGTATTTCAAAACTTTTATTTTTGGTTCAAAAGTAGCGTTTCGATTTCATTTATAAAGGCAATCACTAGTTTTGAGGATTAAATTTTCTTATATTTTGGGACATCTTTTATTCTAAATGGAGTTATAGTGTTTACAAAGATTGCATACTAAGCACTTAATAATAAACCAATATATTAATCCTTGAGCAGCAACCCTAACAAACTAAGTCCTGACTACAACCTATAAGTACGTCGTACAATGTATGTACAAATGTATGTAAGTTGTAAACTTTGTACATGTCTGTATGGTGTCTTACTACATGGTTTCCAAGCTTCTCTTTGCTCATTCTATAGTCAGGGTAGAATAAATACTTTGGATTGAAGATTGATTATAGATAACATATTTCATTTAATTTCTTCTGCGTTATCTAACACAAAGTTCATCGGATAAATTTAAAATGCTATGGATTGTTGGGATTACATTTAGTTTTTGATTAGTTAAAAAAAATTTCGATATTAGCTATCATGTAATTATTTTGTATAAATAACATTTTTTCATGAATAACGTTTAAAATTTCTAGAAATCAACTTTTTTACTCATTTATATCATTATTATTAAGTCAACTTGAACTATGTTTATCATTTAAAAAATGTTCACAATTTTTTAATCTTATTGATTACTAACTGAAAGGCTCGGCGTTGACCGTGGAAAAAAAATATTTTTGAAAAAAATATACATTTGAAAAAAAATTATAATTTTTTTAGACCATGTCACCCCCAGGCTATCCATGAGTTACCACAAAAAAAATTCAGCCCATTCGGTCCAGCCGTATGACCTGATATAGGAATGTCTTGTTTTAATATATTCAGTCGTAACCAGAAAACTCCGAAATAGGAAGACGACTTTATAGCAATACGTAAGTGCATTTGAGGTTGTTATAAAGCAAATAGTTTTACTAGACACTAATTAAATAACAAATCAAGTGAAATGGGTCTATTACCACTTCACAATATCTCTCTCCCGTGCTCATTAGACTATCTAAAGTCATAATTTGAGTTTAAAAGTCGTCTTCCTATTCCAAAGTTTTCTGGTTACCACTGTAGATCCTGTAGATTATTCCTAGAGTTAATTCTCCCTAGAAATTCTAATTCAAAATAAAAACAAAAATAATAAAATATTTCAAATATAAGTCTACAGCCTCCCCCCTGGCTTGAGTATACCTGGCTTGAAGCCAGCTGTAAGGCCGATTAGCTTAACTCCTATAAACACAGTAAAGGATGGATTGGGGAACTGTACATGAATATATTCTTGAAGATGTGTTTATGTACCTCAATCCTAAACAGTTATGTACTGCAGCACGTGTTTGTTCATGGTAATTTATTCTATTTCCTGGATAGGAACTAAAATTTCCCTTAAAACATGTTTTAATAAAAAAGGAAAAATTGTGATATATCAATTCAATGTTTATTTGATGGACTATAATTTTCTTTTTAAAATAAGTCAAATAAATAATTTCAGTTCCAATTTTTTTTAATACTCCTGTCATGTACATATTATTAATATTTATTGATAGTGTGTGCATGTGCCATTAAATATGAAAATTTAAAGACGAACATGAGTATTAAGGAATAATATTGAATGAATGTTGCCATACTATATCTAATGTTACTGCTTTAAATGGTCTTTTACCCGTTTTATTCTTCTAGAAGTTCATTTTCAATATCTTCAATGTCGTCTTTGAATTATCGTGTTTTGTGAGGCACACTGTTTATAAACATATTTCAGGTGGAATACTGTAGCAGAATCTAGTTTACTTTGGAGAAATATAATAGAGAAAGATTTAAGCATCAAGGTATATCCTGTATCCTGTATCCTGTATCCTGTATCCTGTATCCTGTATCCTGTGTTCCGTATCCTGTATCCTGTATCCTGTATCCTGTGTCCTGTATCCTGTATCCTGTATCCTGTGTCCTGTATCCTGTGTCCTGTATCCTGTATCCTGTGTCCTGTATCCTGTATCATGTAACCAGTATCCTGTATCCTGTAACCAGTATCTTGTATCCATTAACCAGTATCCTGCACCTACGTTATTAACCTTGTATCCTATATCTTGAGTTCTCTATCCTGTATCCTGCATCCTAAGTTTAAACTCTTGTATTATGTATTCAGTATCCTGTATCCCACATCCTTTATCCTTCATACATCCTAAATCCTGCATACATCAAACTTTATCCAATATCCAGTATTTAGTATCCAATATCCAGTATTTACTATCCAAAATCCAGTATTTAGTATCCAATATCCAGTATTTAGTATCCAATATCCTGAAACTTGAAGTTAACACGAAATAGCGTTAATTAGCAAAGCTTGATCTCGATATCCAAAATTGAGAGGAAAAATGTGCTTGATCCATTTATTTTAGTTATCCCTGCAGGATTTAACCATCAAGGGATATTCAAAAGGAACTAAATTAATCCGTAGGTTAGCACAAGGAGCACAAGCATGGAGATGAATGCTTGATCCATGGATTCACAAAACTAAAGTGCTAACATTATTATTCCATGTCCACGACTGGAAAGTTGTATTTTCTAATGAAGATAGGTAATATTTAGGTTACTGGTCTACCCCCTTCAGTTTACTCCTGGAGGTAAATAAAATAGTTTTAGTATTTGTAGTTAATATTATGGGTTGAATTAACAATTTATTTTTCAGGTTTTTTCTAATTTTTTGCAACTTATACTTTACAGGGAAGTTAAGGGAATTTTACTTTACCAAGGGTTCCCTCGCTCGCTGCGCTCTGGATGTTTTGTATACAAAATTGGTCGAGGGAACCCGTGGTTAAGTAAAATTTTGAATTTCCCGAAAAAGTAGCTGCAGTAAACATTTTTATCGTCTTTTGAAATGAAAATGCGCGAATTTTTTCCAGAAAAGTTCGCAGAACGGGTGGTTATTTTACATAACTGTCCCAAGGGAAGTTAAATAACCTTACCTCCCTCTTTGGGGGAATCATGGGTTGTTGTTCAAAAGGCGGTACAATCTATTATAGTTAAAATATCATCATAATTTTCATAATTTTGAATCCAATGAGAACTATCAGTGATTTCATGATTTCATAATTAATTTCATGTCATTTTATCTATAATATATATTTCGTTGTAATCCACAACATCTTCAGATGCAGCTAATAAATATCTGTAAAATGGAGAACAATAACAAATTTTATTATCAAAATAGTCAATGTTATATAAACAAAAAGAAAAGATAGAGGTAAATGAGATCTATTAAACTGTGGAATAGGAAGACGACATTTGGGTAAATTTATGAGTATTTGATGCTGTTTTAAAACAAAAGTTTTAACAGCTGTTTGAAACCCAACTTATTAATTTTAATGGTTCTTTTTCAACTTCAGAATGGCTGTATTTGATGTTCTTTAGAATATTAAAAGTTATAATAACTTCGAGTCTAATAGTTCTCTTTCTACTTCACAGTTTAATTGGTGTCACTGTATTATCATATTATAACTATTAATTACTACTTAACCGGGAGATTAAGGGAGATAATTAAATTGAGCCGAGGGCCTCCAAGACCTTTTTGGGGTTCTAAACCTCACGAGCGTAGCGAGGGAGGTTTAGAACCCCAAAAAGGTCGAGGAGGCCCAAGGCTAAGTGGTTTTCACCTCAATTTAATTATCCTCATGAAAACTCCCGGTTAAGTAGTAATTTATCGTTTAATCTCCTGTTCAACGAAATAACCAACCGTGGGGGATAAAATAATAATGAAATCAATAAAACTATCAATTATGATTTTAATTCTCTTATTTCTTACTAATGCATATGGAAGAATATTTAATTTCTTGATCTAAATCTTGAATTAAATCTGTATGGATCACAGAGGGAGGATAAGTAATTATCCTCCCTGGAATTAAAAAGGAGGGAATTTAAGGTTGGTTATTTCGTTGAACAGGAGATTAAACATGTTATCACACTGAGACATAAACAACTCTGAAACTTTATCATCAAAGTTTAGGACGACCTAGACTGCAAAGTGTCGCATCTCCTTGGCCTTTGGTTTTATCTCACTAATTCACTTATACAGTTTTGTTTCTAGCTTAATGTTGAAAGAAGTAACTAGTAAAATACTTGTAGAGAGCGTGCACATCTTGGTTTACATTCTGTATCATCATCGTTATTACTATTCTTCTCTATATTAGAAGAGAATGGGAGAGAATACAACGAGCTGGTTTAGGAAACAAGATTATATCAGAACATATTCACACAACAGGTTCATGTAGTATTACACTTTGGGACGGAAAAGATAAACTAAACTGACAAACAAATGCTTCTTCTTTATGATGGGCTTCAGACGGTTATTCGAATTTAAGAAAGTGATTGACAATTCCCGACTGTCCCCGATATATATAGATTTTTACCTGAAATTGCATTTTTGAACATTTTTTATTTCTTGTTGTAGGCGTAACCCACGCGGCCTTTTCTCCTGATGGTGATACATTAGCAACATGTGGGAATGATGCAAGGTATCATTTAGGGAGCGATAATGCAACGTTTCATAATTTGACTTATGTTCAACGTATCATAGTGATCTATAATGCAGGGTATCATGTAGTGCTCTATGATGAGGGGTATCATGTAGTAAGTTACATTGTAAAGAATCATGGAGTGATACATGGTGCAGGGTATCATGTAGTGCTCTATGATGCGGGGTATTATGTAGTAAGTTACGTTGTAAAGAATCATGTAGTTGATATATGGTGCAGGGTATCATGTAGTGCTCTATGATGCGGGGTAACATGTAATAAGTTACGTTGTAAAGAATCATGTAATGATATATGGTGCAGGGTAGCATGTAGTGCTCCATGTTATAGTAAGTCAGTAATATATGATGCGGGGTATCATGTAGTAAGTTACGTTGTAACGAATCATGTTATAGTAAGTCAGTAATATATGATGCGGAGTATCATGTAGTAAGTTACGTTGTAACGAATCATGTTATAGTAAGTCAGTAATATATGATGCGGAGTATCATGTGGTAAGTTACGTTGTAAGGAATCATATTATAGTAAGTCAGTAATGTATGATGCGGGGTATCAGGTAGTGCCCTTTCGAACCCAAAATAAATCTAGAAATAGAGAACTCATAAAAGTGTCCCTCATATTAGCTAACGCACAGTGAGGACGCACAAATGAACATACATTGAGAAGGCACAGAAAGGTCGTCGATATATGTGAAAACACAGTGAGGAGACAAATTGAGAACCCACTGTGATGACACACATTGTAACACACCAAAACAAGAACGCACATTAAGAACGCACCGTGAGGACGGACATTAATAACGCACATTGAGAACACACATTGAGACCACACAGTGTGAACGCACATTGAGAACACATACATTGAGAACACACTGTGAGAACGCACATTGAGAACACATACATTGAGAACACACAGTGAGGACACACAGTGAGAACACCCATTGAGAACGAACAGTGAGGACGCACATTAAAAATGCACAGTGAGGACCCACATTGGAACGCATAGACGTTTGACAAATTATAGTAAACAGGGTATTCTGTCCCCAAGAAATCCAAGTTTAAAGTTTAGTGAAATATGCTTAATTTGGTATTTTTTAAAGCATAAGCTATATTGGAAGAGGGGGCTAACAATAAAAATAATGTTCCCGTTATAGGATCTGTGTATGGAAGATTGAACCTGGACAAGAATTAAACCTAATTTATGAAGAGAGTTTTGTGTAAGTAAACATTAGATTTGAGCAGTAGTAAACTATATAAGAAAGCTTATTGTTAGCTATAGCTGGCCAAACGTCTGGACCGAATGGGCTGAACTTTTTTTAGGGAACTCGTGGGGGCCCAGGAGAAACATAGGCTAAACAAATTAAGATATTTTTCTTTCAAAAATCATTTTTTTCTTCAAAATAAAAAAAAATCTTCCACAGGCAACGCTGGGCACATCAGCTAGTAACACAAAACATTGAAGCTATGACGCAATAAAGATAAAAATGAATAGCAACATTGATAACAAAGTACTCAACTTAGAAATGTTGAAATAAATATTGCGTGATCGTTTTGATAATATGAAATCAAAAAGGAATGTTCAAATAGGGTTAAAGGGGGTTGAAAATCAGGATAGCCCCAAACTATAATCTCTGAGGGGAGGGTTTATATTTAAAGTTTTGAAAGGATTATTTAGTAAAAGTATAAAGTAAAGGCTGGCTTATCTAACTCTGTACAAAATATTTTATGACACAGGGTGCCCAAAAATATGTTCCACACGTTTATTGTTTTCATTAATATTGAAATAAAAAATTTACCAAATAAGAAAAGACGAAGATGATAGACTACATTTTGTAATGCTTTAAAGACGAACAGTTTATTTATTAATCGACAATCGAAAGTTTCCCATTTCCATCGGCTGCGAAACTTACGATTCAAATTTCCTACAGATTTGCCCAAACAACATGGAAGTTAAGCGATCCATTTAAGTTTGCCAACACCACGGTCAATTTTAAAAAGCACATTTCCCCCAAAAATTTAATTACCACAATCCATTCAAAACATAAACAAACAAATTCTAAATTCAAGCTGAAAAAAATCATTCTTCGGATTTCAGCTTTCCTTGTAAACATAACTTGTACTAAACAAAAATAAATAGATCTCGAATTCATCAGTTTTCCCATATTTAATGGGACACCCTGTATTTTAGAAGGTTTAACTGGAACCAGTGCAGTACAGTACAATTCAATCCGAATGGAACCTCCTTAATGATCTCAGGATAGAGTTAGGGAAAATTTTGGTGAAGAAATTGAGTCTTTGTCACAAACTCTGATTTTCTAATCCCTTTATGTTCGCAACCCAATATCATAGAGACCTTAGATAATTCATCTATGAATTCTGTTTGATCAAATAATCTAAGTTTTAAATATAAAATGATTAACGCCATCAAGTTGCTATAAGATATAGAGATTGGAAAATTTGAGTTTGTAGCAAAGACTAAATTATTTTTCAATTCAGATAAAGTCTTTTTTTTCTTTTTCTTGTCGACATTTTTTTAAATATAATATTCGCATACGTACAAATCTGTTTGCCTAGTTTTTTTTGTTGATTTGAATGGCGCGTTATTCTCCGAAAGTGTTTAAACAAACAGTTTTATCTTTGCTATGTCCAGTTCTTGGGAAATATATATTGACGTACAAATTATTGAACAAATACGCTTTGTCAGCTTAATTTAATTCATTAGAAAAAGAAAGAATGAATTTAGACGAAACCAACAATTTAAAAAAAAACTCAATCCATTAAAATACTTTTTAAAAAACTAACTCTATCTCCCGCAGGTGTGATAAAAGCAAATATAGGAACTAACAACTTTCAAATCTACGATTTCTTAAAGAACCTTAAACAGTCATAATGTTGAATTTAATGTTATGTTCTTTCCCAAAAGCATTTTCCCAAGCAGAAAGTTCCCAAATGTTCAATTTCCCAAGCGGTAACTTCCCAAGTCTGTCAGCGCTCGGCCCCCATCGCAGCCTTCAGCGCCTCTGGAGGCCTAATTAGTAATTAAGCCATAAATGTACATTTGGGATATTTCCACTTGGGATATTATCACTTAGAAAGTCACCCTTGGGAAAATACCTTTGGGAAAGTACCTAACAACTTAATTTAATGCAACATGGTTTTTTACAATAAAACTGTTCTGAAGAATTTATTACTTAATTATCTTAATAATCAAATTGGTCTTGAAAAGTTTAGGTCAAAGTTATGTGTTTTGCATTCAAAATGATTTTTTACTTGATTAATGAATTTTGAAAAGTTGTCTATCTTTAGCCAGGGTTAGGTTAGGAGAGATAATCATTATATCTATGCTTGAACCAGACCTTGGACAGATTAAAAGTAGAATTAATATCAGGTAACAAACATCTAGTATACTATCGTAGTCTACTAGATCAGTAGACCAATAGTCTACTAGACCAGTAGACCAATAGTCTACTAGATCAGTAGACCAATAGTCTACTAGATCAGTAGACCAATAGTCTACTAGACCAGTAGATCAATAGTCTACTAGACCAGTAGACCAATAGTCTACTAGACCAGTAGACCAATAGTCTACTAGACCAGTAGACCAATAGTCTACTAGACCAGNTCCAGTAGTCCAGTAGTCCAGTAGTCCAGTAGTCCAGTAGTCCAGTAGTCCAGTAGTCCAGTAGTCCAGTAGTCCAGTAGTCCAGTAGTCCAGTAGTCCAGTAGTCCAGTAGTCCAGTAGTCCAGTAGTCCAGTAGTCCAGTAGTCCAGTAGTCCAGTAGTCCAGTAGTCCAGTAGTCCAGTAGTCCAGTAGTCCAGTAGTCCAGTAGTCCAGTAGTCCAGTAGTCCAGTAGTCCAGTAGTCCAGTAGTCCAGTAGTCCAGTAGTCCAGTAGTCCAGTAGTCCAGTAGTCCAGTAGTCCAGTAGTCCAGTAGTCCAGTAGTCCAGTAGTCCAGTAGTCCAGTAGTCCAGTAGTCCAGTAGTCCAGTAGTCCAGTAGTCCAGTAGTCCAGTAGTCCAGTAGTCCAGTAGTCCAGTAGTCCAGTAGTCCAGTAGTCCAGTAGTCCAGTAGTCCAGTAGTCCAGTAGTCCAGTAGTCCAGTAGTCCAGTAGTCCAGTAGTCCAGTAGTCCAGTAGTCCAGTAGTCCAGTAGTCCAGTAGTCCAGTAGTCCAGTAGTCCAGTAGTCCAGTAGTCCAGTAGTCCAGTAGTCCAGTAGTCCAGTAGTCCAGTAGTCCAGTAGTCCAGTAGTCCAGTAGTCCAGTAGTCCAGTAGTCCAGTAGTCCAGTAGTCCAGTAGTCCAGTAGTCCAGTAGTCCAGTAGTCCAGTAGTCCAGTAGTCCAGTAGTCCAGTAGTCCAGTAGTCCAGTAGTCCAGTAGTCCAGTAGTCCAGTAGTCCAGTAGTCCAGTAGTCCAGTAGTCCAGTAGTCCAGTAGTCCAGTAGTCTAGTAGTCCTTTAGTCTAGTAGTCCATTAGTCTAGTAGTCCATTAGTCTAGTAGTCCATTAAGCCCATTAGTCCATTAGTCCAGTAGTCCAGTAGTCAAAAAAATGAAGAAAACAGAATTAAACACTAATTTGTTTGTATAAAACTGTCCGTACACAAATAAGCTTGTATTACGCAAAATCAGCAAAATGACTAGTACAAAAAAATGCAATTTTGCATTGATAAATTTGGTTTGGGAAGCTGCAAAAAAATCCCATTTCTAAATAGTATCATTCATTTATAAACTATAAATCAAACCTAATATTGGATCTCATAAAGCAGTCGAATTTACTTATGAACAAAGTTCAATTTTTTTTTAAAATCATTCCTTTGGTAGATTTTGCTGTTCATCTCTGCAATACAAACGTATTTATTTACCTCCACACCCTAGCCCAGGACACGCTTTGTATAAAAGTTTTATTTCTACTTCCACATTGATCAGAACCAACTATTCTACAAGTGAATCAACATGACCATGGTGAGGATAAGTTTTTATCTCCATCAAAAATCAGAATTAACATTTTGGTATTAATAACTTAATTTTCTTAACATTAAAAGAAAGGCAATTCATTCCTGAAGCATTTTCTTTCTTTTATTATGGATTGATTTTTATTTCTTCATTTCAGATTGGTGTCACAACAGCTGCAGTCTTATTTGGTTTGGTTGCTATGTGTAGCGGCCAGAACTATGATTGGATTCGACGATCTTGCACAGTGGAATCCTGGGACCATTCCACTGACACTTTAACCAACGTCTTCAGAATTGGAAACTGTGCTGCCTGCTTTAACAAGATAACTGATCCTCTCTCTCCGGAGGGTCTGGAGTTATCTCAAACTTGTACAGCAACCTTTCTCCCCCAGGAGCAAAAAGCCTGCTCTGAACAGATAGCAGCTCTGAATGCTGAAAACTATGCTGAATCTGAACAAGCTGTCAAGGATTGTTTCAAGGTTAGCTTGAGAAAGATTATGGCTGAGTATTGCCTGAGTATCTCCTCCTCCGAAGATGTTATTGAAAGTCTGACTGATGGAACTATCTGTGTGATGGGAAACTACAAGAACGTTACTGATTTTGTTCATTTTATTCACCAAGTGTCAGGAATTCCAGATGACGAATCTGAAAACGAATCAACTGAGATTAACCTGAAGGATTACATGAACCACAAGCTCTTCCCCCGCTTCTACTGTCAAGCATCCTTGGGTAAAGATGCTGAAACCTTAGATTCCTGTTATGAATGCTTTGAAACTGCTGTAGCTGAAAACAAGGATGACAAACTGAATTTGTGGAAGGAAGTTGCACAGTGCAGTGAAGCTCATCTTATTCCTTACTTTGAAGAATGTCAAAGTGGCCTAGTGACCCTCTCAGAGAATTCTGAAGCTGATCCTAAACCTGTTGATGATTGCTTTCAGAGAGGCGTTTACAGGTAAGCAAACAGAATCAAATAAATTAGAAATTACGTAAATATATATTTGAATCGTTTAGGCATGTTACATCTAAATGTACTCCGAAGGCAGTAACTGTTAGCTCTGATGGTCTTGTCAACAACATTGATTGCAGTATTGCAGTCTTCAAGGCTATGATTGAAGAACACGCCGAGCCGGAGATTGCAAGTCTTATCATTAAAGAAGTGTTCAGGAATCTGCCCTAAACCAACGGAAAGAAAAATCATCTATAAAAATATTTCAGTAATTTTGTGATATTTAATTAGACAAATTAATCGGATATTTAACTCAATTTGTGATACTTCATCTAGAAAATAAATTTACAATTCAAAAGTTAGTTTGTGAAATGAAAAAAATCGTTGTCCCTTCAGACAATTAAGCAAAGTTACCTCCCTCCCCACCCCCCGCTCTGCAAAGTTTTCGGGAAAAAAATCGCACATTTTCATCCAAAAAAAATACGATAAAATTGTGTACAACTACTTTTTCAGGAAATTAAATTTTTTTACTTAAACATGGGTTTCTTTCAGAGGGCGGAAACGTCATGTATGTGTCTCTGTACCGAAAGAGTGTGTGTAAGTAATTACGAACCGAAGGCGTGTACTGTAGGTATATACAGTACATAAGAATCTCGGTATTTGTACAGTTAAGGAGAGTAAATTTGAATTGTTTACTTAAAAATAAGTTTAATATACATGTAATATATTATTTATATATTTAAGTCAACGCATGCATATAAGCCAAATTCTCATGCAAAGAATATAATTTGATAAAAGTTTACAATAAACTACTAGTTATTCAAGCTTAATTAGAATTGACGACTTTGGTCTGCAATTTCCTTGACTGTAGTAATGTTGTGTGTCTGTACCAAAAGAGTGTGCGTGTGTAATAACGAACTCGTCTGCAAAGCAGTGCGACTGGCTTTCTCATGCCAGACCAGCGCCATTTCCCTTCCCTATATTCTTTTTCCCTGGTTTCCTCTACCAATTTTGCATATTAAACATTCTGAGCGCAAAGTAAAGTAAAATTCCCTTCATTTCCCTGCTAAGTAGTTGTAAGTAATTTTTACTCTATTGTGCAGCAAAGATGAATTCAAATTTTCTATTACTCACAGTACAGTATGGATATAAATAGCGTGGAATTACTTTTCATCAGGCGTAAAAACTCTCATTTTAGTGCACTTTCTGCGTATTGCAAGTATGTTTTACCCATTTATACAAAGTGCTATTAAATACAACTCTATAGCTTTGATAAAAACCAATTAGTTTTTTACTTTTGTACATTTTAACCACAAATCGTTTTATTTGTATTAATTAAACTGAAATTGTTATGCTCGATCAGACAGTGCAGCGCGGTATTGGGGGGAAACTGTATTGTACAAAATCCGTGCTCTAAACGGATTACGAATTTTATGACGGAAAATAAGACTGCATAGTATTTTGTAAACAGTGCTGTCTTTCCAAGTCAATTTTACTATTTTAGACCGTTTGATAGCCTGGGTTGTTGGTATAATAACAACTACGTGATCTCGTCTGAACATGATTGGTTAACAAGAGGGATATCTGTAAACAAACTCTGGATTAATAAGGTCAGAGCTCAGGTTGAGTTAGGCAATAGGAAACCAATAAGCAACTAACATGATATTTTCATTTATATTATAATTATCAACCCTGCTTTATTTCTCACCCCTAAATCTTAAATTTTATAGTTTTATACATTTAAAAGTAAATAAATTATTCGAAAGCTATTCGAATGACATTTTTTCATAACCATCATAACTCAGATTTTAATATCGTTTCAACCCAAAGTCAAATAATCTAAGTTTGAAATATCAAAGGTTTACCCCATCAGGTCGCAAATATATTGAAATTAGAAAATTAAAGTTTGTGGCAAAAACTCAAATAGTTTCCTTTAGAACGAAATATTTAAAGATGTATTTTTCAGGTAAATTTTGCCGATGAGTGTGAACCAAGTTTAGCTTGCATGAGACAACTGTATCGTATGTACAACTGTGCTGGGTCATCTCTTAGAAATATCACGGTAAGTATTGTACAAGAAGAATTTTTCGTGCATTTTCTCACGATGCAATATTTTGTCATTCTTATCTTGACACAAACAAACAACTGAACTGGAATGTACTGCAGTTTACAATCCAATCAATGTTTACAATCCATATTAAGTGTAGTGTCTATCTAACTCATCTAACTATCTCTAAAAATGTTCAATTATCTACATTTAACCACCCCCAAGAAATACGATCACTCTATATACAAGTGTACAGTGTTAGATACGTAAACATATCGAGATGTACACAACCGAACACCCTATTAATTAATTAATAGGGTGGTCGGTTGTGTACATTTTAGGTAAGCCTTACTTCTTCTTTTCCTTTCTCTATTGTTTAAACTGAAGTTTTCTGTATGAACTTTAATCAATTTAGCCTGGGCAAGATGTTTTGTAAACAAGATTTGAGGCATGTTATGTTAAAGTAAATTTTAGGTTAGATTGAAATCATAAATTTTTTCAATTATAAATCCACTTTTTTTATAAAGCTATCGAAGAAACAGTTTAATTTCTTCTTAACAAAGAAATGGAGTCTTTGCCACAAACTCTGATTTTTTAATCCCTTTATCTTCGCAACCCAATGTCGTAGACCTTAGATATTTCAAACTATGAAGTCTGTTACTTCAAATAATCTATGTTTAAAATATAAACCATCAGGTTGCAAAAATATATTTATTAGAAAATATGATTTTGAGCCAAAAACTATATTCTTTTTACAAATATTGACTTCCGTAGTTTATCTTTCTTTTCTTCAGGTGTGCAGTGTACCACGGCAGAATGTTTACGAGTACAGGAAGTATCTAGGATCTAGGGATACGGATACTGTCCTAGCTGCTCAGCTATACCTGGCAGATAATCATGCTCTTCATCTTATACCTGTACCACCAGCAGGTAGGAACACATAGATAATCATGCTCTTCATCTTATACCTGAACTCCCAGCAGGTAGGAACACATAGATAATCATGCTCTTCATCTTATACCTGTTCCTTCAGCAAGTAGGAGCACGGAAAATTTAGATCGAAAATTTATTTGATTTTTGTTTTAAACAAAATGAATATTAGGCCTAAAACTCGAATTGTCTGATCCCTATATCTTGGCAACCTGAAAGTGTAAACCTTTAATATTTGGTCTCGAAAAACTCATAGTTTTAATTATAAATAATTTATGAAATCCAAGTTTGCGGAGAATAACCAGTTCCTCTGATAAAAGAATCCGGAAATACTATTTTTGTTACTTAAAATAAAACAGGGCTGATTTTTTATTCAGACAATGTACCCTCTCTACCGGAAGATGTAGACAATATGACAATCAAATATATCTGGGAAGGACGATACATTGCAGACTATGACGAGAACCAGGACGAAAACCAGGTAGACATTTACTCCTGTTTACTCAAGGATATAGAGAATGGTAGGAATAGGATGGAGTACTTAATTATTCTACACAGCTGTATGTTCCAATACATGATACAGAACAGTGTGGTTTTGAGTATTGTACTCCTGTATATTCCAGGATATGCAGAAGGATAGATTCAAGTATTCTACTCCTGTATATTCCGGGAAATGGAGAAGGATAGAGTCAAGTATCCTACTCCTAGTCTGTATATTCCGGGAGATGGAGAAGGATAGATTCAAGTATTCTACTCCTGTATATTCCGGGAGATGGAGAAGGATAGAGTCAAGTATCCTACTCCTGTATATTTCAGGAGATGGAGAAGGTTAGAATTGAATACCTCCCTGAGTACTTGATTGATAGAGAGAGAGATCATGAAACTGGGATGGATGACTGCAAAAAATGGGTCTGGGAGGTAAATTCACACTTTTAAAACATTTTCTGGGAAAAATCTCCTCGCTAAAAGGTTTTCGAGAGACTATAAACATATCAATTATATCTTGTATATATTCTATATCTGGTTTCAGGATTGGAAACTATATTAGTATCTTCTTTATATTCTATATCTGGTTTCAGGATTAGAAACTATATTAGTATCTTCTTTTTATTCTATATCTGGTTTCAGGATGAGAAACTATATTAGTATCTTGTATATATTCTATATATGGTTTCAGGATTAGAAACTATATTAGTATCTTCTATATATTCTATAACTGGTTTCAGGATTAGAAACTATATTAGTATCTTCTTTATATTCTATACCTGGTTTAAGGATGAGAAACTATAATCAGATTACATATATTCTATAACTGGTTTCAGGAATAGAAACTATAATCATACCTTCTATATATTCTGTATCTGGTTATAGGATTGGTATCTTCTATAAATTCTATATCTGGTTTCAGGATGAGAAACTATATCAGTGTTTTCTGTATATTTTATATCTGGTTATAGGATGAGAAACTATATTAGTATCTCCTATATATATTATATCTGGTTTCAGGATAAGAAACTATATTAGTAGCTATATCAAGGATTATATCTGGTTTGAGGATGAGAAACTATATTAGTATCTCCTATATATATTTTATCTGGTTTCAGGATAAGAAACTATATTAGTATCTATATCTAGGATCATATCTGGTTTCAGAATGAGAAACTATATCAGTATCTATATCTAGGATTATATCTGGTTTCAGAATGAGAAACTATATTAGTATCTATATCTAGGATTTTATCTGGTTTCAGGATGAGAAACTATATCAGTATCTATATCTAGGTTATATCTGGTTTCAGAATGAGAAACTATATTAGTATCTAAATCTAGGATTATATCTGGTTTCAGGATGAGAAACTATATTAGTATCTATATCTAGGATTTTATCTGGTTTCAGGATGAGAAACTATATTAGTATCTATATCTAGGATTTTATCTGGTTTCAGAATGAGAAAATATATTTGTATCTATATCTAGGATTTTATCTGGTTTCAGGATAAGAAACTATATAAGTATCAATATCTAGGATTATATCTGGTTTGAGGATGAGAAATTATATTAGTATCTATATCTAGGATTTTATCTGGTTTCAGGATAAGAAACTATATCAGTATCTATATCTAGGATTATATCTGGTTTAAGGATGAGAAACTATATTAGTATCTATATCTAGGATTTTATCTGGTTTCAGGATAAGAAACTATATAAGTATCTATATCTAGGATTTTATCTGGTTTCAGGATGAGAAAATATATTAGTATCTATATCTAGGATTATATCTGGTTTCAGGATGAGAAACTATGCGAGGATGATGAATTTCAATGGGAATATTTTACTCAAGAGGAAGAAGAGGAGAACAAGGTTGGGTTTCATTTCAATGAAATTGTCGGGAGTAAAAGAGACTTTAGAGACATTATTGTAAGAGATCCTCCTTTCATAGAGTTGCATGTCAGATTTAGCCTTTAATTAGTTTTGTCACTTAAAAAATGAATGAGATATCCATGATTTTTAAAAATTGTTATTTTCAAATGTAACTTCTCTATTCTTTTCGTAGTTAAGAAACAATGGATGATAAGATGAAAAAGTGTTTAAGGGTACCGCCGTGATTCGGACATAACCTTCTATAAATGGAAGGTCACTTGAAATTAAACCACAAACAGTCGATAATCTCTTTAAAGAAAAACTGTTTACTGTACTCGTTCATATATGGAGATGTGTAACAAAACAATCAGTATTATTTAATCTTTTTCGACGAATAATTATAATTTGAGGAAACAGGTTGGTACAAGTTCCATTGGTTAAAGGTGAAAATAAGTTGTTATTAAGATGTTATGCTTCCTGCATTTTATAAGGTTTTGAAGATTCCGTCAACTTTCATACATTTTGCAAATCTTATTAAATCTATCAAAATAATCTATTTTTCTTCCAATAAAACAGTATTATAATCCCAGAAAAGTTTCTAAATAACTTAATTAAATTATTAGATGTTAACATAAAATAAATTCGTGGTATTAATTGAGCAAAGGAAAGACTATATAAAGTATATGCTTGGTGTCTACCAAAATAACGACTGAAAACCCGAAGATATAAATATTTCAATATTCAAAGTTCATTTTGCAGTGTGCCGTGTACTGTAAACTGAACCAAGAAAGAGCATATTTTACTCTGTATATTTTGTATTATAAGAGTTCCATTTTATTCTGGGTATACCTGTACTGTGCTTAATTGATTCATAAACGCATACGCCATACAATACAGTAATTAATATGTACATCAAAAGCGCTATGAAGTAGACAGACCTGGAAAAGGTCAAATTCATACAACATTACTGAACCGACTTTATGACAGCTCGTAACACCTCCAGTTTTTACGCACTTAGTATGAGAGATTAAAATTTATCTGGTTTAATATTAGATATTCAAAACATTTCTCTTCTCCACAAAATCCCCTCAGTTAGAGGAGTTATGATAGAAAACATTTTAAGTTTAATCTTACGTGAAAATTACTTTAGTTTGACGTGAAAAGCATAATATTGTTGTCGTCTGTCGTTTATTGTTGTAATATTGTAGTCGTCTGTCGTTTATAGTTATAATATTGTAGTTGTCTGTCGAGTATAGTTGTAATATTTTAGTCGTCTGTCGTTTATAGTTATAATATTGTAGTCGTCTGTCGTGTATAGTTGTAATATTTTAGTCGTCTGTTGTGTATAATTGTAATATTGTAGTCGTCTGTCGTGCAAAATTGTAATATTGTAGTCGTCTGTCGTGTATAGTTGTAATATTGTAGTCGTCTGTCGTGTATAGTTGTAAAATTGGAAGTCGTCTGTCGTGTATAGTTGTAATATTGTAGTCGTCTGTCGTGTATAGTTGTAATATTGTAGTCGTCTGTCGTGTATAGTTGTAATATTGTAGTCGTCTGTCGTGTATAGTTGTAATATTGAAGTCGTCTCTCGTTTATAGTTGTAATATTGTAGTCATCTGTCGTGTATAGTTGTAATATTTTAGTCGTCTGTCGTGTATAGTTGTAATATTGTAGTCATCTGTCGTGTCCAGCTGTAACATTTTAGTCGTCTGTCGTTTATAGTTGTAATATTTTAGTCATCTGTCATGTATAGTTGTAATATTGTAGTCATCTGTCGTGCATAGTTGTAATATTTTAGTCGTCTGTCGTGTACAGTTGTAACATTTTAGTCGTCTGTCGTGTATAGTTGTAATATTTGAAGTCGTCTGTCGTGTAAAGCTGTAATATTGTTGTCGTCTGTCTTGTATCGTTGTAATATTGTAGTCGTCTGTCGTGTATAGTTGTAATATTGTAGTCGTCTGTCGTGTATAGTTGTACTTTCTTCTTAACCAAGTTTCTTTTAAAGTGTAAAACCAGAGCTGAGAATTTTTGAATAAACGGAACAATTGATTCTATTCTTGTGAGGAGATTAACAGATCTCCTGAAAGTGAATTATTTATTATTTATTATTATATATGAGAAGGTAAAATTAAGTCTTTAACTTTGGAGAGAAGACATAAAAGTATTTTCAAGAAAAAGTTAAGAATAAATTTGTAAATCTATTTCTCCGCAGAATATTTCAGTATGAACTGCACAAACTCTGCCCAGTATGCAAATTTCAATTTGCGAAGTTTATCACCTAAGCGCTAAACGTGGCAATGCGCGAAGTGTGAGCTAGGACGGAACTGAATATGCGGAGGCAAAAACTAGTAATTTCTGTGATACATTAACAGTGCCAGGTTCGGACGGGTTTAAGTGTAAATAAATCTCCGGAGCCAGAAGTTAAGGCAGTTAGAACTTCAGTTTAGTTTTCAGACTAAAATTGAATTAATACCGGACTTAAGATGGATTAAACGGTATAAACTGTTAACTCTGGTTTGTTTAGGAGGAAGTAGTGGTTGACTCCACCAGCAATGAGCAGGTTCTAAATGATGAGGATAAATTGATGATTTTTACCACTGGGAGAAAAACTTTTCTGCCTCATCAACTTGGAATTAAATTGATGACAAGGGATAATCATACTTCATTTATATTCTAGAAATTAGTAAAACATTTAACTGAAGTTGAGTCAACCCAGAAAAATCTTTATATTGCGCAGAATTTCTGTTTTAATTGCATTAAAAATATTATTTATTTTTGCGTAATTGTGTCAATTAATTGAGGAATCAAACTTAATGTTCAAATGCGCAGAGAATTTTTATTGAAATGTGAAGCAAGTTTTTTAAAGGGAGTGACCGGCTATGTAAGGTAGTTGAACTGAGTATGCAGTGTTGTAGAAAACTTCTTTCGGATTTATTTGAGACATATTAAACTTTTTAAAGATCTGTAAATCCTGAGTTTGAGCGCAAATTCGACGTTCAAAACTCCTACTTTGGGGGTGGATACGTTTTCAGAATACGTTTTTTTTTTTAAATTATTAGATAACGACGAATTGAATGGTTACATATCAGGGTTCGGTTTAAACAGCATCTTGATGTGAACAGAAACATTCAAGAGGTTATTAGGTGAACAAACAAAGAAGACGACATTTATCAAAATTCGGTGTTAGGTAATTTCTCAAAGGCCTTTACCCAAGGGCGACTTCCCAAGTGACAATTTCCCAAGTGGCAACTTCCCAAATGTGCGATTTCCCAAGCAGCAACTTCCCAAAGATTAGGTTAGGCTCTCTGAGGCGCCACAGGCTGCAATGGGGGCCGAGCGCTGCGTCTAGGACAGACTTGGGAAGTTGCCGCTTGGGAAATTGCACATTTGGGAAGTTGCTACTTGGGAAAATACCCTTGGTCAGTTGCCGCTTTGGAAAAATCCTTTTGGAAATTACCTCACATCAAAAGTTCCTCCCCTTTTTTAACCGTAAAACTTAATCCAAAATCCTTCATTTGTATTTGACAGTGGTCTTAAAAACTTTTAAGTGTGGTCCAACATTTTACTTAAAATACTGAAGTGCTTTATTAGCGGTGATCGTTAATGCATGGCTCACCCCTGGAAAATGGAGAGAAAATTATGAAATCTTCAGTCCTAAATACTTTCTGAGGTGTCAAACCTTATAGAAATCCAACGTATAGAAAAAGCTACGTATAGCAACAAGGCGTATTTTCCGGGAGAACATTTTTTATAAATTTGAGAAATTAAACGTTTTGTAAAGCATTGTAGCTTATCATTATCATTATCATAATTTCTATTTTTTAACATACCCTAGCCATTAAAGGAGGAAAATAGTTTAATATGTACATTTGTACTGCTCTCTATTGTGTTTAAGGTCCTCCAGATTTTATTATGTACTGACAACATAAATGAATGATTATATGGTTATGCATAAAATTGCGCATTACTATTAAAAAAATATTTTTTTTAAATGCTAGCTACAGTTTTATTTTTAGAAGAAAAAATTTCTCATAGGTATAAAAAAAGTTCTCTAGCAATACTATAATGATTTCATAAAATTTTGTTTTTCCATTTAAATAAAAGGATTTTATTTAAAACTGCAAAGCGCTTTTTAGTTGCAGTAATTGGCAAAACTGTTGTAAAATTATATCAAATTATATATTTAGCTATTAACGATGGATGCAAAGATGAAGATTTATAAAGAAATTTAAGCTTTGTAACCTGATGGTGTAAATTCAGATTATTTGATCTCACAGAATTCATAGTTTAGAATATCTCAAGTCTAGAACATTGTGTTGCAAAGATTATAAAATCAGAGTTTGTTCACGAGTACTCAATTTCTTTATAGGTTTTCACATCATATTGTGATTATATTAATTCATTTATGTTAGAAGTATATATATCTGTGAAACCGCATAAAAGTATAATTCCATAAAAATTCTCCCAGAAAAATTGTTACCTCACACATTATCCTGATATCTGAACAATCCCTTTAATATTTATATATTTCAAGAGAAGGAAAGGAGAGAAGAGAAGAAGAGAGAAGACAACTGGAATCTCAGAGGAAACACAAAAATGTTTTTGATATTTCAAAAATCTAAAAATATTTATTTTATTAAAAAATGTATACTTTATTTCGAAAAATATATACATTTTTGTTAGAAAAATATTTATTTTATGAAGAAAAATATATATTTTATTTAGAAAAATTTACATTTTATTAAATAGAATATAAAAATATTTGTCCAAATTCCATGTTTTGTGTTGTTACAGAGAAATTAATATTCCGCCCTATCAGAACTATGGGGAAGTGATGAATATGTTTGATATTGTCGACGTCATTTTGGACTTTCAGGTGTTTTGTAAATACAACAAAATCTAATTTTCTAATCCATGCACCATGAGAAATGAGGGATCATCGAGATATTAGTAATAGAGGGGGCATCTGGAATTTTAGACTTTACCAACTCAGTCATAAGGAAACATTTTTCGACAAATTTCACTGTACAGTATAAACCTAGCCAGGCAATATTAGGAGAGTTATGCCCGCCCCCTGTGAGGGATGCATATTCAATATAACATATATAGTCATTCAAAGACGTTTATATCTTTGGAACCTGAGGGCTTTAACCTTTGATAATTAAAACTTGACTATACAAAATTTATAGATTTTAATATGAAATGTGTACGATAAGTAATCTATATGTAATGTACTTTGCTTGTCTTGGGCGTTTTTTGTCCGTTTGTATCCAATAAACGTCAAAACGGCTGAACAGACCGGGCCCAAATTTAGTGTAGGGCCTCACATAAGCTTAGCTAGGGAAGGTTTATGAATGATCAGAATTACAAAAATTGTCTCCAAAAAATAAAATTTTTCGTAAAATTTTTGAAGCTCAACAAAAGAAAAATAGTAAATCCGCCTAACTTTTTTATTTTTGTTTTATCGATGCTGAAAGATTTAGCATAGTATTATAAATATGTGTTTCAGGAAAGTGATCAGTTTCTTCTCTTTTTATAAAAAGTGTTTAGATTATGATAACTTTTTATTATGAATGATTTGCGTGTTTAGGGAAATGTGAAGCAAGTTTTTTAAAGGGAGTGACCTCCTAATGTGTCGTAATAATAACAAATATATATATATATATTTTTAGATACATTTACGTGAATCTTCGTCCCTGGCCTCGAGGCTATCCTATCCTTGACATGTTTGATCCTCCACCTGCCGGCCTCCAATCCGAGCTCATAGTGCTAGATCTAGCGAAGGTTGGACTGTTTTAAAATAACTTATTTTGATAATTCAAAATTAATTTGTTTAAGGAGAAAATATGGAGAAAGTTCAAATTATTTTGCAGATAAAGAATATTATTTTAATTAAAAGTTTTAAATATTTAGATGAAAGTAGTTGGTAGATCTAATCCTTTGCAGAGAATATTTACCCCTGCTGATATGTGTAAACACTGCCCTGTTCAGGTTAGTTACAGGGTAACCCACAAAACATGAGACTTTTTTGACGACCTAAAACTCTAAAAATATAACGATCTCATGGGTGAATTTTGTACTTTTAAATAATTCATTAAATGATTTGAAAAAAATGGAACAAGTGTTTAGTTGCAATGAACCATGCGTGTAGGAAAAACGACTGATTAAGTTACTTAAGGTCGTCTCTGAAGTCTCAATCTGTGTGAGTAATTCTGCATATTATCAACAGATTTAATTGGAATCATAAACACAAACTTTAAACGTGTAAACATCTATATCTACTGTTTATAAAAGCGAATAATTTAAAATATTTTTTTAAAACTCAATGGAAACATTTAAACAGCAATTTCACTCACATATTAAAGGCAGTCTTTCTCTAATATTTCAGTCTGTGGCCACTTTGCATTCAGTTTCTCACATTAAGACCCTGGCAGAAGATACAACCAAAAAACTACCCAAAAAAAAGCATCGGTTAGTCCCCTTTAGCCCCCCCCCCGCCCTCCCCCTCCCTCAAAACTTCTATTTTACGTTGTTTTCATACTGTATAGGTAACCCATGAACATGTGTTTACTACGGTTGGAGACTATGGTATAGTTGTGGACCGGCATCACGGCGTCGAAATCTCTCGTCTTGAACACCCTGATGTAACTATATGTGTTGGTAACCCTCATGCTCAGGGTTGTGTTGTAACTGGCGGAGAAGATGGTGTTATAAATGTTTGGAACTAAACAATTATCATTTTCTAGAAAATAAACTATTTAAAAAGTATTTAGAAATATTTGTTCTGAAGAAAAATTCCTAATTCGTATTTTTTTTTAAAAAAAAGGGATATTAAGAGAATACTGTAGCGTTTTTTAGAACAGTGCGGACAAACTTATCATTTGGCATTTTTATTAAATGGATTATCAATTACAATAGAATGAGAAGTAAACCTTGATGATGTAAACCTTTGATATTTCAAAATTAGACTTTTTGATCCAAAAGAATTCATAGTTTGAAATATCAAAGGTCTACAACATTGGGTTGCAAAAACCAAGAGAATTAAAAACGTGAGTTTGTTGCAAGAACTCAGCTCCTTTATTCAGAATTGCATACTGCATATGTTTGTGTCTTTTTAAATATATAGTATTATTTAATGTCCTCTACACTAAAAATCGGTTAGAACTGGGCCATTTTTGACACCAATGACGTTAAGCATAATATCTTCAGAATCCGAATTTGATATTCTATTTTCAATTCATCAACATCAGTTCGGAGAAAAAGTTTTGTAGATCCTAATTCTAGAATTTTCCAGAATATTTTTAGTAATTTATTTTTATTGATTACGGAGAAACATTATTTGACTAAAGCTTATTAGATTGTAAATAATAAATTGATAAGAGCATCGATTTATAAATTCCAAAGAAACAAATGTACACAAATTTCTTCATAACACTAGAGGCTGACATTTTTGACATCACCACTGCAGAGGATAATAAGACATCCATTGAAGATAATAAGACAACCATTGAAGATAATAAGACAACTATTGAAGATAATAAGACAACCGTTGAAGATAATAAGACAACCATTGAAGATAGACATCCATTGAGGATAATAAGACAACCATTAAAGATAATAAGACAACCATTGAAGATAATAAGACATCCATTGAAAATAATAAAACAACCATTGAAGATGATAAGACAACCATTAAAGGTGATAAGACAACCACTGAAGATGCTAAGACAACCATTAAAGATAATAAGACAACCATTAAAGATGATAAGACATCCATTGAAGATAATAAGACAACCATTGAAGATAATAAGACAACCATTGAAGATAATAAGACATCCATTGAAGATAATAAAACATCCATTGAAGTTAATAAGACATCCATTAAAGTTAATAAGACATCCATTAAAGATAATAAGACATCCATTGAAGATAATAAGATGATCACTGAAGATAATAAGACATCCATTGAAGATAATAAGACATCCATTGAAGATAATAAGACATCCATTGAAGATAATAAGACATCCATTAAAGTTAATAAGACATCCATTAAAGATAATAAGACAACCACTAAAGATAATAAGACAAGCATTAAAGATAATAAGACAACCACTAAAGATAATAAGACAACCATTAAAGATAATAAGACGATCACTGAAGATAATAAGACAACCATTAAAGATAATAAGACAACTATTAAAGATGATAAGACAACCACTAAAGATAATAATACAACCACTAAAGATAATAAGACGACCATTGAAGATAATAAGACAACCATTACAGATAATAAGACGATCACTAAAGATAATAAGACAACCATTAACGATGATAAGACAACCACTAACGTAAATAAGACAACCATTAAAGATAATAAGACAACCATTGAAGATAATAAGACAACCATTGAAGATAATAAGACAACCATTGCAGATAATAAAGGTATAATTATTTATTCTTGCTTTTAAATCTAATTTATTCTTGGAAACTAACAGATTTACACAAATATAGTTTTTAAATAAGTAAGTAAGTATGTATGCATTTATCCATTGTTTCTAGTTGACAATTACATGAGATTTCAACTTTTGAACTCTTTGTGTAATTTCATATTTACACTAGTATTAAAGATAATCAAAATAAAGAGCTTCTGCTACATCCGGATGTATTTACTAATCTCCGGCTTACAAAATATCTAGGCAAATTAAACTGATAAGGCATTTATTATAAAGAGTGATGAGCTTCACACATATCTCAGTTGACTATAAACCTTAACCACTCCAAAAAATGCTGTTCCTCTTAGTCTCTCTCTTAGTAGCAAGTGGCGAAGCCCGTCCAGCAGATCCAGCTCCTCAATGGGGAAACCTTACTGTGGTTTGCCCTGACAACCCAGAAGGATTCTTGCTATTTGTTCCTCATCCATTTGACTGTACAAAATACTTTGTCTGTGTAGATAATGCCCCTGTACTTATGAGCTGCGCTCCACCTCTCTACTTTGATCCTAACATTAAAAACTGCAATTGGCCTGATCAAGTAGACTGCACCCAGCACGAGACTGATGCCCCAACTGATGCTCCCACTGATACCCCAACTGATGCACCAACTAATGCTCCCACTGATACCCCAACTGATGCACCAACTGATGCTCCCACTGATGCCCCAACTGATGCCCCAACTGATGCTCCCACTGATGCACCAACTGATGCCCCAACTGATGCTCCTACTGATGCCCCAACTGATGCTCCCACTGATGCCCCCACTGATGCCCCCACTGATGCACCCACTGATGCTCCTACGGATGAAACCACTGATGGTCACCCAACACACCCATCACACCCTACACATCCATCACACCCAACAACCCACCCTCACACTACTCATCCCCACCCCACTCACCCATAATTTTTTCATTGAAGAAACTCATTCTGTAATTACTACAAAATTGTATTTCAAAAACCACTCCAATTTCTGTCTTCTGTAGTTTCATCAGGATGATTATTTTTAAACAGTCGTGTATGTTTAGAATGTCAATAAAATTTTATTACTGGCAATTATTTTATTCTAGAATTTATAATACTTTGAAAGATTTTACTGAAGGTTTTCTGTTAATATGTCAAAAAGCAGGCACTTAAAGATTTTATTGTCTTTTATTATGAAATCAAATTTCATTTCTCGTATCATAATATAAAATAATTCCATGGTTATTTCCCATTATATAAAATGTTGTATGATAGCAAAGGATTATAGAGTAAACTGTGGTATTTTTAACTGTGATTCTCTGATAAAATTCATGAGCAGAGTTAGCATTGATCTTTGTTCATCTCAACAACTCATTCTAAGGTTAAATGGTAATTTTCCAGTAAAAAAATATTCCCTTGTTAACTTATAAACTAGAAACTACAGGAGAATTTCTACTGTTAGAATTGTGAATAAGGATTGTATGAGATTGGTGAATGGAACTAAAGAAGTTTGAAACGATATTAGATAAGAATTTTGCAACATGTTGAACAAAGTCACACTCTCTAGACTTTTACACAATTATCAGTGGAATATATATCCAATATATACCGAATTTATACCGAATATATACCGAATACATACGGAATATATACCGAATATATACCGAATACATACCGAATATATACCGAATACATACCGAGCATATACCAAAAAATTATTTAGAGGTAAGACTAACTATGTTTTGCAAATTTAGGGTTGCTCTAAAGTTGTTGATATGGAACAGTACATGGGTTAGATTTCATATAACTCTGGAGTAAATCCAATCTGATGGTTATTTCCCATTGCATCTACTTTCTCCAGTAAAAGTTGGATTATGTCCGGATCAGGTTGGATTTACTCCAGAGTTATATGAAATCTAACCCATGTGTACTGTCCCATATCAACAACCTTAGAGCAACCCTAATCGAAACATCGAAACAATCCAGAGTATGTTTGAGTGCATTTGAGTGTGCACGGAGGGGTCCATTTTCGAATTTTTTTAAAAAACATTCCACGGGCAACGTCGGGAACTTCAGTCAGTATATCATATAAGATTATCAAAAACTTATCATAATTTAAATTGAGTTGATTGAGTTAATGCTAGTTAGATCATTGGCAATGCAGACTGAGTTTACATGTATGTGTAATCATTGGCATTATATTAGATTGTTTAAGAGGTGTTAAAATGGTTTTATGGTTTGATTTTATAAACGGTGTTTTGATGATTTAACCCTACAGAAGCATTATTGGTAATTCAAAAATCCTGAGAATAATCAATGAATTATATTGAAGACGACCCCAGAGACAGAGCTTTATTATTCGCATTACCGCGAAAAATCCCAGATTTGGTCATCTTCCTAAACCCATGCATCTCAAATTTTCTCCTTAGATTTAATTGTTTATTTTGCTGATTTTATTCTTTTTAGTGCTTGTATTCATAATTTATAGTTTACTTTGTATTTATGTAATTATTTTTAGCTGTGATCATTTTATATTATGTGTGATATAATTTATCTTTTCGTTTTATGGTACTCATTGGTTATAAATGTTCCAAGTGAACCATTGAGGTCGTGTTTTATATGCACCATGCATGGGTTAGAGGTCGGATTAATAATGTCATGCATTGAGGCTGAAGAAGGTCACATCCTGTGAAACATTTAAAATCTACTCCCAAACATTCTGCAAACGTAAATTCAATTTAAATCAGATGTCTAAATGTTTTTTTTTCAAATAAATATTTTTTAAATTGTTTTAAAAGTTTCTATCTTGACTTTAGATAATAATTTTAACAATAAAATCAAAATTTTTCGTATTTTCTCTTTAGTGTCGGCAGATGTATTTTAAAAGTCTTCAACTCTTTAAGTTTGAATATTGTTAGTTTTAGAATAATGTTGTACAATTTAAAAGTACGCTATTAATACTAATTCAGATGTAAAATGTAATCTGTGGATAATAAAAATGCAGGCAACCTAAACTGATAAGAATTTATATTATATAATTCAGCAGTTTCACACAAAGAACAGTTGATTATAAGACTTAATCACATAAGAATGCTGTTCCTCCTAGTCTCTCTCCTGGCAACTACTGGTGAGGCCCGTCCATCAGCTCCTCAATGGGGAAACAATACTGTGGTTTGTCCAGATAGCCCAGATGGGTACCCAGTATTTATTCCTCACCCTCATGACTGTACAAAATACTTTATCTGTGTTGGTAACACTCCTGTACTTATGAGCTGTGCTCCACCTCTCTACTTTGATCCTAACATTGACAACTGCAACTGGCCTTATAATGTAGACTGTACCCAGCACGAGACTGATGCACCAACCAATGCTCCAACTGATGCACCCACTGATGCACCAACTGACAATCCTACTGACGATCCAACTGATTCTCCCACTGATAATCCTTTTAATGATCCTTTTGATGCTCATTCAATCATGATTATCTAAGAGTGCCATTAAGTAACATTGATGTTTCTTTACAATAGTAATGAAATTATTTAATTGGTCATTATTTTATTTTAACTGAAGACTTAAATAAATTGCAAAATTGGTTTACATTTATTGGTTTCCTGTAATGTTTTTACATTGATATGTAATCATCTTAATTTTTTCAGGAAAGCTTTAATATGCAGTGAGTTAAAATAACTAAGTTATATTGGTCATTTCTGAAAATATATTAAAGCTTTTGGTTGAAATCAAGAAAAAGACAATATTGACTTTAAATGTCCTAAAAATAAGTTGTACTGATTCAAAATATATGATCTTCAAAGTAAGAAACTCCATCAGGCGCCCCTCCTGGACAAATATTTGTTCCCTTTCTACTCTTTACCTTTTTTATGATACTATTGTGCACTTTATCATTCTTACTCACTTCATAGTGAATTTCATAATGAATGTGCTATAAAGTAACCATCGTTAAATTAGCTGTACATCGTAGCACGTTAACCCTATTCCTGCTGGGGGGGGGGTCAATTTGGCCCCCCCCCTGTAGTTTTTTTTTACATAACTCAAAAAGTATTGGTCTGAGGCTGTTGAAATTTTCTGACTTTTCTTACATACCCAAAGCCCTTCCTTTAGGCCTAAAACCGGGCTTTAATACTAACTGCCTGAGTCCTCAGGCACACTGCCTGATTGACTGCTTTTGCCTGTAACAAACTAAATCTTTGTTTTGACCCACTTTCACTTGTCAGATTTTGATAAAATTTAGCTTTTTGGAAAGCCTATGACATAAGGAAACGGATTGCACAAGTTTTGCGAAAAAAAATTGCAAATTTTTTGCAAACAACCTGTCAAAGGAAATTTGCAAATTTTTAGTTTTTTCTTGATTAAAAATCAGGTTATTTAAAATTTTGCAAAAATTTTTGCATATTTGAAATGGCATGGTCAAGGGCTTTTCAAAAATGTATAATTTTTCATTTTTTGGACAATTATTTTTTTGCAAACATTTTTACTATGTAACTAGATTTTGCGATAAAAAATTCAATTTTTGCAAATTTGCAATTTTTTTTTCAGATTCTAAAAGTAGAGCACAAGAGCTTTCTAATGATGTATCATTTATCATATTTGGACATAAAACATGGGATTTAGAGGGGGGGGGGTCAAATTGACCCCCCCCCTAGCATATCCTGGTTTTCAAGTACCCCAGCAGGGATAGGGTTAAGGGTTTAAAAAGTTTTGATTGGTTCACAGGTTTTCTAAAAAAATTAGGATATTTCCAAAATATATTTTTTTCAATTGAAATCAAAATAAAATTGAAATTAGCTTTATATTTTAAATTCTAAATTCTGCTTGTTAAAGCTTATTTGATTTTTGATTATCCATTTAAATAAGTACACAAACGTTTCATAAATTACCTATAACTATTATTTTGGCATGACGTGCTATAAAGTTTTTGGACTTACAAATCAATATAACAGTGTTATAGATATGTATTAACGACACACCAAATTGCTGTAGACTTCTTCTGTTTATTTCTACAGATAACTTTACTTTAATAGTATTTTGTAAAAATTAAAGTCAAGCAGCATAAAAAATATTAGCTCGGTAGCACTTGTCCTCCTTCACAGAACAATTCGGTTCATTTAAAGTACCTGGCAAACTAAAACTAGAGCAAGTTGTGGAGTTTACATAAAGACTGTTGACGGCAGAATATTTTAAAAAGACATTTTTATATCAAGCCATATATTGTTCTGTTTCCAATTTATTTGTCCATTATTTTTGAGGTCTTTCTAATTTTTCTAATTTTTTAAAAGAGACGACTAACGGAGTTTTCTCGTACGTCATGACTAATTCAACTTTTAACCATCTCGTTTTTTGCCAAATTATTAGGTTTATCCGGTATAAGACGTTCAAGGCAGAACAAATCAGGTCGTTGTATACTGAGAGTTTTAGGTCGTTATTAAAGTTTTATCCTTGTTGATATTCCTGTATAGCCTTGAGAGGCATAGGTACCATAAAGTATGTGTGGATTCTTTCATTTCCATAAATAAAAGACAGAAGAATAAATTGATTTGGTTCAAAAGAGAGGCAAATCAAATTTTTTACAGCCTTTTAAAGTCGTTAAAAGTTAATCATGAAAAATCTCCAAAAAATCACTGGACATCTTGACATTTGTACCGTGTGTTCTGAACCTAGCCAAATGCTGTAAAACGTTATTCTACATCTAAGTGTTCTGAGATAAAACAAAGCAAAGAAGAATGCTTGCAATTCAAATAAATAATGTTCAAAATTACTAAATGTTATGGTTAATAGTTAAAATTAGTTTTATCCAAAAGACTAACAACCAAAGAATGCAATACTTTAAATGAAAGGTGTTTGTCTCTATAATAAAGCTCCTTGCCATATATGTATGTATACGTTTGTATGATAGCTATAGCTGGCCAAACGGGTGGACCGAATGGGCTTAATTTTTTTTAGGGATTCTTTGAGTACTTCGGGGGTAACAAAAGCTTCGATTTTTTTCACAATTCGATTTTTTAAAAATTCCGCGGGCAACGCCGGGTACTCTAGCTAGTTTTTATATAAAAGTCTGGGATGAAGACCGCGGTTTTTAGATTAAACCATGCCTACATATGTTTTACAAATTTACTGATATATTTATTATATTTTATATATATATATTTTAGTTGAGACAATTTAAATATAAAATTACCGGGGGCCCTGTTTATAATATTATATAGTCTAGGGATACTAATATCATCATATAAATATAAAAGCAGAAAACCTTCATTGATTAGAACCCCTTGCAACCGGGAAAGGAATTGAGTATTTGCCACAAACTAATATTTTCTATATCCCTATATCTTAGCAGCTACACGTCATGTGCCTTAGATATTTCAAACTATGAATTATACTGAATCAAAAAGTTTAAAACATCAAAGGTTTTCACCATCAGGTTGCAAAAATTTAAGTTTGTTGCAAAGATTCAATTTCTTTATAAAAATGTAATCCTGTAAAACCCTCAAATCTAGGAACCCTTAAACCATTGCTTCTGCAACCCTCAACCCTCCATCATTGTAATCCTAGAACTCATGCTTCCTAAAACCCTGGAACAACTGAACTCACAATCCGTGGACTCCTAAGACCCTTGAATCTGGAACCCAAATCCTTTAAATCCCGCGGAAACCCTGGAACCTAAGAACCCTAAATATCTGGTGCCAATGAATCCTAAATAATTCAAATCCTGGAACCCTGAAACCAATGAATCCTTTAACCCTTGAACCCTAAGTACTTTAAATCCTAGAACCATCGCACCCTGGCAATTTAGAACCATGGAACCCACGAATCATACAAACAGAGAACCATAAAACTATGGAATTAAAATATATCCAAATTAAACCCTAGAAACCTGAAACCTGAACCTCTAGGAACCCTAGAACTTTATCTAGCCTATTGTATAAACCCCAAGTCTAGTTAAGAGTGAGCCCCCCTGTCCCCTAGAGCTAATATACAATATGCAGAATACACTAGATTATGGATTGTAAACACACAAAGTAACCGTCCCCAAAAAAGGTTACCCGTCCATTATAACCAGGGGCTGATTGACAGATTAATTTTATATTTAAATATTTCATAATTTTATTAATGTTTATTTCTAGGGTGTGTCGTTAACAAACTTAACAAGATCCAAATTTATTGTTCCAATCGTTAAACTTGGCTCTGCTAGCCGTTGATGGTTTTACTTTCTCTTTTGCTTGAAGAAGAATATCGAGAGAAATCTCTAGAGATTCGTCCTTCTCCGTTTTGCGTATGGCGGTTAGTATCCCCTCCCTACAGAGCATTGTCAGATCAGATCCGGAGTAATCCTTAGTTTCCTTGGCAACCTTAGCGAGCTGTTCAGGTGGAGGAGGAGATGTTACTTCTGTATCAAGACACCTTGAGATAATATTAAACCTCTCCTCCTCCTCTGGTAGGTTGACAAGGATCTTCTTGTTAAATCTCCGGAGTATAGCTGGATCTAGACTCCAGGGTAGGTTGGTTGAAGCCAGGAAAAGAATGTTAGCTGAGTCCTGACTCTCTAATCCGTCCAACTGTACCAGGAGTTCAGCTTTACATCTCCGACTCGCTTCATGTTCGTTGCTCGTCCCACGCTCACTCAGAATAGCGTCCGCCTCGTCCATAAATATGGTGGCCGGCGAGTTTAACCTCGCTAGAAGGAACAGGAGGCGAATTAATTTCTCACTGTCCCCTCGCCATTTACTCGCCAAACTTGAACATCTTATATTAAAAAATGTTGTATTGAATCTACTCGCTACTGCTCGCGCCAGCATTGTTTTTCCTGTTCCTGGAGGACCGAAGAGAAGAATAGAACTAACACAGTTTGAAAACATCTGAGACTTCTTGAGACTGTTGAATATGGTTGGATACCGTAGAGGATAGAGGACACACTCCTCCAGAGCCTCCTTCACATCCTGGTGACCTACTACACTCTCCCAGGAGATGTCAGGTTTGTCTGTGATCACGTCCCTGGCCAACCACTGGATCAGCTCCCTGCTCTCCTCCCCAACCATCAGACTGGGAGGGAATATTAACTCTTTCTCCTCAACATCCTGCTCCATCATACTCCGTCCTGAAGTAGGATACAAGTATTAGTCAATTAATTGTTAAGATAAATATTTAATTTATCAATTGCAGTGAAATCATTCTATAATGCAAGACTATTAATGGTTGTGATAAAAACTATGGCTTATACACGATACAGGATTACCCACAAAGGATGAAACTTTAATGACGACCTAAAACTCATAAAATATACGACTCCGGAGATTTAATTTAGTTTTCTGCATGCCCACTTTGAAATAGATGATGATTTAATACATATAGAAGCTATATTGGATAAAAAGTACGAATTACTACTTTTTCATTGAGTTTAATTTTCTTATGTAAAATATTGTATTTTAGTTTAATTACCTTTAACTTGAAGGTCTGGTTTGGGTCCAAGCAAGGTTGGTTCTCCAGGTCCCTCTTTCGTCTGGAGAGAATTTCCTCGGTTTAAAGGTTTATGAACTTTCCTTCGTCTTGAATCTTTTCCGTCTCCTTCTCTCTCCACCTTCCGACATAGTTCAGGACGTTTACTGAATTTTACCTGGAATATCAGAAACTTAAACAAAGTTTTACTGGCACTAAAAATAAAATTTCAAGAATCCCCGAATCAAAAAGTTGTATTCTTAATTCACATAGGTATCCTTTACACCATTATTTGACCAACATTAAGGAAACTATTGTTATTTTACTAACTTAAGAATAGTTAAATATATATCATCAGCACTTTAACAGAGAAACCACAATTCAAAATTTTCAATTTTCTGATTGAAAATATTTAGCAGCTTTTCTCTGACAAACCTTTAAAGGTTACCATTGTGAATCGAACATGCATCTCTTTAAAGTTGAGGGTCAGTTTAAATTACGAAATCTGAATCCCTCTACAAGAATCTCCAAAGTTTAAACAAACCCTGTCCCTGTTCTTTGCTTGATAAATGATAATGATAAATGTTTAAAATAAATAGTAAATGAAATGACACAAACTTCTGAGTAAAATTATTTCTTCAATCTAAATATGAAATATATTTCTGGATTAAAATGGTTTAATTAAAAATTATTGTTATGTTTTTAAAAAAAACTTGGCGTAATTGAGGTGATTAGTAGTTATTATACCTGATGGTAGGACTCGAACTCTGCCAGGATAATATTTAAATCAATATTATCACAAACTGCATAGTTCAACATGTCCCAGGGCAAAGACGATCCTGAAGAACTATCACGATTAAAGAATCACGAAGGATAAGACTTTAATGATTTAAATCTAACAATATAAGGGTTGAACTAGGAGTTTTGCCATAAATAAATTCTTTAAATTATATTTCAGGAAATTTGCAATGAAAAAAATGTTTTACAATCGGTACCAGTACATACGTTGGACCAGGACAAACGTTGGACTAGTACAAACGTCGGACTGGTACAAACGTCAGACCAGTAAAAACGTCGGACTAAGGAAAAAAATATTTGAATTTTAAGATTTAAAAAAAAAGTTATTCCTTTTATCGACTTGTCTAATAAAAATCTACCCAAAGGTACTAAGTTCATGCCACTAACTCAAATATTCTCATCCCCTATATCTTTGCAATCTAGTAATGGTATTAACCTTTAATACTTTCAAACTTTAACTGTTAATGATCTTACAGATTTGAAATATTAAAGGTAATACGACACTCGGTTGCAAAGATATAGGCATATTGAAACATTAGAGTTTGTGACAATTGAACTCAACTCAACTCCTTTTTGGTCTGTTGTTTTATAGAGCTAGTGCTACCTTTAAAGGATAAGAATTTATTCAGTTGTCTTCGATTATTATCACAATTAGTGAGTGATTTTTAATTTATTTCTTATATCAATGGTCTTTTTTTATAACTCAACCAAAGTCCGACGTTTTTCCTTATAAATGTACCCGTCCGACGTTTGTGTACTGGTCCGACGTTTGTACTTGTCCGACGTTTGTACCAGTCCGACGTTTGTACCGGTCCGACGTTTGTACCAGTCCGACGTTTGTACCAGTCCGACTTTTGTACCGGTCCGACGTTTGTACCAGCCCGACGTTTGTAAATCCGACGTTTGTACTGTCCGACTTTTGTAGCGTCCGAAGTTTGTGGGTCCGACCTTTGTACTGGTACCGTACAATCGTCTCTGAAGTCTCAGATCCTTTGTTGGTAACCTCACTAGCCCTGTACTTTATATCCCTATGTTCGAAAAACAAAATTTAATCCTAAGACGACATTTGGAGGATAATATATTTGGCTGGTTTGCTCAACACTAATCTGCTTAAATTTGCCATTTTTTATGAAATACAAATATAGAGAAACAATTTAAATGAAATCTAAAAGAGACTTTTTATGGTTTATAAGATGTAAATCATAAATTGGGCCTAATTACAGGTGTGTTGAGACCTTTTTAAAGATAATAATCACTATCACTCGTTCACAAAAATTCACAAATAAGTTTAATCTAAAAATGTCAAAAATTTAAGATCATCCTTTGTGGTATATTTTTGCCATTTCTAAATCACCAAGTCTTGATGTTTATATAATCATTGAGTTCCTAGTATATCAGCAGCTTCTTTAAGTCCTTCCTCTACTAGATGATGATGGATTAGAACAAGGATCTCACGTCTTCTTGCTTCCTGATGTTTCTTCTCCTGATCTCTTAAACCCCACCTACAGAATATCATGACTTTATATTGAATATATACAGAGAAATGTCCATGGAGAAGAGTCATCAAAAAAGATTCCCCACAAGAAAAACTAACTTCAAGTGCATCCTGTCTGTTGTGGAATATTTTCATATTTTAATCTTACAAAATTCTTCTTGTTAAATATTTAAATACAAAACCAAACAATTATTTATGATAAAGCAAATAAGAAAATATTTACGTTTCATGGCGAAAATAAGTTTCAATGTGAAAGTTAACTGGACTTTTAGTTTACCGTGAACAGGAACCCCACATCTTTGTTTACAAATAAATGTACTGCAGATTCTGGGAGAAATATAAAACACTCGACCAGAGCATCATTCAGTTTTTTAACATATATCCCAGAATTAGGAGAACATTTCTAAGCAAAACAAGAATACGGTGGTTTCTGGTGTATTTTCCTTGAGAATAATAATAGTATTGTGTATGACGAGTAGAAGCTTATAACTTTACTAAACCTAAACCTCTAAATACGGTGGTTTCTGGTGTATTTTCCTTGAGAATAATAATAGTATTGTGTAGGACGACTAGAAGCTTATCTGAACCTAAACCTCTAAATGTATTTAATTCCCCCCTAACCAGTTTTCGTCGGCGTTGTTTAGTAAAATATTATAACGCAAAATTGCATTTTCAAAAACTATTTCTTTTAGAATTGTGATCCAGCCCTCCCCCACCCCCTTCAACCATCACCACCACCCCCATGTTCCCTGCAGTGTAAGCCCTCTTTACTTACTTTGACTCTGGCATTGTCTGATCCTCTAAGTGAATTCTGGAAGAGTATTCAAGTTTTGGAAAAGACCAGCTGGGAGCCTAAACACCAAATTAAAATGACTGAACACAAGATCGATCAAGATCAAGTTGGAGCTTAAGAACCCGATTAGAATAATTACGGTCTGGACACAAAAATAGGATAAATATTAAAACATATATGCATTCCTTTAAAACAGCAAATAAGTTAACCCTATGATGTTTATAAACGCTTGTTATTACAATATGTCCATTTTATGCAGATTTTACGCACAAGTGTAAGAAAAGCTAATTATGTTGTGACACATATGAATTCAAAACATTTGTATTCGTCTTCATATCTCTTCAATGAAAGGAATTATGATAAAAACATACAAGATTTCAATCTTACAAGCATTTTACTTCAGTTTAATGCGATTCAATACCATGATTTGGTCATTTTTTAATTATTATATATAGTGGGACAAACTGTAAATACCTGAATATATTTAGCCGGACACACTGTAAATACCTGAAGATATTTAGCCGGACACACTGTAAATACCTGAATATATTTAGTGGGACACACTGTAAATACCTGAATATATTTAGCCGGACACACTGTAAATACCTGAATATATTAGCCGGACACACTGTAAATACCTGAATATATTAGCCGGACACACTGTAAATACCTGAATATATTTAGTGGTACACACTGTAAATACCTGAATATATTTAGCCGGACTAATATCTCTGGACTCCACTGTTTCCTTCTTATTTGCGGCAAGATGTTTTCTAAACAAAAGAATTCAGAGGAACTGAACATTTGCCTCAAACTCAAACTTTCTAATTCCTAGATCTTTGAAACCTGACAGCTTAAGCTTTTTTATAACAAACAATGGCAATTAGATCTAGCTGCAATATCAAAGGTCCGCAACACAAGATTACAAAGATATAAGGATTAGAAAATAAAAGTGTCCGGTTCCTGTAAAAGTTTTTTTTTAAATAATGTAGTTATCTCCGTTTTGCCCTCTGAAAATTAATAAGTTTCAATTGTGGGTTCTCTGAAAAAGTGAAAGGGAAGATTTAGGTAGCAGGGACAATGAAGGAACTTGGCATTGTTTATATCCCTTTTCAATGCAGAAAAATACGATATTTTCGTCGTTGGTACTCAGAATAAAGTTGAATTAACCTGAAAGCTAGTTCCCCTCGTGTGTTCACCCTTAGACTGGAACCCCCTCCAGACATTATATTGGTCTACCTGAGAAATAATCAATAAACAAACACTAAAAATACAATAATTGACTTTTAGATAAAAGTGTTTATTTCTTTTTTCCTTTTTTGTTGGGGGGGGGGGGGGAGGGGGACTAGTGTCGAGCAGTAATTGTGTACTGCAATTTTTTACGTGGGTAGATGAACCTATTTTGTAATCAAATATAGGGGAAAATACAGTAATGTAAAGGGGGTGCGGGGAATTCTTACTATTCCGTGTTCCCAGCTGAACCCCCAGGATGAAACTGCTATGTTTTATCAATACTAGAACTACACAGGAAAACTATGTAAAGTTAGCAAGGGTAATATAATTACAATGTTCAAACTTGATTAAAAACTATATTTGTTAAATTTCGTATGTTTGTCAAAATTTTCTGATTTGTTTTGAATTGGAGTTTTAATACCAAAAGTTTTTGAACCCAAAACATAAAAGAAATATTTGGCTCATTTTACAAAAAATATATAAATTCTGAATACAATATCAGTGCAAGACAGTGGTAACCAGAATGATGTGAAATTATGTCTTGAGTTTTAATAATTCAGTTTCGCCAAGGACTTTGGTACAATGGGACCAGAAGATTTTAATGAATCAAATGAACCTGAAACACAGAAGTTGTGCAGTTCATTATCAGAATCATTATATTTATACTTGGTTGTAAAGCTACTACAGCGATTGGTAAAGGAATTAAGTCTTTGTCACAAACTCAAATTTATAATCCGTATATCTTTGCAGACTGATGATGTTAACCTTTGATATTTAAAACTTAGATTATTTGATCTAACAGAATTCATAGTTTGAAATATCCATGGTCTACGATATAAGGTTCCAAAAATATAGGATTTAAAATATCAGAGTTTGTGCAGACAATGGCTACATTTCTTTATTTGCTTTAAAACGACAACAATTGCACAATATACATAATAATGCCTGAATGTTACCTCTTCTTTCACAATTTTATCGCTCTCATTGTATATTTGAGACAACCCGTCCAGGGTTGCAGGAGTTATTAATACTAATATATAATTGTGAAAATGCGTCGAAAAATAATCGATGACTATTGTTTGTAATATCTGAATGATTTGTTTGGAATTAAATTAATTTGTTTACGATCCGAGTTGAATGTTGCATCTTTCTGAATTTCTGGACACTACGTTCTTCAGTATGAGTCTTTTTTAACAATTTTCTTCTTATAGACGCAATCAAAAGCGCTTATTTTTCCTCGCAAGCCTATACCCCCTTTCATTTTTCGCGAACACTCCCTTTAAAAATGTTTGTTATAGTTTTCAGCTATGCATCCTGACGTAAGCTTAATTTTACATATTTTAGTGCGCTATCTGCCCTGAATTCTAATTTCTAAGTATAGTGAGAGTGTGCAAGATATTAAAAAGCAATAAAGATTCGTCACAAAACATAATGTATTCAATTCTTACACCCATATCATCGTTTAATTTGCATTTTTAACCACTGGGCCCACATCATTGCTTAATTTGCGTTCTTCGACCACAGTGGAGAAAATATGAAATAATTGGCACTGTGTTTACTGATGAAGGAAGAGTGCGGACAGAATTCGGAGAATTTACAGATATTTAAAAATTCGATTCAGACAATCTATGGCTTGTCAATAATCAAACTTTCTAGAAATCATAGAAAACGATTTCGGCAAAAAAACATATTAGAGAGAGTCGATTTTATGTGTCCGTAATATTTCCTAGAAACCTTTATAAACATTCTCTGTTGCAATACAGAACGCAAAAGCTAAAATACTTTTTAAGAAGGACAATATGACATTTACTGAGGACACACGTTGCGATTATTCTCATTGAGGGCGCAAATTTAGAATTCATTTTGAGTACGCCTGTTCAACAATTATGCTATAAACTAAAACAACATCTATTAGGTGTTTTTTTTTATTAATATAATATAAAGGAGGAGAAGGTTTTTTTCGATGCATTCTTTGAGGATGAGATTCTGGGTGAAGGTTAATAACATCTTGACATATCTCAATATTCATGAATATTCAAGTCTAAAATTATTGAAATACAACTGTTTTTGCGCCAGAAAGTCCAGGAAGTTGGTTGTTGGTCTATAGCTTCAGGGATGTCGGGAGGGATGGGGGAGGGGGGGGGACAGGGGGAGTGGAACCTGAAAAAAGTAGTAACTAAACCAATAACTATTTAGGAAGGGAGTGATGGCTGCTCCCAGGGTTTTGGAGTAAAATTTTTGAAAATTTATCCGACCTTTTATGAAAAGTCCTTTAAATAGGGTACTTTATAACCGAAAATTGAAGAAAGGGGTCTGCTACCCTTTTGTACTGTCTTTGTTCAGATATTTGCAGGAAAAAATTGCAAATTTCAGTCCAAATATCATATAGTTTTGATTAGCAAAACTGACGACATTTGTTTTAGCTAATACATTAAACATGAATGCGAATGTAAAAAAAATATTTGTTTGGCTCGATACATAAAGGTTTCATTTGAGCTGGTCTATACATCTCGATATCTTTATAAGTTACCTTATTTCCAATTTTTTTCAGGAAAAAAATCCAATTTTTTTCGTGAAAGAAAATCCAATTTTTCGCCTAAAAACCTGTTTGATTGATTTTTGCCATTAAATAATGCCTTTTCCTCAACATTCACAAAATGAAAATCGTTTTATGTCAAAATTAGAGCCTGGATCAGTAAAATCTATGATTTTCAGGGGGTTTATTCAAGCCCCCCCCCCCTGCTGAGCCTCCCCTCAGAGAGAGAAAAATAATTAGCCCCCCCCCCCCGCCCCGGAACACAATTTTTGAATGTACGCTCCTGAATGTTAGGAATATTTCACAATTTGTTTAGCTGACGATGTTGTAAAGAGAATTATCAAAAAAAATCTTATAATACGAAAAAAATCGTTCCATGGGCGTCTTAATTCGATATTTCTTTAACAATAATAGTGATAGTAGATATGTGAAAACATAGTAATTCATCAATTTTTTTTCCAAATCGAAAATCCGTATAAAATGCGTCAAGTTTTCGTAAACATAAGGTTTCTCTAGCTCCGGGTGCCAGGTTGAACTGGAGGGATGAAGAAATAAGACGGAGATATTCAATAGTTTACTCAGCAGGCATAAAGTATACCAGGAGGGGTTCTTTTCTTAATCTTTTCAAATCTAGAAATTACAAAAATGATAAATATTTATTGGTCATAAAAGAAAATCAAATCAATTCCTTCATTCATTTCTGCTGCTTTGAGATCAGAGTGGGACACTCTGTATTAATATTAACATAACAGTTGGAAGAAGACGCAAAGAAAATAAATAAGAAACAAATTTAATCCAAAAACTTCGCAAGACTTACTCGTGGGAGACCACGTATGCACCACAGATTTTGGAAACCTTATAATTCGTTAAACTGTTGGAAATGGAAATTTCGATGAACATCTTGACATTTAATTTGAATTATCAAAGACGATCGAAATTTATTAAAGAATTAGAGACTAGTAAAATATTCATAAAAGAACTGACTTGACTTTAAAGTATTTCATTTCCATGATCATAAATCTTTTTTCGTAACCATTAAATATCTCATTAAAATAAATATTTGTTGAAAATCAATTGAAACCCAGTTTTCCTGGAATACACTTTTTACTTACTTGCCTCGGAACAATTAAACAAATTTGTTCCCAGGAACAATAAAATTGCGTGTAAAACTGACAAACAAAAGTTTTCTCAAAATTTAATAAATAATGCTCCTTCATACACACTGTAAAAGCTGTAAAACGATTTCTTCTTTGAATATAGTCTTTTTACGGCATTTTTAATGATTTGGCAAAACAGGTGTAAAGTTACAGTTGTAATCATAAAAATGATGAAACAGACCGAATAGATTCCGTAAAGTCGTCTCCAAAGTCTTATCATAATCTATGTGGATAACCCTGTATCCAGGTCGATCCGTGATATCTATGCTGGCTTAGTATATACTTAGGAACAATCACGCAACCTTTGTAAAACAGTAAACAATAATCAGGTAGTCCAGGGTAGATAGGCTAAATTACCAACTATTCAAGATTTTAAAAGAAATTAATTTCTCAAATTGACTAAACCCAACAAAATTATTTTTTTTATCAAGAATGGTTAAATGTCACTCTAAACACCCTTTGACGTCATCTAGGAATAATTTAACACTTTCGTCCTCGGCCATCTTGTAATAAAGATCATTGGTATTATGGGATTTTTGCACACATTTTAATGCGAATTATGTGCATAAAAGATGGGACGCATCATGGCATACTAGTCCTTAAACTGGAGTAAACCTTAATATTCATCTTCTTGTGATTCAGGGTGTCCAGAAAATCCAGGAGTACCAGGAATACCAGGAATACCAGGAATACCAGGAATACCAGGAATACCAGGAATACCAGGAATACCAGGAATACCAGGAATACCAGGAATACCACCATGAATACCATGAATACCATGAATACCATGAATACCATGAATACCAGGAATACCAGGAATACCAGGAATACTAGGAATACCAGGAATACCAGGAATACCAGGAATACCAGGAATACCAGGAATACCACCAGGAATACCATGAATACCATGAATACCATGAATACCAGGAATACCAGGAATACCAGGAATACCAGGAATACCAGGAATACCAGGAATAACAGGAATACTACCAGGAATACCATGAATACCAGGAATACCAGGAATACCAGGAATACCAGGAATACCAGGAATACCAGGAATACCAGGAATACCAGGAATACCGGGAATACAAGGAATACCAGGAATACCAGGAATAGCTGGAATACCAGGAATACCATGAATACCATGAATACCATGAATACCATGAATACCAAGAATACTAGGAATACTATGAATACCAGGAATACCAGGAATACCAGGAATACCAGGAATACCAGGAATACCAGGAATACCAGGAATACCAGGAATACCAGGAATACCAGGAATAGTAGGAATACCAGGAATAGCAGG